TCTCTGTGTCTTCTGCGCCATTCTGCTTTGACTTGTTCTTATTTTTCTTATTCTGCCATTTGGGCTTTTTCTGAGCTCCCTTCCCTAATCTAGCCAATGCTTCAATGGGTGTTTCTCCTCGCTGAAGATGAGTGATCAGCGTCTTCAGTACGTCGCCAGTCAGGAGGCTGTCATTCATTCGGTCTTTTTCCTTTCTCTCAGCCTCGCGTTTTTCGGCGGCTTCCTTGGCTCGGCGAATGTCTTTCTTGGAGACCCCATCAAGCCACGAATCGTAAACGGCATCTGGGTCGGCTGCCTTTCGAATGTAGTTCCCCTGGTCGTCAAATCGGCCTTCCTCCTGTTCGGAGCGCATATTGAAGGCATCCAGTAGCGGTGCGTGTTTTTTCTTTGCGCCGGCTCCCAACTCTTTGTCAATATCGGCTCCGACTGTAGCACGGTCTTCCTCTGCGACATCGCTTTCGCTTTCCTCGCCCTCCTCGTCGATCTCGTCGGCACCCTTGGAGAGATCTGCATGCAGGGTTCCACCACCTTTAGAGGATGCCTCTTGGCCCTCAATCTCGTCGTCTTGTAGAAAGCGCACAGATTTCTTATTCTTTCGTAGAGCTTCGTCGGCATCGATGTCTTCGGCTCCAAAATCCTCCTGTAGCTCCGCGAACATGTCGTCATCTTCAGCATCGTGCTTTTGTCGCTGTTGTTTGGCCTTGGCTTCTATCCGCGCGTCAAACCCTTCGTTGTCGCTGTCCGAATCATAACCGTCGAGGTTGACCGCTTTGCGCCGCACTTGTTGGCCGCGACGTCCGATTTCGTCTGCGTCTAAGACTGCATCTTCCTCAAGCGCATCAGGAGCAAGAGCAGACGGGTTTCGAAGATCAAAGCGAGGCTTCTTGGACGGTCCGTTCGCGTCGTCCTCTTCGTGGTGATGAGTGCGGGTGAAGTCTTCACCCGCCCGCTTGGGGCGCGGTTGAGAGGCGGACATAAATAGATTTTGTAGGAGATCGAAATGGAGTTAATAAAACAAAGCGGACTCTCGTGGACGAAAAGAGAGCCCCGTAGCAAGCTTTGCGAATGCTTGGAAAGCTATTGCAGAGCGTGCCGGAAGTTTTGTCGCCTCTTGTTGTATGCGGTCGGCTCGGAAAATCATCGCGGAGCTATTTGCGTCACTGGCGATAAGATCGCTTTATCGAACTAAGCTCACGACATTCACTCTTCTCAACGCCCGAGAGGTCGAGACCCCATCTCTACACCCAGGAAAAGCCTCTTACTGTTGATACACCCTACCTTCCCAAGTGCTCAGTCCAATCGGTCATTCAGGGACATTTCTCTCGCTTTCTCCCAACCACCTTAGCCGCGCTGCTCACCTGTCCCCATCATGGTGAGTTGACTGTGTCGCCATCCAAGCTCACCTCCATACTCACTGCGATAGTTTCGCGCCGGCTATTGGGACGATGATCCCATGGACGGTGTTTACAGCTCTTCCATGCTTCGACATGGCACGAACCGACGCTTCGACGAGTACTACCGATGCTACCCCGTTGCGATGATGCCTGGCCCAGAACGAGAGGGCGTCAACCACGGCGGCAAAGTCATCATGCCTCCCAGTGCCCTGGACAAATTGACGCGCCTGCATATCACATATCCTATGCTCTTCGAACTGCATAACGGGGCGCGGGAAAGAATGACCCATGCCGGAGTGCTGGAATTCATTGCAGAGGAGGGGAAAATATATCTGCCTTTTTGGGTAAGGCACATGACATATTGTGTTGCGCTCTTTGGTTGAGAGCTCTCGTTCTGACCTTCTGTAGCTCATGCAGACTCTCCTCCTCGAACCAGGGGATTTGGTCCAGGTGAAGTCGACCGACCTGCCCCCAGGCCAGTTCATCAAGTTGCAGGCCCAATCAACCTCGTTCCTGGACATCAGTGACCCCAAGGCCGTCCTGGAAAATGCGTTCCGCAATTTCTCCTGCCTAACCAAGGGAGACGTCTTCACCTTTGCCTACAACGATCAGGTCTACGAAATGGCTGTCCTGGAGACCAAGCCCTCCAACAACACCAACGCTGTCTCGGTCTTAGAAACAGACCTGGAGGTCGATTTTGCGCCCCCGGTAGGATACGAAGAACCCCAGCGGCAGAGCGGCACCAGCACTCCCCGAAGCGGCGTGAGTGGGAAACTCCCGTCCGGCGGTCTGCTCCACCCCCACGGAACGATGGCTCAGTCCATCAACTATGCGGCCATCGCCCCCGAGTCGACCGACGCCGCTACCGGCGCGCGCGCCGTGTCGTCGAACTTCCTCAGTGGAGGTCATCGCCTGAATGCCAAGAAGGGCAGCAAAACTCCGACACCAAAGGCTTCCACGCCCACGCCGGGGACGACGAATCCCCAGCATCCTCCTCCTGTCCGCAGAACGAATGGGCCTCAGCCGCTCCGCCTGCCGCCGAATCAACTATTCCTTGGATATGCAATCAAGCCTGTGAAGAAACGCGACGAAAGCGGCAATGTCGTTGAGGACAAGCCGCGTTTCCAGGGAGCGGGCCAGACATTACGAGGGAAGAAGAAGGACACGGGGACTTCGACGCCTACGTGAGGAGGTTGAAATGGCTTGGACACTTTGCGTAGACGTTGGCCTTGTATTGACAGGATCTATTTCGGCTCAAGACAGAATGGCAATCAGAACATGTTGTGCAAACCTCTTGTTAGCAAGCAGTGTAGTATATCGCTTCGGTTATACTCCAGATCCATTTGTGGGGAAGAGCAGGATACTACATCTGCCGAGTCGGAGAATTCACAAGGCGGATCATTGCCGAGGCGATCAGGGGCACCAACGGCTCCTCGGGTCCCCAAGCCGTTAGACTAGTCATATTGGGCATATCAACACTGGCACTTTTCCTCGACAATCCTCGCCTGCACATTATCCCAGCCAGCAGAATCGCTACAGAGTACCTACACCCCCCATCCACCTGGAACCGAACCCATGGGATCCGAATCCAAGCCCGACAACCCCCTGGCACCATTCGCCAAACTAGGCCCCTCCATCTACATCCAAGAGCCAACAGAATCCGCAGACGACAACAAAAATGCACCCCCGTACGCGCCAACAATCGTATTGGCATTCTGGATGAACGCGCCGGCGCGCGCCCTGGCCAAATACGTCATCGAGTACCGACGTCTAGCGCCGCGCACGCGCATCATCTTCATCCGCAGCTCGTCGCACGACTTCCTCGTGCGCTTCACGAAGCGCGCCCAGCACGCGCGCGTGGCCCCAGCCGTGGCAGCCCTCCGCGCCAGCGCCGCCCCGGTCTTCGTGCACATGTTCTCGAACGGCGGCGTGTTCTCAGCCGTCAACGTGCTCGAGGCGTACCGCGCGGCGACGGGGCAGCCGCTGCGCGTCTCGGCGATGGTGTTTGACAGTGCGCCGGGGGTTGCGACGCTGCCTGCGGCTGTCAAGGCGATGGCGTTTGTGCTGCCGCGCGCGCGGGTCCTGCGTGTTTTGGGTAAGGTCGTGCTGTGGGTTGTGTTTGCGCTGGGGGAGATGCTGAGGCGGATGCTGCGCGTGCCGCATGCGGTGCATGTTGCGCGCAGGGCAATTAATGATCGCGGGTTGGTGCGTGGTGTCGGTGAGGGAGAGGGGGGTAAGCCGCGGAGGTGCTATGTGTATTCGGATGCGGATGAGCTGGTGCATTGGAGGGATGTGGAGAGGCATGCGGGGGATGCGGAGGCGAAGGGGTGGGTGGTGCAGCGGGAGAAGTTTCTGGGCTCGCCGCATGTGGCTCATATGAAGGCTGATCCGGAGAGGTATTGGGGGGTTGTGAGCAGGTATCTGATGCTGCCGGGGGTGGAGTGATTGCTTCCTTGTGAGGACGCTTTGCAGGATGGTTCGAGTCTGGCACCTTGGGATATTGGATACACTGCGGATAGAGGTGTTATGGGCCGCCTTTGCTTTGTGATGCTTGTTTGATTTTGTATTACGGACAGTCTTGGTTTCTAGACCTGGTATATACTACCTAAGGTACTTCCCAGCTGTTGCTAGACATGGGCGGTACGGAGAGACAGAAGATACCACTATCAAGATCTCATTCCCACCTACTCCGTACATTCAAGCGTTTCTAGTATATACCAGAATCCTTTTACATTTCTACGCAGCTCTACGAGTGCAAGAATATCCCAGAGAACAAAGGAGAATGCAGTCTTTCAACGCAATATCAACATCCATAAGAAACCGAATCACCGTGCGCTATGCATGCAATATGTACACCATAAGGCAAATCCAACGCCTTGCACATAACACTTTTCTTCTCGTCATGAGAACCTAAGTACGCTTCTCGCCAACACCAGCAGAATCACCGTCCCTTCATCTCAGGGAACTCGTCCTCGAGCTTCAACCTAGCCGTAACATTCATACTCATCAGCTCCTGGATGAGGAGCTTGGCGGCGTACGGGATAACCATCTTCACGACGCTGCGCGAGGACTTGCATCGCTGGCACCAGTTCAGATAGCCCATAAAGCCGCACTTCTCGCACACGTCGATCTCGTGGCGATCAGACGAGATCATCAGGCGCTCGAGAAGGAGCTGACTAGTTCCGTATGCAATCAGACAATCGCGCTCCATCTCACCAAGACGGAGACCACCGTCGCGGGAACGACCTTCGGTCGGTTGGCGGGTGAGGATGGCACGCGGTCCGCGGGCTCGAGAGTGCATCTTGTCTTGGACCATGTGCTTCAGTTTCTGGTAGTAGATGGGACCGGTGAAGACGTAGAATGGGAGGGCTTCGCCGGTGATTCCAGAGGTAAGATAGTCTTTACCGCCGTAGCTAAAACCCTTGTCGATCAGAATCTGTGACATCTCCTCCACAGGGCTGCCGCCGAAGCAAGTGCCATAGCCGTGTTGACCTGAGAGGACACCAGCCTTTCCGGCCACAAGCTCCAGCATCTTTCCGACCGTCATTCGAGAGGGGAAACCGTGGGGGTTCATGATAATATCCGGGTTGATACCTTGGTCGGTAAACGGCATATCAGCCTGGTCAGCGATGATACCTACGACACCCTTCTGTCCGTGACGCGAGGAGAACTTGTCGCCAACTTCTGGTCGGCGGGTTTGGCGGGTCAGCACCTTGACCAGCTGGTTCTCGTTTTCTGTTACCGACAACAAAACTTGGTCGATGTAGGCCGGGTCAGGGAGCTTGTAGGTCATCGGTGTGGGCATGTAATTGATTGGCCGATTCGGATCGGGACCTCCTATTCCAAACGAGTTGGCCTGGTCAGGCGTAGACTTGTTGATGTAGACTTCACCCGCGTTGACCTGCTCTCCCACCGCAGCTAACCCGTCGCTTTCGAGAAGCGCGTGCTTTCTTATAGGCGCATCGTTTTCGTAAGAAGGAGGAGTCAGCATGTCCTTCGTGCCGTTGGAATAACTCTTGAGGTTGGTAACGTATTTGCGGAACACCTGGCATCGTCCGAATCCACGGTCAACGGAACCCTTGTTCAAAACCAGAGCATCCTCAATATCGTAACCGGAGTAACTCATCACAGCAACGATCGCATTCTGTCCCGCAGGAAGTTGGTCGTATTTGGTCAGTTCAATGGTTCGGGATTTGACCATGGGTTTCTGCGGGTACACCATGAGATAGAGAATAGAATCAATGCGAAGGAATTGATTCGAGGCAATTGCACCAATAGCTTGTTTACCCATAGCACACTGGTAAGTGTTACGAGGCGATTGGTTGTGGTGTGGGTAAGGAATGAGGCCAGCGACAGCTCCAAGGATCGTAAAAGGTTCGATCTCCAGATGAGTCGTGGTTTCACTGATGTCTTTCTCGTAAATCGCAATCAACGAGTCGTTTTCTTCATTAACATCAAGGTATTCCACCAAACCCTGGGCGAGGAAGTCATCGAATTGCATAGTTCCCTCACGCAACTTTTCGAGATGGTGTGTTTGGACCGTGGACTTTCCATTCTCGACGACGATGAGCGGTCTACAGATGCGACCGTCATCTGTAGCGACGTGCACCGCATGTTGGTGATGGTTGATGTAGATACTGACAAACTCAGAGATTCTTCCCATCCGACGTAATCTGCGGAACGCATTCAGGAAATACTTCGGACGGCGGGTGAGGGCTGTCGGCGTTCCGTTAATCGAGATTGTGTAGCATCCAGGCCCATAGAGTTCTTTCCCTCCAAGAGTCTGGATATCCTCAGCTCCCAGCATAAAGATCAGATTCCTTATGGGGCCCTCCTCGTCATTGGTTGTGATATGTGTCATAAGCGCCAAGTTCTTCACGAGACCACATGCTTCACCTTCGGGAGTATCTGCTGGGCAAAGCATGCCAAACTGCGACGGCTGCAGAGCTCTTGGACCGCTGACCTTTCGAGTCTTCTCGAACTGACTGCTGATACGCGTCATCATACCCAGCGCGGCGATATAACTCAGACGACTGAGCACATGAGTGACACCTGCACGTTCCATGCGGAAACGTTTCAAGCTCCAGTTACCTGTCGAGATGGCCCGATTCATGCCCTGCGTGATGTGATTCGTATGCATACTCATGACACTCCAGGCATCGAAGGCTTCCGCTCTGTTGCGCTTGTTCAGAACCTTGTCGACGTTCATTTTGATATCGAAGCAGAATTTCTTGAAAAGATCCTCAAAAAGCAGAGCCAAAAGTTGACCCGCCAATTCCAATCGTTTGTTTCCAAGATAATCACGGTCATCCACAAGCGTAGGGTCGTTCTTCGCCATCAAGACACGACGAGCCATGTGGGCCACATAGATGGCCTTTGGACGGAAGTTCATGTTCTTGACTTCAATGTGCGAAATGATAACGGAGGCAATAGCTTCAATGGCCTCTTGCACGTGGGTTCGGCGGTAGGATGCCTGTTTCCGGTTGATCTTGATGCGAGCACCAATCCAATCCAGAGCTTGCTGTTGTGTGTAGATGCCCAAGTTGATGGCCTCTTCGAAGTTGATCGCAAAGTCTTCTTGGTAAACCTTGTCCACGCCGGCAACGAGAAGCAACATTTCTTTGTCGGTGTTGATGCCCATTGCCTTGAGCAGAATGACGATGGGAATATCCTCGTTGAGAACGTTGTGCTTCACGTAGAGCTTGTCCTTCTTGAGAACGATGTAACTCTTCGATTTACGCTCGTTCGACGAACTAATCATGCGTTAGGGGGACGTTGCACAGACTTGCTTAGGAACGCTTCTTACCTAGTAACAGAAGCCTGGACGATTTCCTTCTTGGGGTCCGTCTCCACGATAATTCTGTTCTTGCTCAACTGTTCCTGAACAAGAATAACCTTTTCCGTTCCATTGACGATGAAGTAACCACCGGGGTCGAGAGGACACTCGTTCAGCACGGTCATTTCCGCAGGACTCTTGTTGGCCAAGACACACTTGGAACTGCGCAACATGACGGGCATCCGGCCAATAGCGTAACCTCTCTTCCTCACCCGTTGACGACCACGCACGTAGTCAAAGTCGACTTGTATGGGGGCAGCATAAGTCGTGTCACGCAGTCGACATTCCTGCGGCGTGACTGTCGATCCGGTAAAGGCCGGGCCCGCATCCTGCGACTCGTCCGCGCGTCGGGGCGCACCCAGGTAAATATCGGTGAATTTGATGTAGAAGTTGTGGTCGACATCGCTGCGGATGATAGAGCTTGACTCCACAATTTTCTTCAGCTGCACTTCGACGAGGTAGTTGTATGAGTCAATGTGCTGCTTCACCAATCCTTTCACCTTCAGAAACGCTGGCAACAGATTCCATTTATCCTTCGCCGTGTTGATCGGGTCGGTCAGAGATTTGTTGTAGTAGAACGGCTCGAGAAGGGCGTCGAAAGGATCGCGGTGGCGGTAGGTAGGGTGGCTATGGTCCTCCTCTACGGCTTCATCTTGTTCTTCAGGACCGGCGGTAGGCTGGGCGGCCGATGGGGGAGGCTTCGACACGGACGGGCGCTTGCCCTTTGGACCATCCGTGGGAGCGGCTTTGGAAGCGGCCTGAGTTTGTGTGAGCAGACGTAGAAATAAAGGTGCGGAGATGGTTTTCGCATACCTCTGACTGCACAGATCGCGCGCCGGCCGCCGACGGCAGCGGCCTCCTACGAGGAGGCATTACTTGCGGAAAAGGTGAATTTGAGAGTGCGGAGACACCAGAAAATTATCAAATCAGTTGCGCATGGAGAGAGGGAATATCATGATAGAGTAATTCGCAGTGGACAATTTCTTCATCGTTATCGGCGAGGGGAAAGATCCGAATTAAGATTAATTTCTCTTTCGCCGAGGGGCGGTTTATGTAAGCGCCCTAGCTGTCCCAAAGAGGTTAGTCTAATGCCAAGATTACCAATGCTGTTTCTCCCAATAGCGTTAGCGGCGAATTTTTATCTATGACTTGAGGCATGTTTATATGCATTGAATCTACCTCGACTAGCTGCTTGGTGGTAGAAGCCATCTTAGGCTTCGACCGGCGTGCATCTAAGAGCTGTGCTTGGTCAAAGGCCGGAACACCTTCATAAGCGACTGCGACCCCAAAGATCTGGACTTGAAAGCCTCTTCGATCTCATCTAGAGATCGACCCTTTGTCTCTGGCATGAAGATCGCACAAATGAACGCGGTGATCAATGTGCATCCGCCGAAAAGGAAATATGCGCCGAAGCTACTCTTGGACAACAGGATCGGCGTAGTGAGTGCCACCAGAAAGTTGGCGGCCCAGTTGCTTCCATGCGCGAGACTCGTCGCCGATGCTCGGGTACGCTGGGGCTGAATCTCTGCCGCATATATCTTGATGCCAACGGCCCAGCTGAGTGAATAAATCACCGCAAAAATGTATATGGCAACGATCACGACCCAGCGCCCAGCTCCAGTTGATGCATGAACTACGTTTCCTGCATATAATGCCCCCATCAAGAACATGATGACACTGATCCCGATTCCTCCATAGATGATACTGCGGCGACGACCCCACTTATCTGCCCAGATGAGGGCTGGGATCGTGACGATGAAGATGACAATGGCTGAAACACCCGATGCAAAGAAGCTGGAGTCAGAAGAAGCAAGCCCAGCCTGTTCGAACAGCATCGGGGCATACTATGAGCGGAGTCAGTAAGGGGTGTGTAGTGACGATTAGAGGAACATCCGGCAACTTACATAGAGGACCCCGTCGATTCCACTTAGCTGCTGCATCCCCATCAAGAACACTGCAAGGGCAGTGCGAGAGCGAACGTCCTTCGAAAATATATCCAACAGCTTGTCTTTGATCGCTTTCATCCGCTCCTTGGTGGCAGGCGCCGTCTGGGTCACGCTCGGGATGCTGATGACCTCCCGGGAGACTTGGATCTCGAGCGGCGTACCTCGGTCCTGCTCAATTTCTACCTTCTCTCTTTCGGCTGGACTGACGCCTAGGAGATCCCAGGTTCTAGCTGCTTCTGCTTGACGTCCGTGGAGTGTCAGCCATCTCGGGGACGGGACAAGCCATAGCAGGGCGGCGGTAGAGAAAAGGACCGAAAGGCAGGCCAGGATGAGGAATGGGGTACGCCACGAGAATGAAGACTCGATGCGAGCTGTTCCATAGCAGGTGAAAAATCCAATGACCAATCCCAACGTGATCAGCAACTGCGGGCCGGTAGTCAAAGCCCCTCGGACTTTAGGCGGAGAAATTTCACAGATATACCTTCTTGAAGTTAGATATCAATACGAAGAAACATGGAGCGATGGTGACTTACACTACCAGAGTACCAAGGTAGAGACCCTCTCCAATACCTTCGATGACTCGGCCTATGACGAACATCGCGATGTGGACAGCTGCAGCTTCCAGAGCGGCTCCGATGCCGAAGATCAAAGCTCCAATGCTAATGCCCTTGGGCCTCCCGAGCTTATCTGCTAGGAACCCAGCAAAGAAAGACGAAATCGCGGCGGGAATGAGGATAGAAGACACTAGGAGCCCATGGACCGTCGCGGACTGGCTGCCAAACTGTTCGGTGAAGCTCTTCATGACGGTAACGGGCCCAATAATGCCGGTGTCCATGCTGATATTGGCACATCAGTCTATTGCTTCACGAGTAGATTCTCATCGATAGCGAGCCTTACCCGAAAAGAAGCCCGCCAGCGGAGCATAGCATACTGGCGGCAACATATCGGGGAGGTCTTGCGATAAGCTTCATGTTTCCTGCTGGTTCGCTAGGTTCAGCGCTGCAAGTTGTTTAGTTGAAAGTGTGTGTCCCCCTATATATTATAGTAGAGGGGGTTTTAAATCGGCATGTAGGGGATTTGGTAGGAAAAGAAATGTCCCTAAGAAAAATTGTTCAAAGACGGGCATAGTGAGATCCATGGGACCCTGCTGATAACATGAAAGACCCACCCCCACCATGATGATTTTTCCGTGTTGGGGAAGAAGGATTAGCCATCGATACCTACAACCTATCACCGCAAGATTCATGGTGTACTTCCAACGCTAGGTAGCGTCTCCAATGTAACCACAGGAACAGGGGATGCGACTCCCGACGTGTACTGATTGCAGCCTTCTTACTCGAAAGAAAATGTCAACGAAAGAGAAATGCGGGGTTGCATCCTCCTATCTCAAGTGGACTGAAGGGTTGGAAATCCTGTTAGCATCATAAGCATGGATAGGTAGGCAGAAGTGTAGAGCTCATTGCCTGTATTAAACCCTACTGAGTATATATAATCGTGGAACAAGATTCTAGGGGACAATATAAAACAATGAACATTAACCACAAATCGGCAAAATGACATTCCTTTCTTCAAGTAAGTGTTGCATTTCTGCTATAACAACTTGCTCATTTGCTGGCCATGAACAATTGTATATACTCACTTATCTTACCTTGCGGTGGTGCACAAACTGGGATGACATTAGATGGATAAGAAAGCACTTGTAAAGAATTCCCTCAAACGGTCATGATTTCCCATGCCTGTGGTGGCTGATGATGGCTTTGAGATGTGACAACAAAAGGAAATATGCCTTATCGCCAACTAATTTTGATTCGACCACCACTATGGTTATTGACACCCTTCCTGTATTCTGATATCGTGGCATTCTTGTATTGCTCTTCCATAGGCCAACGCTGCTGGTGACCTGTAAAGGGATCTCAGAGTACATTAGAAACCAGCATTGGGCTCCTAGACGGTTATATAGAACAAGATGATATCATACGGCTATCTCGTATATGCAGACCTCGAAAATATATGACACTCCAGATGTTGTGGCCTATACTCAGTTCTTGAAGAGAAATAAAGCTATTTTCAAGGCTCTCATCTCGTGTACTATGATTGATACATCAATCAGCGGTCTTTATGGCTATAGATAAAGCCTCGTTGGTTGGGAAACTCGTCCTCCTATTATCCTGTCGGACGTTGTAGATGCAGGAAATATCTGATATATATCGCATTGCCATCTAGCAAGTACCTAGCAATACGTAGTCCACAAAACAGTTAGAATAGTACTTATAGAGACTAGGTCCATTGGTTATAGAAAGGTTCTGCCGCAAGATCATGTAGCGATCGTGCCCTCACTTGATAACGTGGACATCGGCAAAGGCACCGAGACTTCTCAAGCATGCAGGCTAGACTCTCCAGGAGTTGTAGGTGGGCGCGTAGAACTGACCCATGCCAGCGCGAACAGAACACGTGAGAGGATGAGTTGTCCAGTCCAGTCTGCCTTGTCAACATATGATTGACTACCTGTCTTCTGGTAGAGACGCCAGTGGGGGACTCAGGGGTTGAGTGGACATTAGGTACCAAGCAGTGGACAGTCCAAGCCAAACCCTCACATAGAGCTAAACTAGAGTATGCATACACTGCGAAGTGAGGTTATGCGCAAGTCTCAATGGAAGCTGGTTGGTTAGTGACTGTGACCGACACTTCATACCTAGGTAGAAAGTTTCGGCTCCTACACCCGATCCACATCAGTGACCTGATTATCTCGAGATAATCTAGAAGAATGGCCGAGACCCTCACTTTGCGGGGTTGGGCGACAAGCCTGGACATGTCATTCCCATGGAGCTGAATATGGACATGTTATGGATATGATACCGGAAGTCAAGAACAGGGATAGCAATCGAAGAATTTGTACTCCGTACAGTCCAAGTAATATAAATCCCAGGCACGTCCTTCACGAGCCTACGTCGGGAAGAAACCCCCAGAGAGCGGATTTCCAAACAAGGATGTGGGGAGTGTAAGGAGGTCAGTGGCGGTGGGTTTCGTTGACCGCAAGTTTGACGTCCATTGCCACCTGGCATTCGAGAGTGCTTCTCCGCCGCAGAGAAAATTCTATCCCACAAAACGAGTAGATCGAGGCGACAAGCGGCGGATCAGCCGATTCCGTCGTGTGAAATCACCATGTGGAACTCGGGTCCATTTCTGAGACAGAAATGATGCGATACTAGTGTGTCGCAGAGCAGATCACGTGTTTGTTCGAGAAGCGGGATTGGATGGATTGGCAGTTTTCAGAGTTGTGGGAATATCGAGAAACGCTAGGTCAAATCGCAATCCGCAGACGGCCGGACTGCTTCACGTTGCGTGTGTCCGCCTGTCTGGCAGCCGGGGTTGACATCAGCCGATCGGTGCGGCGATGAGGAGAGTTGAGTCAATTCGCCGAGGCGTGGAGATGAATGAGTAACGTTGGGGACGCATTCCGTTATTGTCATGATTTCTGACGAGTCGACTTTGGGTGCGATTGGGGAATGGCGGTTCCTGTAGCGAATTGCCGATCACCTTGCCTTGCCATGGTGGACCGTGCAGTAGCAGCAGAAAAGATGGGGTTGATGCACGCCGCTATCGGGCATGAAAGTAGAAGAAACCCACAGGCTGTTCAGCGTCCGAGTGACGATCGTGATGTAATGAAATGCGCGAGGATTGAGAGCGTCCTGAATGATGAGCATCGAGGGATGGTTATGTATCCCCCAAGACGCCGATTCTCTCTGTCCTTTGCTTCTTCGGCCTCTTTTTTCCAATTCCAGCAATCCGAGATCTGCGCTTATCTGTCTGACGACATTCCTCGGTGGCAAGGAATGTGAGATCGCACATGAACGGCATGACAGTGAGGGGGAATTAGTCAGGTGGGTGACTGGAGATCAATGAGGCAGGAAAGCACTGCTGTTGGTCGAGTTTAAGAAAATCGTCAGCAGTACCTTAGCCTTAGCTGTTAATTTATGCTGATGGGCCCAACAAGCCCGCAGCAAAGTGGCCTCCGATGATTGGATTGGGTCTGCGTCGTGTCCTCGATGAAGAAGAGACCATCGTCAGGTACCCAACTAGTGACGAGCTAATACGGAGGGATCCGCGGGGTCTGTAGGTGAGACCGTGAGAGGTAGTGAGATCCGTCCGCGCCTAGAGGCTGGGTCGATGCTATTCAGCTTTTTTTCTTTTTCGCGAGCCAGACAGGTTCAATAATGGAAGTTGGAACTTTATGGGCGACTGAGTTAGCCCCAGATTGCCCATTTGGGTCAGCTGTATGCAATCCGATCAAGTCTTCGACCGAACACAGTCCGTTCTTCTCGAATGACCAACCTACGCACGCCGGTCCGATTGGAGCGTGGTCCCTCCAGATTAGTGCCTATCGTGATGATGAAGATCAGTCAATCACAGTCGGGATGGTACTCCGCACGGCGGGGGCTGATAATAATAGGTAATCGGTAGGGGCGACAGAAGAGGGGACAAACGGCGAGGCCTCAGGGGCGAGTGGAAGCGATGGATGGATGAGGAGGGATCAACGCGCCCGTTGGTCTGGGTCTTTCATCTCCCTTTGGAGGATGATACACACCGCTTCTCCTTCCCCAGCCAATTAAAGGGGATGGCACCAGTATTGGGGGGCGAATGTGAACCCGATACGTTTCGTTTCGTTTCGTTTCTTGGGATAAGCAGCGACATCGACTAAGAGGTTCTAGGAAAGTCGTGAGATCCGCTGGGCATCGTGGTACTTGGCATCTGTCCCTTATAGGGACTCCGTACATGTCCGCATCGATAACTACCTGGTACATACTATGTACAGTATAGTTGACTCCAACTCAATAATCGGTCGAGATTGTCTCCACGAAGGAACCACGCTGAGTTGACTGATCCATGGAACCTCCCTGACCGCCGTCAAGCTTCCCCATCGATGGTTCAGACCGGCCAGCCACCGCGACCTGGCGATTTCAGAGAAACCCTCCCACGGAACAACTCCGTCGCGAACCATTCTTTGTGGAAGCGCGTGGCAATCCGTCAATATAAACTCGGCGGTACCATTGATCAATCACAGATACCCGTCCCTCATGCTTGGTAATGGGATCACATATAGAGAAATATTATACCAAGTACTCTTAACACATAAATCATCCTACCAAGACTAAGCAATGTTATTCGCGATAGTGTTGGGACTATGACCTGCACTGCAGCCGCCATTAGCTCCAGAAAATCTTACTCGCTCATAATCAGACCTAATTGTATCAATTTAGGGGCGCGGACTAGTTAGGACTCGGTAAGACGGAGATGGTGTCTGGCGCTATGCCAATGGCCCAGGTACTACTACTGGTCGTGCGGTGGCTAGGGCTTGGATTCGCCGTCACATCTTCCAGCCCGCAGTCTCCACTAGGGTGCAGAAACACACTTGCAGAGCCCACGCTTCTCGACCAACACACCCCAAGCTTGGTGCAGGGAACACCCCCTTGCACCATTCTCCAGCAGGGGAGGGGAGATAATTCCCCCCGAAGCATGCTCCAATGACCCCCATTTTTGGAATTGTCATAGGGCCAAAGAGGAGATTCTGTACGCCTCCTTTTCGGAGGGCGAGAGCTCGAGCGTCTCCCAGGTGACTGATTGATTGGAATTGTGACAACAAAGCCCGTCAGTCTGAATGGACGAGGGATGGTTCCGATGCAGATGGCATGATGCAGCAACCCCCAGTGTGTCCGACGACTCTCCTCATGAGGCCAGTAGATCGGTAGGGGAGCTCCAGGATCTAGATCGCGAAGAGAACGGTTCCGTGTCGCAAGCAAGCTGCTGCCACTCCATCCCCAACCACAGCGTCGTGCAGTCGCATTGACTTTTGGCAAGGTCGAACTGTCCAAGCTCCCAATCACAAGCCATGGCGGAGAGATTGAGTCGTGATCCGTCCAAAAATCAATGATCGACCCGCGAGGGTTGTCATCAAAAGACAGCTCACCAGCGTTGATTAGGGTCTGACCGTGAGAGGCAGCATGGGGTAATTTCTGGGGGGTCCAGGAGATTTCTTTGATTTATTTATGTATCAATATTTTCCTATTATTATTTTTCTTTTCGGATTAATCAAACAAAGAGAGCACGGGAAGCATCGAGCAGATGATCGGTGTAGGAAGCGTGTGTTGTACCTGCGGACGAACTAAGGTCACCGTCACACTTGGGGAGTATACACGAACCACCGCAGAGATGCGATTGAACGTAGGCGAGAGGGGGGGAATCCACCGAAAATCCCAGGGGAAAATACTATGAGATGCGATAACAGGAAAAGCAGTTGGGAAAAGGAATTTAAATAGACGATATTAACAGCTTACCAACCTAGGGAACCTTAGCACCCTACTGGTAATACGACGGACTCCTAATTCTGCCTGAGGTTCTCCCCAGCCGCCGCCGCCTCATCTTTCTTTCTTTTCCCCTCTTCGCCTCTTTCTCCCATCGGCGCGTTCCACTCTTCTTTTCCCCTTCCCCTCCTCTCTCTCCTCTCTCCCTTCCCTCTTCCCCCCCTCTCTCTCTCTCTCTCTCTTCCCTCCGATTCTCTATCCCTCGCTGTACAACATCCATATTCCGCCTCTCTTTAATTGTTATTGTTCACTCGTTCCTATCCCTATCGGGGCTTTCCCCCGGAGCTCAAATCCGCTTCACCGTTGCTTGGTATGTCCCCTCGCCCAAACTTCCCCCCAAGTGTGATTCAACAACCTCTCTCTGACTGCGATCTCCCGCGTCCACAGCCCATAGTCGAATCCACCACCTACCCTTACGTGCGGATTCCTGCGCACTGCAGCGCACACTCCTGTCCCCGAAATAGTGGAAACTCTCGAGGCGTTCATTGTGTGTGAGTCGCTCATCTGTCCCGAGATCTTCTCCGCCAAATCACCCCTCAGCCCCTCCCCCGAATTCCCTTACATATGGCCCGTTATCAGAAGCACACCGCCAACCAACATTGGGATGACCTTGCCCCCTGCTCCCGACAATTAAAATCCCCCTGATCTATCTGTCCTCGTGTGCCCACAAGGAATGGCCTTGCCCTCCACTGAGCAAAAACAACCGATCTTCGCGATGGTCCCTTTCTGACTGGTCTTGGCCCCTGAATGTAGTTGTCCTGCGACCTCCCCTCCCCAACCCACCATGGCTTTCAAGAACGGACTTAGTGAACGCCTCGACGAGCTGCGATTCCCTTCTCCTCGGTCGCCGTCGTCGGAGTCTACCTTCCCCGGTTACAATTCGCTGTCCCCGGGCCAGTCGGGCTTTGTGTCTGCCTTCTCACGGCCCTCGGGCGATGTCCGCGCCAACCTCCAGCGTCGCTTTACTACGGACTCCAGCAAGCTGTCATCTTGGAATTATTTGAACCACGTTGGAAATGCTACCGCTCCAGTTCCGGACCCTGTGGATTTACTATCCTCGGTAAGCTTTGGTGGCTTATCATATCCATCTATCCCCTCTCGTGGCGGTCTTATCCCTCCCTCGGAAAGCTCTATGCCACTTGCTGCAGTTATCCCCGTAGCTTCACCTCACCCTCACCTCCATCCCTAATCGTGCGGAGGGTTCCCCCTCCCCGCTCACCATAACCTCACTTCACTTGAGCCGTGATTGGTCGAGCCCAAGAGGTCCCAGGATTCCCTACTCATCACTTCTCTCCTCTCACTCACACACCTCCCTCCTCAACCTCTGATCATCCTCATACTGACTTCATTCACCTAGTTCGAGAAGAAGCGTCAACATATCGAGTACATGCGCGAACAGCGTCGCAGGTTTGAGGAGGATATGAAGATGCTGGACCTCCAACACGAACGAGAGAAAATGGAGATGGACCAGATCGCCAAGGATCTGGCAAAGGCTGGTCTCTCTGGCCCAGTCAGCGAGCCCACGACTCCTCCAGAGTATCGTGAGAATGGATTCACGGGTGGCTTCACTCGTCCAACTCGATTCTCCACTTCCAGCGTCACCTCTTCGCCTGGCTTCTTCAATGTCTTCGCCCCTTCTCAGGTGACAAGCCCACCCGGACAGATCAATCACAGCTCCTCCCAGACTCCCACCAATCGGTTCTCGGTGCATTCTGTCCCTGGATCTCGCAGGAACTCCGAAAAGGAGGACTTTAACCAGGAACCTACTTCTCCATTCCGCCCTGGGCCTTCGTAAGTGAATACTTTCGCATTCCACGTTTATTCACGTTCACAGTTTCAGTGGTGTTTCACCTTACTTCATCTGCGATAGTTATAGTCCCATTCACTCCCACCTTGCCTAATGCTCCCCATTGTGTTCCCTGTTGTGTTTCTGGTCCCGGTTGTCCTATTGTCCTGGGAAGCGCTTCCTATTGTCTAAGAACCATCTCAACAATATCTATTCAGCTAACCTTCTTTGACCAGTATTCATCGCTACTCGATGCCTTCGGCTGGACTGGGATCCCAACTTCGCCCCAACATCTCTGGATTTACCAACAACTCATCTGGTCTGGATTCATTCAACGCGGCGAAATATCTCTTCCACAACGAAGACGACCGCGCTACCTTGAAGGACGAGGACCGCATTCCCACTCCGGATATCAAAAGCTACCTGAAGCTCACGGATCCAGACGACAAGTTCCCCACTCTCTCGCGTCGAGACGATTCGGGACTGGTACGTCCACGCTCTGGGCTTCGCTCTTGGACGCTGGAGTCACTAACCGAACCACAGCTGTCTGCGAACTCGGACGCATTGGACCTGGCCAATTCCCGCACTCCCAACCCAGAGACTTGGAGCTCCCACAGCCGTCACCGTACCTCGCACCAAAGCATGCCTCAGAACGCTCTGAACATGTTCCGCCTGGAGCAACTGGGAAGTCCCAACGGCGAAAGCCACACTAATGGGGTCCGGCATTCCGCTCGACACTCTCTAGAGGCGAACTTGGTCTACAGCAGCGAGGGAGCCCATGAGAACATGCCCGCTACTTCGTCTGGTCGTCCCACGTCTCTGCAATCCTCCTACTCGACCAATGATCTTCCCACTGTGAAGGGCGACGGGTTCAATCCTGCGATCACGCCCCCCAAGACCCATGCAGAGCAATTTCACCAGCACAACGCCAGCCTCGGTCGCATCCCCGCCAACGCGGTCAACAATCGTCAGAGGGATTCGCCGGACCGTGACGATGCCGCCTTCCAAACCGCTCGCTCTCAGCAGACCACCTTGCAGGCTAATGCTGCACCTTTTGGACCGCAGCTTACCTCTACCGCTTCTGGCACTTCTGCGGCCGCGCCTGCTTCTATCAGCGGATTCCAGCCTCCGTTCTATCCCTATGGGATCCAGGCATACATGGGAACTCCTGTGCAGACCAATGGACAATACCCGGCCCCTCCTTATGGCGCCTACCCCCCGTATGGAAACTACAGGCTTGCCGAAACCCCTACCAAGGGGGTTACCTCTCGTAGGAGTGTCGATGGAGAGGCTTCCCAGCTCTCGCGCTTTACTAATTTCCCCCTTGAGCACTACCGCGGCGAGTTGTATGGCCTTTGCAAGGACCAGCACGGTTGTAGGTACTTGCAGCGCAAGTTGGAGGAGCGCAACGCAGAGCATGTGCAAATGATCTTCGAGGAGACTCACCTTCACGTGGTTGAGCTCATGACAGGTTCGTCGCTGTCACCTCTCCCCTGACGGAAGCCGACCTCAAACTAACAACATCAGATCCTTTCGGCAATTACCTCTGTCAGAAGCTGCTTGAGTACTCCAACGACGAACAGCGCACGACTCTGATCAACAATGCTGCTCATCAACTAGTTAAGATCGCCCTCAATCAGCATGGTACTCGGGCTTTGCAAAAGATGATCGAGTTCATCTCCACCCCCGAGCAGACCACGACGGTGATTCAATCGCTTCAGGACCACGTTGTGGAATTGGTTCAGGATTTGAATGGCAACCACGTGATCCAGAAGTGTCTTAACCGCCTGTCCGCTGAGGATGCTCAGTTCATTTACGATGCAGTCGGTGCCAACTGCGTGGTTGTCGGTACTCATCGTCACGGTTGTTGTGTACTCCAGCGTTGCATTGACCACGCCTCGGGTGAGCAACGAGCTCGCCTGATCGCCCAGATCACTTCCAATGCGTTCGCCCTCGTTCAGGATCCCTTCGGTAACTATGTCGTTCAGTACATCTTGGACCTTGCTGAACCACACTTTACTGAACCGCTCTGCCAAACCTTCCGTGGAAACATCCCGGCTCTCTCGAAGCAGAAATTCAGCTCTAACGTGATCGAGAAATGCCTGCGCACGGCCGATGTCCAGATCCGTCGCCAGATGATTGATGAGATGCTGGCAGGCAATGAGCTTGAGAAGATGCTCCGTGATTCTTTCGCCAACTACGTCGTGCAAACTGCCATGGATTTTGCCGATGCAGACACCCGGACTCGGATTGTCGAGTGCATTCGTCCGATCCTGCCATCCATTCGCCAGACCCCCCATGGTCGTCGTATTGCTGGGAAGATGATGGCCTCCGAAGGCTCCGGTAGAGGGAGTGCTACCACCAGTGGACAGGCGACGCCCAATGAGATGAATTCCGCGCAACTCCCAGGACCTCTACAGGGCACTCAAAAGCCTTTCTTGTACCAACACAATTCCTTCCCTCTTGGTGCTCAGTTTGGGGCTCAGAACTTTGTGTCTGCATCGGGCACAGGCTCCGCCACCAACACCCCCTCCGGTGGAGGTAGTGAGAATTCTTCCGGGATTTTCACTGCTCCTGCTGTACAGCAGCCGAATGGCAACCTGGGCGCCCAGAGTCAGTTGTATGCATACTTCTGATCTCTGTACACCTGGATCGTCGGCTCCTGTTATTGAACTGTACTCATATTGAGACGATGCTACGATATTCATGATTTACGGCAAACCGTCAACGGGTTGGGACACGACCATTGATACCATGACAAGATCTTATCGTTATGCAACACCATTGCATCATTGAATTCTTCTTGACGAAACGATGCAGACTTCGGATCGAGGCATCTACCTATCTATCTGCATCTATGTCTTGTATTCTTTCAATTCTTTTTTCTCTTCTTGTGTTTTGCAGTTATGTTTATCACGCCTGTTCTGGCGACGATGTTTACTCCGTTGTCGTCTTTCTCTATTCTTGTTGTCTTTCTATCTCGACTATGTCGTCACCTCATGTTTCCTCCCCAGTGATCCCCCTCTTGTGCTTTTATTTTTCCTCGCATTCTGCATTCATCTATTGTTCTTCTTCGGTTGTGTTTTACCACCCTGCACGAAGACGTGGACTTTGCATATCCCTATGGAGTGACGAAGCAGTGTTTTGACTGTTGGAAGCAGGTTGTTGTCATCATCAAGATGTCACAACACCGTTTTTTGTCACACTAGGACGAATTTTTGTATCAGACTTTTCAACATGTCTTCTGCATATTGGGAATGATGCTTGATGCATGGGTTACGATTTATCATCACTTGTTCCAACAGCATCAGTAGAATAGATGTACCCATACGCTTAGCAAGCAATTTTCACGGAATTGTTCTTAAGTCAGTCGATAAACGTCATTTAGTAGGAAAGTACTAGCAGGACTTGCGAGTGTAGAGGCGAGACGCGATCGACACACGGTCGCACGTGACCTGCTGCGGCCATGGACGGCGTCTCTCCGCTGATTAGCGATAAGACCTCCGAGATCTCCAACTACACCAGCAGGGTATTCGATTGAGACGTGTACGGCGCATTCTCCTGTACGCCCTGGTGCTGGGCCAAAATATCCCACCATGTCGCCCTTTGAGATTTCCCGAGCACTGAGCCAGAAGTGGCCCTGTCGCGAGCTCCAAACCAGACAGCTTGCCAGCCTCCTTGGGGTATGCTTTGCAGCTTTTTTACGCTAAGATCCAATCCAACAACACGACTTCGAAGCATTATATCTAACGCTTGACTACTCAATCTAGCCAAAAACATCTAGTCCACCGACAGTGGTCGTCCACGGTATCGCCGCAACGTGCAAGTCGACCATTGTGCGCGCCGTCCTCTCCGCCCTTGAAGTGCCGCACGCCATTGTGCGCAGCCCCGAGTGCATCACCGGCCGCCACCTCCTGACCAAGATCCTGTGGGCGACCCTCGAAGCGCTGGGTAAGCAGGGCGAATGGGAAAAATTCGGCAAGGGGCGCTGCGAGCATGTCAGCATGCTGGCGGTGCTCCTGGCGGAGTGTCTGGGCGTGACGTCGGGGAAGCCCGTGAGCAAGTTCATCCTCGTGCTGGATGGGATTGATAAGCAGCGCGAGGCGCCGCATACGCTGTTGTCGGCGCTGTCGCGGCTGGGTGAAGTGGTGAGATTCCTTGCGGAGTTGAGTGGTGCGGGCATGGTCTAATTGACGCTGTTTGCGCAGATTCCGTGTCTCTCGGTTGTGCTGATTCTGAGCTCGACACCCCGGCCGCTGTTTCTGCAGGCGGCTGGCGTGCCGCATATCAGCTTTCCGCCGTATACGCGCAAGGAGGCGATTACGGTGATTCTGGGGGGAGGGCCGCCGGCGATGGAGGGTTTGCCGGAAGACGTCTCGATGAGGTTGTATGCGCCCTTTGTGTCGGCGGTCTACGACTCATTGGTTGGGCCGACGGCGAGCTCGATTCCTACCTTTCGGTCTATTTGCGAGAAGCTTTGGCCTCGGTTTGTGTCGCCTATTGTTCTTGGGGAGCGGCCGCCGGGAGGCAGCGAGGAATGGGATTTCTCTCGGCTGCTGGTGAAGAATCGCTCGTTGTTTCGCCGCCAGGGCGAAGAAGCTCTTGTACATCACATTGTCACGGAAGAAGCCACTCCCTTGGCTAATGGCACGATCTCCAAGCCATCCCTGGCCGCCGTGTCTGCGCCTTCGCCGCTTCCATCCCTGCCGTACCTCCCCACCCTCATCCTGACCTCTGCATACCTCGCTTCTCACACGCCGCAACGACTGGACACGATTTTCTTTTCGAAGTTCTCCTCGTCGTCGCTGTCTGCGCGAAACAAGCGCGCGCACCATCGCCGACGTCTGAAGCTTCTCTCGCAGGCCAAAGCGGCCGACAGCCGCGCCGCAAACCACGCCAGTAACGACGCTGGCAAACGCACAAAGACGCGAATCACGAAAACCACGCTGGAATCAGCATTCGCAACATCCTCGGCCACGACTTCTGCGGCGAGTAGCGGCAGCGTCGGCATCACCGGCCCATCCACTATCCTCACAGCCCGGCCGTTCCCCCTCGAGCGTTTAATTGCCATCTATCACGCGATTGACCCAAACCCGCCCGCCAATCCCGTGCACCAAGCTGCGGTGGCTGATGCAATATATGCGGAGCTTGCTACGCTGCGCCGTCTGCGGCTTGTTGTGCCGGCTGCTGGTCGCGACAGTGGCGGTCGTATGGGACTAGGATCGGGCGGGTTGAGTAGTGGGAATACCACGTCTGACGCGGGAGAAAAGTGGTGTGTTAATGTGTCTGGCGACTGGATTGGAGAGTTGGCCAAGGGTATCGGCGTTGAGGTTGGGGAATGGCTCGCCGGTGGATTGGACTAGATGGTCTGTGTATGGATTACATACGGAGCATCTCTCCGTACCTGTTTAATTATTTGTCAGTTATGTAGCGGGATATACTTGATGGCATTTATTCTCACTTTGTGCGGAGCTGAGATCACCATATCCATTCATCCACTGTTGCCTTCGCACAGACCAGTATGCTGGGCGTCTGGGGACCGTGCGATGACCCGTCTCCGGGTTCGAAGCATATCGAGGAAATCGGATGTTTGTATTGATATTGCGACAAGGGCGAAGTGATCTGTTCGCCAGTGCGGAGGGAGAACAGTTGGATCGTGCGCTCATCGGACGCTGCGCAGTAGGTTAGACAAGGTCCATTGCTGGGTATCTGACGAGGGCACCAACCGCTTGCAAGAAGTCCGAGCTCCGGGCTGAGGTCAAAATCGGGTATGATCTCAGGGGAGTAGTCGAGGAACTCCAGGTAAGGTCTCGTCGAAGTATGGTACTTATTGTTCGGGTTCGGGTTGCGCTGTAGTCCGTTCGGCGGGTAGCGAATGTCGTACATTTTGAGCTGGGACGGTCTCAGCTTTGCGTCTGCGGCACACCGGGTGGACGTGTCAGCGACTTACGGAGTTTATCCCCGCGACGACCATCCGATATGGATCGACCCTGCGGATCTTGGAGACGGCGTGAGAATGCTGCAGACGCGTCGCGGTTCCACCACTGCGCAGGTCGTGCAGGAAGATCGCCGAGTCTTTCAGACCGGCGGCGATCACATCGGATGACAGCCATTCGACGCTGGTCACGAGCGCGTGCGACGAGTCGACGCGGCGGTGGAGGATCGGCTTTCCGGTGAAGACATCGCTGGCGAATTGCTTCTTGGACAGAGTCCACTGGCTGCCGAAACCGCCCAGTGTGTACAGTCCATCGGAGGTTCCCACGGCGAAGAGCGGCGTGTTGCCCTCGGGACATGCGGCGGAACACCACAGAGACGATGTTGTGCGGAGACGAATGGGGGAGACTGGGTTTGGAAAGGTCAGTGGGTTTATGGTTGAGACGGCCGGAAAGGAGGGAAAGGCGCCGTACAGAGTGAGGGCCATCGGTAGTCTCCACCTTCATCTGGATCAGGGAGCATGCGTGGCGCGAGGAAGGAATCTCCGTCGGGGCCGCTGTCCATTGTTGCGCTGACAGTGTCAGTCACGGAGAGCGGAGGACGGGAGACGTGGGCTTACAGCAGGTATCCCGTATGGCTTAGGGAGATCGAGGAAAGCTTGAAGGTGTATGTTAGCAGTTATTGGGAATTGGCCATCCTGGAGGACCATGCATACTCGGTAGGGGTCCTTGAACAGGACGCGCTCCATCGTCCGGTTGTACGTCCATTTCTCTTGGTCGCAGTCGGGGAAGCATACGCTGATAGATGATTAGTATACGAGCCGGGCGATGTTGTTCATATTGAGATGAGGGTTTTCTCACGAGACAGACGACTCTCCGCCGCGGTGGCCACCTTGGACATGATTAGCAACAAACAGATGCTCTGAAATCCATCACTTACTAGCAATAAGAATTCCAGATCGCTTGTTGCGGAGCACCTGTTTGATGGTGTAATCATTCGGCCATGGCTCGAACTGGTGCAGTCGGCTGCGGCGGACTTGGCTCGCGTAGAGCAAGCCCCGTTGCTCTTGTCGAACAGATTTAGAAATATTTAAAGCGCCGATTTCCTGGTTTATACCAAGGAGGGGATTCGCCAGGAAAGCAGATCTCTTGATTTTCTCCTTCGCAATTCGCTGAGAGCGATGAGCTTTTCTTTGACGTTTCTATAAGATGTCAGTTTGTGGCTGAATTGGACTCCTTGCAGATTACCTCATGGTCTATCCTTCGGCGCTTTACGGCATCTTTGGAGTACTGCAGTCCTGGTGTGGCCTTGTGGCTTGCTTCAATCTTGAAGTATTTCTTCTTCTCCGGGTCTAGTGGGATGTCAGTATATAACCAGCGCCATATGGGAGTTACGACGTACCATAATAAAAGCCGGGAATTTCCCTGTTCATACTTATGTTTGAGAAATAGATGCAGAAGAGGTTGTTTCAAGTCTTGTCAGTAAGAACAGATAGCATAAATTCAGGTTGGTATAAGAGAGTTGATAGTTCATGGATCTCGGGAGTTTTGATTCCGGGACCCCTCAATATGTGATCAAGAAGGAACCCCAGAGACTTGAGCTCCTGGTAAGATATACAGAGTAGTAAATATCACAGGCGACAAAAGCCGGCGTGGTTCTGTCGTTATAGAAGAGGAACACTGGGGGAGGAGTGAAACGCTGCCGTCGAGAGCTTTTTTCCCTTTCGAGAAGATGACGTCCATGCGCAGATTACGTCATCATCATCCTCTCGCTGATTGGCGCGCGCCTCTTTTCTATACAATTACCCGATTGGGAAGTCGTCCTCGTTGGGCAAGAGCTCTCTCCTCCTGCCAATTGTCCCAGTCCTCTCCTCCGTCCTTCTCCCCTTTCTCTCGCCTTCAAGTTCCAAACCATCTGGGTTCATCCCCTGTTCCCAACACTCTTATTCTGTATACTATTTGCTTTCATCCCCATATTTCCGGCATCATGGATCCACACCATGGGCAAGATGTGTCCGCAGTCTCTGAGGGCAAGGATTCCATTCCAGATCAAGCTTCCTCAAAAGATGTTTTACTCTCAGGCACACCATATACGACAATTACACAAGCCAAGCCTCTGGACGATGACGATGAGGACATCAACGCTCTCATCGAGAGTCTCGAATCGGATACGGAGGTCGAGCTAGAGGAGCGTCAAGTTAGCAACACCCACGAGCCTCGTCCCATCCCTGAGGAAATCCTCCAAACAGATCCAAGTACTGGTCTCAGTCAGGAGGAGGCCATAGCTCGTCGGAAGAAGTACGGTTTCAACAAACTGAAAGAAGAAAAGAAGAACCTGTATCTCCAGTTCTTGTCCTATTTTCTTGGACCAGTGCAGTTCGTCATGGAGGTATGTAGACTTGATCCTCCTCACTTGTCAATGTTTACTTATGGTCATGTCCTAGGCCGCGGCAATCCTAGCCGCCGGGCTTCAGGATTGGGTTGATTTCGGCGTTATCTGTGCCCTCCTTCTGCTCAACGCCTCAGTTGGATTCATCCAAGAGTTTCAGGCTGGATCAATTGTGGAGGATCTGAAAAAGACCCTAGCCCTAACTGCCGACGTCTTTCGTGACTCTCATCTAGTGGAGATCAACGCCTCGGAGGTGGTGCCAGGGGATATAGTGAAGATTGAGGAGGTATGTTGAGCACATAAACTGTCCCCAGCCCAAGCTCACTGTAAGCAGGGAACTATAATTCCTGCTGATGGACGCCTGTTGTCTTGCGGTTCTCTTCAAATAGACCAGTCTAGCATCACGGGCGAGTCTCTAGCAGTGGACAAGCACACGGACGACACCTGCTACGCCTCCTCAGCCGTCAAGCGCGGGAATGGATGGCTCATTGTCACAGCCACCGGAGACTACACATTCGTGGGTCGCTCCGCGGCTCTGGCGAATGCTGCTTCCTCTGGCACAGGTCACTTTACCGAGGTCCTCAATGGCATCAGCGTTGTCTTATTGGTCCTTGTCATAATGACTCTCCTCGTGGTATGGGTCTCTTCATATTATCGGTCCAATGACATTGTCACCATCTTGGAGTTCACTCTGGCTATCACCATCATAGGCGTGCCTGTCGGTCTTCCCGCCGTCGTCACCACTACGATGGCCGTCGGCGCGGCGTACCTAGCCAAGAAAGGTGCTATTGTTCAAAGACTATCAGCTATCGAATCACTTGCAGGCGTTGAAATACTTTGTACCGACAAGACGGGCACATTGACGTGGAATCGGCTAGAGCTCTTTGAGCCCTACACCGTCGCTGGGGTCGATCGTGATGATCTCATGTTGACTGCCTGTTTGGCGGCTTCAAGGAAGAGAAATGGCATGGATCCTGTGGACAGAGCTTTCTTCAAATCGCTTATTCGCTATCCTAAGGCTATGGCTGCGTTTGGGGAGTATAAGACTCTTCAGTTTTTCCCATTCGATCCGGTCTCTAAGAAGGTCACCGCTATTGTGCAATCACTGGATGGGGCGAAAATCATATGTGTGAAGGGCGCGCCTCTATTTGTCCTGAAGACTGTGGAAAACGACCACCCTATTCCCGAGGAGTGTGAAAGTTCTTATAAAGCAAAGGTGGCCGAATTTGCACGCCGTGGCTTTCGGTCCTTTGGAGTTGCCCGCAAACGTGATGGTAACGATTGGGAGATACTTGGTATTGTGCCATGTGCTGATGCGTTGAGAGACGACACCGCAATGACCATCAATGAAGCCAAAAATCTCGGCTTATCGATCAAGATGCTCACCGGTGATGCAGTCGGTATTGCCAAAGAAACCCTTCGACAGCTGGGATTGAGTACGAATGTTTATGACGCAGAAGGTCTTGGCCTGGGAGGAACGGGCACGATGCCAGGATCTGAGGTATATGACTTCGTTGAAGGAGCGGACGGCTTTGCAGAGGTGTTCCCGCAGCACAAATACAATGTCGTCGACATTCTTCAACAACGAGGATACTTGGTTGCCATGACCGGAGACGGAGTCAACGATGCTCCATCCCTCAAAAAGGCAGACGCCGGAATTGCAGTCTCAGGATCCTCAGACGCCGCTCGCACGGCCGCTGATATTGTCTTCATCGCGCCGGGCATATCAAACATCATCAACGCCCTGAAAACATCACGCCAAATATTCCACCGAATGCATGCATATGTTATTTACCGAATTGCCCTGTCGCTACATTTGGAGATATTCCTAGGGCTCTGGATCGCCACCATGAACAAGAGTTTGAACCTACAGCTGGTGGTCTTCATTGCGATCTTCGCAGATATCGCCACCTTAGCCATTGCCTACGATAACGCGCCTTACTCAAAGAATCCCGAAAAGTGGAATCTACCCAAACTGTGGGGAATGGCCGTCATCCTTGGACTTATCCTCGCCGTTGGGACCTGGGTGACGCTGACTACCATGATCTCTGGCGGAGAGCATGGTGGGATTGTACAGAACTTCGGACAACGCGACGAGATTCTGTTCCTGGAAATTTCCCTCACCGAAAATTGGCTGATTTTCATAACGCGAGCCAAAGGGCCGTTTTGGTCATCGAAGCCTTCCTGGCAGCTTGCGGGTGCGGTATTTGTCGTGGATCTCGTAGCGACATTTTTCTGCCTGTTTGGTTGGTTCGTTGGTGGTCAAACCTCTATTGTAACGGTCATTCGCACGTGGGTTTTCTCCATAGGAATCTTCTGCGTCATGGCAGGTGTTTACTACCTACTGGAGGGCTCCGAAACGTTCGACGACCTGATGCATTGGCGTAAGAGGCGTCGCAGACGAGCAACCCCGAGGGACTTGGAAGACTTCAGTAAGTTTCGCACCTCTTTCTTTAGACATTGACTGACTGTAACAGTTGTTACAATGCAACGGACTTCCAAGCAACACGAGGCAAAGTCGATGGAGGTGGAATCTAGCGTCAACCGCTAATACTGACGCTACGCTTACCACTTGGATGAATTGGGAGATTCTTCGGTCCGAGACTTTATTGTTCATGGGTATAGTGGTCCTCTTGGAGTATAGCTTGTATTCATTAATATGGAAATAACGAGGCTTCTGTTTTCTTTCATCAATTGCATCAAGACCACTGCTTGCTTTAGAGATGTAGGAACCTAACATTCATCAACCCCTTAAACTCGAAAGATAACCACTCCAACATGACCACAATAAGCTAAACCATGGGTATCTCACGATCAAGGAACACATGAAAGCACTCAACCCCAACTGGCCACACCCTTGTCTACAAAATCTAGAGCATGAATTAAGTAGTCAAATTATAACTAGTCAAGCTAGCTAGATAGATCGCACACATCCCCCGCAAGATTTATTGATGTCGGCATAATATGGTACAGCACATCTGTCTGACCATTCACCCATCTTCTCTCGGTTCCTCTCCAGTCCGTGATCCGGGGTAGATAACATGAGATGCTCAGTCGGGTGCCAAAGAAGGAGACGAGACTAGACAATACCGCTGAGAGAAAATATACAAGTAGCAACAAAAGTCGGTAGGAGATATGAAACAATTGAATACAGAGATGGAGTTAGAAAGGAGAAAGGAGAATCAACATTAAGCGAGTGCGTGGAAGGCTCACGGACAAATACTATGTGCATAAACAAATGACTTGACGGATCAACCAGGGGGAGAGAGAATAAGGAAACTCATTACGACTTCGAGGTGAGATGATCAACCGCCTAGAGATTGCAAGTTAGTTCACAGCATCGTACTTATCACTTGGGATATGATCCAAACGCACCTTGTCGAGGTTGTAGTCGAACTGTTCGAGCGCAGCTAGCGACTCTTCACGAGGGAATCCCATCCCTGTCAAGCGCTGAAGGATCTGATCATCTTCCGTGCCGGTCTGTAGAGCCCAGCCGGGCTCCTTCGGTCCCGTCGCAGGAGGTGCACCATTAGTGGGACTGGGGCTGGCGGATGTAGCTGGGTTCACGTTGTCGAGCGGGGCGAAGAGGGCGTCCCAGTCAGGGGCTTGGGATTTCGCGTTGGGGTCTGTGGACGATGCAGTTGCTGCGGCTGCACCACCAGGGGACGAGGCGCCGACACCCTTGTCGAAGTTGAAGAAATCAGAAGACGCGGCGCCGCCAGCTGGGGTCTTCTGCTGTGACGATTGGGGATTGTCGAATGAGAAGTCAAAATCCACGTTGCCGTTGCCCTTGCTGCCAGGTGTCTCGTAATCTTCCTCGTCGTCATCGTCCTCGGTTTCCTTGGCCGGCGCGAGGTCGAGACCAGCAAAAGCGGCTTCAAAGTCGGTTCCACTGGGCTTCTTCTCGGCAACCGCTCCACTGTCCTTCTGCGGTTCTCCTCCCACAATGGGAGCACCAGTACTCGATTCTACAGAGTGCGGCGCATCAGGAGCAGCAGTAGGATCTGCTCGCTTGGGTAGAAGGCCGTTAAACTCCGGTACATCACCCTGATCCTGCTTCACGCTCTGTTCATACTTTGGAGGGCTGACTTGCGAGTCCGCGGAAGGGGGCTGCTGGGTGGTGGGGCTGGTCGCAGTTCCTGGGACAGGGAAGGCTGCGAGTTGAGAGGGTTCGATGGTCTCGGGTTTGGCAGAAGCCACCTGACTCTGGGGCGGCACAACAGGAGTGAAGTTGTCATCGAACCCCATGGGGGCTTCGCTGTCGGTGCTATCACCATCGTCATCATCTAGCTCGCGGATAGGCGGAAATTCGGACTCCGCAGCAGCGGACGTTCCATTGGCCTTGCCTCCGGTGTTCTGCTTCATAATGGCGAACGCCTCTTCAAAGTCATTTTCCTTTTGTGACTGCGAACGCTTGTGGGCTGGTCCACCGAAGAGCTCATCGAAAGACAGATCCTTCTTTTCTTGCTGAGGCTCATTTTCATGTGAGGCTCCAGAGCTTGCAACCTGTTCGGCAGCGTCGGGGATCTCTGGGAATTTCTGACTCACATCTTCGGTACTATCCTGGGGAGCCGAAGTGGGAGCTGGCTCCGTAGGCCCAGCCTGTAACCCGGCTCCTACATTAGGTGTCTCCTGCCCACCGAATCGACTACCAGGCGGGGACACCTGGGTCGAAGAAGTCGGCGACTGGGTCTCTCCGAGTGGGAGGGCGTTAGGTGTTAGCTGTCGTGATTCGGCTGGTGTGGGAATCATTCCAACCCCACCAGACGGGGGTGGAGGAGACACTGAAGGGGTCGGCACCCCGGATGTCACGGGAGATTTAGCGGAGGTAGGTCGGGAGTCCGCACGGAAAGACGTTGGCGGCGGAGGGGTGGCAGCATTCGATGGAGCTGTGAAGGGAGGCCCGAATAGGCTATCGAAGGCACTCCGCTGATCGTTCGAGAGCTGAGGCGACAACGCATGACCGTCACTGGAGCCCGTGGCCGTGCGCTTGAAGAAAGGATTCGTGTTCTGGCTGGTTGTCGAGGGTGCAGGACTGGTTACAGCAGGGGTAACACCAGCTGCAGTCGTGCTCTCGTCGGATTCCCGAGGCTGCTCCTTGGACAAGCTTTCCATTTCCTCTTGGAGCTTATCGCGTTCGCCTTCTACGGTGGCGAGTTGTTTCTTGTTAATTGCAACAAGTCCTTTATGTTGACGGGCATCTAACCGAGCCTTTTCAAGGGCGGGCTTCAGCTGGGCAACCGCGGCATTAGCTTGACGGATCTTCTCCTTCAAGCTAGCATTTTCTTGCTGGTCCGCAGTCAAAGCAGCAGACACCTGATCATACTGATTTTGCAGATCTTGCCGACTACCCTCAATCAAAGCATATTCTTGCTGCAATTTCTGGGTTTCCGCCTTGGATGCGTTCAGACGCTCCTCCAGGGCCTTGAAATTCTTGACCTCCTGTTCATACATCGCACGAGCTTGTGCGAGACGGGTCTCAAAGTCACGCTTTTGCTGAGAGGTCTGGGAGAGATCTTGTTCGGCCGAGGTGCGCTTGGTTTGAACGTTCTGCATCTCATTTGCGAGCGAACCAATCTGATTGGAGAGGTTCGCAAGCTCAGTGGTTTCTTGGGTCAATTTCTTGGACTCCTCGGGGTCGTTGTCTCCGAGAAGGTCATCGGCAGGAGGCGGGGGAGAGCGAACGGGCTGGGGCGTTCCAGCCGACGCTCCCGTCACCTGGGGCTGAATACTCTGGCCGAAGGACGAAGTGGGGATGAATGGCTTGAACGTCGTTGCGGATGCGCTGGGTGGAGAGGTTCTAGATGACGGAGATCCGGGCGTCTGGAACGGCGTGTGCGATCCTCCCGTAGACTGAGGGATCTGTGACGGCGCAGCAGGCGCGGCCGGCGCAGCAGGAGCTGTGAAGCTGTCCAGACCAAAGAGATCTTCCGCAGCAGAGCGAGGAGCCTGAGGTGCCGGCGCAGGAGCGGGAACGGGAACGGGAGCGGGAGCGGGAGCAGGAGCTTGGGGCGGAATGGCACCCATCTGGGCCGATCCGGGGCGGCGCATACTGGGGGGAATTAAGGCGGGGGGAAGGGTCTGGGGCAATTGGTCTTTACCACTGCGTTGGAGTCGGACCAGATACATCGCCACCGCGAATTCGTCTTTGCTCAACTGACCATCGGCATCAATGTCTGCGAGGTCCCAGATTTGCGCAAGAGTTTCCTCAGGCAGCTGAGCATTCATGAAGAAGGCCACAGCCTGGTCACCACTGATAGTTCCCGCCTGGGCCGTGTCGACGGTTGAGAAGATGCTATCAAAGTGCATCTTTTCCTGCGGCGTGATGAGCCAGTCGCCGCCCGTGGCCTGGGCCGACACAGGAGATCCAAACGTCCTGTTGATAGGACTTTGCGTACGCTGCGGTCCAGTGAACTGCTTCGGTATCGCCGGAACAGGCGGGACATCGAGACCCGGTCGAGAGCCGATGGAGGAACGGGCAGAGCCACGGCGGGCGGCGGCATCATAGAGACCAGGTGGTAGCGTCTGGGGGATACCTCGCATGGAACCCAATCTGTAGGAAGTCAAGAGATGCATAGCAATGATGAATTCGGTGGCATCGAGAGCGCCGCGCTGTTTCGTATCCGCCAAGTTCCATATCCGACCGAGGATTTCGTTAGGGAGTCTTGCACGTTCGAAGATCTGCTTCGCCGCCTCGCCTACCGATGACATGGTGGTCAGCAGCTGCCAACTCTTCACTAGACGTGGCCCAAAAAACAACGGAATACATACCAGAGATGATCCCACTTCTCGACACGTCCGATTTCTCAAACAACGACACGAACTTGTTCACATCCTCTGGGTTCAACGGAGGAACACGAATTGGCGCCGCACCAGCAGCGGTAGCTGGTGGGGGACTGGTAGTGCCGGACTCACGCGCAGGAGCGGTAGTGTCGACGACAATTCCTTCGAACCGTGGGAGCGGACCAGCTGAACAGAGCCACGGCGTCAGTACTCTCAAGTCTGTAAAGCCAACAGAAACTAAGAAGCCACACTTACGTTGCATTGCAAGCTCCTCGGTAGGAGCGCGACCGGCTTGGGCATGTCCAATCAACCGCATAACCACCCCGAAGCCCGACGGGGTCAGGAGACCCCTGTTCTCCTTGTCCGCAATCTGCCATATCTACAGCCGCGATGTCTGCGTTAGCTGGCCACGTTCGCATGCCATGCACGGGTGCATAAGGAGGTCCCTGTCACGTACCAGACCGAGCGTTTCCGGGGGCAATTTGGTCTTCTCGAAGAAAGGTACGGCGACCTCGCCGGTGATGACGCCAAGGTTGGTCGTATCGGCCACCTGGAAGAGTTGGTAGAAGACTCGCTTCTCCTCTGGTGTCAAATTGAGGTTCGGATGTCGAGCTGTTCGGAGTGGTGGGTGTACCCGTCAGTTCCGCTGGCTCATCAAGATGGTTGTCTCCTGAAGGTGTTGTCCTCCCGCGCTTGGATGGCTAGGATTCGGAGGCACGGAGCTGGGAAGATTCAGGAAACTCACCATTGTCAGCCATGATGATAGCTCAGGAGGAGTGGACCTCCCGTCAGGACTAGCAATTTCGCGGAATGTTGATGGGGGAATTGTTGTGACGGGACTGAGGTAGATGGGGGAGTGCAATTACGCAGTAGTCGCCCCGAGCATGGATGGCCAAGACGCTAGCTTCTGGGGAGTTGGAGACGGGAGGGACAGATGGGATCGGCCAGGGAGGCGCGAAAGAGGACGACAGTCCGAGACGGAGAGAATAGCAGGAAGCTGGGAAAGCTTAGGGAAGCTCAGGGAGAGACGGAGAACAGAGAGAATGATGAGGTTCAGGACAGTCCGTCAGTCGAGGGGGCGGATTCTGCCGGGCGGTGAGGCAGTCAGCGCATCATAGTAGTCCAACTCCACCCATTATTCAGGAGTTCCTGGGGAACTACGGTCCACCGAGTAGAAAGAGGTACCTGTTTAGCACGGTCTATTTTTCACTACCTACACCATAACAGCACTACAACGGGAACGACAGGTAAATTCATGGCGGCTTCAGGGATATTAAAAATATATCAGACAAAGAAAACACGGTCTGGGACTACTAAGCCAATCTTCTCTCCTATTTGCAGGCAGTTCAAAGATAGATAAGAACCTGGGCCAACGCCTGTCCCCACCATAACAGCAACAATGCACAAGGAATCAGCTCGAGACGCTTAGTACTCGGCCTCAACCTCTTCCTCCTCCATGGAGTCGCTGGCGACCTCCTCGTAGTCACGCTCCAGGGCGGCCAGATCCTCACGGGCCTCGGAGAATTCACCCTCCTCCATACCCTCACCAACGTACCAGTGCACGAAAGCACGCTTGGAGTACATGAGGTCGAACTTGTGGTCGAGAGCAGACCAGGCCTCGGAGATGGCGGTGGTGTTGGAAAGCATGCAGCTGGATCATCGTTAGCTTCCATCTTCGTTCTCCAATCTCGCCAAAAACTTACACAGCGCGGTTGAGGTTGGCAAGGTCGCCGTTGGGCACCTGCTGGGGAGGCTGGTAGCAGATACCAATCTTGAAGCCAGTGGGGCACCAGTCGACGAACTGGATGGTACGCTTGGTCTTGAGGGTGGCCACGGCGGCGTGGGTCTCCTTGGGGACGACATCACCACGGTAGAGCAGGCAAGTGGCCATGTACTTGCCGTTGCGGGGATCACACTTGACCATCTGGTTGTTGGGCTCGAAGCAGGACATGGTGATCTCGTTGACCGAGTTGGCCTCGTGGGAAGCCTTGTCGGCGGAGATGACGGGGGCGTAGGCGACCAGAGGGAAGTGGATACGGGGGTAAGGCACCAGGTTGGTCTGGAACTCGTTCAGGTCGACGTTGAGGGAACCATCGAAACGCAGAGAAGCGGTGATGGAGGAGACGACCTGGGCGATAAGGCGGTTCAGGTTCTCGTAGCTGGGGCGCTCAATGCCGAGGTTGCGGCGGCAGATGTCGTAGATGGCCTCGTTGTCGACCATGAAGCTGCAGTCGGAGTGCTCCAGGGTGGTGTGGGTGGTGAGGATGGAGTTGTAGGGCTCAACGACCGAGGTGGCGTTCTGGGGGGCCGGGTAGACGCAGAACTCCAGCTTGGACTTCTTGCCGTAGTCGACCGAGAGACGCTCCATGAGGAGGGCACCGAAACCGGAACCGGTACCACCGCCGAACGAGTGGAAGACGAGGAAGCCCTGCAGACCAGCACAGTTGTCGGCCACACGACGAACCTTGTCGAGGACCTGGTCGATCATCTCCTTGCCAACGGTGTAGTGACCACGGGCATAGTTGTTCGAGGCATCCTCCTTGCCAGTGATCATGTTCTCGGGGTGGAAAAGGCTGCGGTAGGTACCGGTGCGGACCTCATCGACGACATTGGGCTCGAGATCACAGTAGATGGTACGAGGGACGTACTTGCCCTGGCCTGTGTGCAATTGGCGGTCAGGAGTGTGCGTGGGAGAGGACGGGGAGCATTAGGAGACGTACCAGTCTCGGAGAAGAAAGTGCTGAACCCATGGTCGGGGTCGCTCTGCTTACGCTCCTCAGTGAGGTAACCATCGGCCTAGGAGCATCCACAATCAGATTTCCATCATCCCACAGTCCAAAGTCGCGTCCAATGTTTCCATCCACATACCTGAATACCGTGCTCGAGGCAGTAAAGCTATCATCACGCACAACCGTCAGTTCACCCGATACCATCCAAATGATGTTTACCTCTCGTGAATCTCGGAAGATACGTGTCGAATTGAGCGGAATTGGAAGGAGATTCATACCTCCCAGCAGGAATTGGCGATCTGGCAACCAGCCTGACCGACTGTGCAGGGTTAAAAAAAAATACGTTAGTAACACGACAGGGACAACAAACGGGATCCCACTGGTTCGTCACACACCGTTCAAACTAATAACTTCTCTCATTTTGTCGAGTCCGAAGAGAAAAGGCGAGAGGATCGAGTCAAACAAGGAGGAGGGGAGGCGAGTGGTGAGTTGGAATGTGGAAGAGGGGGAAAAATACCCAGGACGATGGTCGATCTGTACGGGTGTTTCAGGGGTAAGTAACTGGAAAAAGTGACTCCGAGGCGAGAACCCGAGGGGAGCAGTGTGGATCAAACGTGAGGAATGGGGATGAAGGGAAGAGGGAGAGGGATTGACAGAGGGAGAGAGGAAGGGAAAGGGGGATTGCAACGTACCAAAGGGCCCTAGGGTCGAGAACAACAGTAACGGGGGGGGAAGGAGAGAGGGAGAGAGAGGTGTCGATGTGGTTGTTTGTCCCTTGGTTTTTTGTTGATCGTTCCCGTTGGGTCGCGTCGGGCCTGCCTGGCCCCTGATTGGTCTGCGTGGCTCCCCTCACCGCTTGACTGGTCCCCCCGCTGACTCAGCCATCCCGTTCGGGGTCCGTCTACATGCACGTGACATGACGTTGATCTTGTCCGCTGCGGATAGCTTCATCATCGACAGGTGATGCGTCCAAACCACCTGTCTCCTGCGTTCTTTTCCTCCTGTCAATAATGCCCCCAGATCGGCCCCCTTCCTGAACAATGTATTACCTGGTCGTCCTTCTACTCTTCCTCATTGTCCCATTGGTCTCCGCCAATGTCGAGAAAACCATCTTCCTCGCTCCCCCGGCCACTCTTCTACCCTCTATCGATCCCTCCCTCGACGACCTCGGTCTCCAACGTCTCTCCCCCAACAACCCCGTCCTCCGCACCAAACTCAATGTCTCTTTTCCAACCGACACCCAGTCGGGTACGGACTCGTGGTACTTTCTCGAGAACCTACATCCGGGGCAACGATATGAAGTGCGGATCTGCTGGTTAGCCACGGTAGGTCTCTCTCCTCCGTGCATCTAATGACTTCCCCATCGATCCTTGTGTACAAAGACTCACCGCATCCAGCAACCAACAGCGTTCACCCTCTCGACCTTCACCCTACGCGACGCCCTCGACGACCCATCTCTCCTCTCCGCCATCAGTGTCTACGCCTCGACCCGTCTCGATACCAAATCCTATCCCATTCCCCACAAACCGTACGCTCCCGTTGACCCGGCCCCGTCGCCGGATTCGGCATTGTTCCTGCGCGTCCGCGCTGCAGCAGATTTCTTTTCGCGCGACTTGTCTCTAATGGAGGCACCGCCGCCCGTTGTGGCAGATATCATTCTGGACCCCTTCCTGGCGAACATCTTCCCGCGGTCCCTCGTGCCCACCGCTGCATATGTCTTGGTCGTTGCCGCTTTGGCGCTGGTTGTGGCGCGCTTCGTATGGGGACAGATCCAGAAGACCGTGCATACGGCAGGGACACAGCGGGACCAGGAGAAAAAAGCCCAGTAGACGATTAATGTACGATGTAATGAACCTTTGTAAAAGAACAATTTGAGACATTCTATGGACGTGATAGCATCAAGCAAATTGTGTTTTTCTATGCATTATTGGACGGGGTCGTAGATATATATTCTAACACCAAGGGGCACCTCCTACTCCAACAATGAAAACACCGCGAAGAAAATCATACGATGCAACTAAACACAAGGGGTCTTGTTAAGCAGGAAAACTAGAGACGTAACGGCGTGGAAATCATCAGGTAAAGAACGAGAAAACATCATGAAATATCGATAAATCAAGAACGGGGATTGGTGGGCAACACAAGGGCAGGTCGTAATCAAAATAGCTAGGAAAAGACAACAAGGGCCAGCATTGTATGGTCTATGATACCCAAATTACGTATCTCACCAATCAATCTTCAAAGAAATGCAGAACGGCACGAATACCCTTCGACCCCAGTCCGTGAGGCGGATATGAGATATAGAGGGGCTCGTCCTGCGCTCCGAGTTTGGCGCGGAACTCACTCTTGCGCACCAGGTGGAATTGCTTCGCCAGCGCTTCGTAAGTGCGTTGCAGCACCTTGATCTTCGGCCCGTGCATGTTGTGGCCCGGGGTGAGGGTCGTCGTGGCCCCCGCGCCGAAGGTGAGCGACTTGACTCCAAATCGGGCGGCCGTCTGGATGGCATGGGTGACAATGTGCTCTATCACACCGTTCGGGGGCTCCGGGAAAGTCGAAACTGTACTTGACCTGCATGCCGTACCGGGGAGATAATGTCGCCAGAGCAACAAAAGCGCAGATAGTGCCGGACTTGTCGACTGCGTAGAAGTACCACCGGTGCTCGGAGTCATGCCAGGGCCGGATCTCCGACAGGTGGACCTGGGTCCCTTTGCGGTTCGACAGCCAGTCCTGGATGCGCTGGTCGATCTGCTCGCGAATCTTGTCCGATACCATCTCGCCCTGGTTGAGCGAGACCAGCTTGACCCCTTCGTTCTCCGCGTGTCGGATCTTGCGAGCAATCTCCCCATCCGAGGCGGCTTGGTTGCGGGAGGGGTCGACGCGCTCCTCAGCAATGCACGACATGCTGCGCCAGCCCAGCTTCTCCCCCAAGATTGCCTCCACCTGCGGCGAGCACAAAAGCCATATCGGCTTGTATTTGGTCTCTCGCCGCAGCCACTGGAGAAATTGGGTGATCACGCGATTGTATTGACGAGGGTCGCAAAGTGGATCCCCAGGGATGACCGCATAGTGGCTGGTGCTGGGCACATAGGCGATGGCCGCGCCTGTTCCCATATCCCGCCAAATCTTGAAGCGCTCGTCGCCCCAGGATGTCGCAGTAGCGTCGCCGTAGTTTGCGACCAGGTGTTCCAAAGGCTGCAGATGTTCCTGGCTGGGAGCGACGGGCCCAATTCGATCCCGCAGCCATGCCGGCTCCATCGTCGAGGATTCCGGATGGCGGAGCTGCAGCATCGGGGGTTTGGCGGGGAAGCTTTTCGGATCTCGGTGGAAGAGAGAGGCCAGGCGGATATTGCCCAGTTTCAGCAGCAGCATCACCAGACGCTCCAAGCCTACACCGGCACCCGCATGCGGCGGAGCACCCCATTCAAAGCCTTCCATATACTCTTCCATACTGTCCGGGTTGATGCCATTGCGGCGCATGTTCTCCTCCAACATGCGCGGGTCGTGGATCCGTTGTCCACCAGACACAATCTCTTGACCGCGAATGAAGATATCGAAGGAATTGGTGAAGCGGCTGTCATCGGGATCTGGCATTGCATAGAATGGCCGGGCACCCACAGGGAACTTGTCAATGATGTAGTAGTCAGTTCCATACTTCTCTTTGACGAGCTCGCCTAGACGGATCTCATCCCGGGTATGAAGATCCTCGTCTTCTGGCAGGAGGTTGCCATCCTCGTCACGCCAACCGGAGTCATTGAGCATCTTGATGCCGTCGGCAAACCGGATAATGGGTGTCTTCTCCAGCCAGACAACGTCTTCGGAGGGGAACTGTTGCTTGATGATCTCCACCTCGCGTCGATACCGGCCGTACACACCCTGCAAGATATTCTTGATGACCGCGTCCAGAACGTCAAGCATTTCATGGTAATGTTCCTCAATGGCCATTTCGATATCAAGGCCGGTATACTCGGTCAAATGCCGGTGAGTGTTGGAGTTTTCGGCACGGAAGACGGCACCAATTTCATAGACCCGCCCGAAGTCGGCTGCAATGGCCATCTGCTTTGCCAGCTGCGGGCTTTGCGCTAGGAAGGCATCCCGACCGAAGTAGTTGACCGAGAAGACGCTGGCTCCTGATTCCGTGGCCGAGCCCTGGAGCTTGGGAGTATGGATCTCGATGAAACCTTGCTCATCAAGGGCGGTACGGAAAAGATTCCCAACGGCCGACTGAATGCGGAAGATTGATTGCGACGTTGGAGTGCGCAAATCGAGCAGCCGGTTGGCCAGGCGGACGCGATCGGGAATATGACTGCGTCGGCCTTCGACCCGTTCTTCCTCGGGAGAGCGGATTTCCGCTTCATACACGCTGAAGGGAACGGGCTCCTCGCGGGTTGACAACTACATGGATGGCATCGACGGCCAGTTCGACGTCATGGATGGTGCAGCCCAGGACGGGAACCTGGGGAGCCCGAATGGTGCCCCGCACTTGGAGAATGGATCCAATGCGGAGATGTTCGGCCCATTGGACCATGGCAATCGACTTGACGCCGGGTTCTTCATGCAGGACACCCTGGAAGGTCACCAGCTGCTGACGGAAGACGAGGAAGACCAGTTTGGCGCTCATGCGACGAACGACATGCAAGCGCGCGGTGAAGAAGATCTCCGTGCCTACCATGTCCTTGGAGATGGTGTCGAAGGAGGTGCGCAACTCGCCGGAGCGGGTGCGCGACTGGACTAGAGGCAAGGTGCCGTAGCGCGCCTTCATCTCGGCCGTCTCTTCCCGAAGCGCATTGGCAACATCCTCCCGCCGATGTTCCGAGTCCTCCGATTGACGGTATTCCCCACTGAGGCGGGATCGTTCTTGACGACGCTGTTGACGAGCCAAGCGTTTCTGTTGATTTTTGCTCAAAGCGCCGGTGCTGGAAGAGTCATCGGAGATTTCTTCGGAAGAGGAGATGTCTCCGCGATCCCGCAGGAAGCCGGCCAGGATACTCCGGCGCGGGGAGAAGCCAGAGGAGGAGGACTGAGTGGAATGACGACTGGGAGCGGGAGAGGAAGTATCCAGGTCGGATTTGGGGACGATCTTGCTGAGGGCACGTTTGATAGACATGATTAGATGCGATACATAGAGAAACGAAGGATGAGGGGCAGAAAGGGAGGGAGTGAGAAGAGAGTTTATGAAGGGTTAAGGGTTCCGAGTGGAGTTAAGTAGCCCGGAGATGACGGAAGAGAGGGATGCGGCGACCACGATTGATGTTCGACCAGGAGAGGTGAGAATGAAGCTGGAGTAGAAGAAGTAGAGAAGGAGAAGTTGAAAAAGATGAAGAAGACAATGATGATGACGAAAGAAGAGAAAAATAAGACGCGCGAAAAAGAACAGGAACAAAACGGGCAACTGGCGCTTTTCCCTGTTCGGCGGCTGGGGGGAATGATGTCATCACGACTTGATGGCTTCTTTGGGAACAATGAAAGGCAAATGGGATCACATTGTTGTAATGATGTTCTTCTTCTTCTTCTTCTTCTTCCGCCAATGCACTTTCGCCTCCAATTCTACCCCCAATCGGCCCCTGGCCTTCGACATGGATTGACCCTGGTTCTTCATCATCGTTGCCATCCTTATAGACAGCCTGCATAGAGTCCCCCGTCTTATCTCCGACCCGCCGACGTCCTTGGCCCAGGCTTCTTTCGTCCCGTTCGTGTCTGACCACCCTCACTCTCACCCTCAACCCTCCTTTCCTTTCCCCCCCGATTCTGCATCTTCAATTAATATCAAGATCTGCTGCATCATTGACGGATGTCCGATCATGGCCTCTCGCTGGTGGCTTCTCGTTCAGGCGGTTTTCTGGCGCTTTCTCATGCGCATCGGCATGTTCCTGCATGACTTCTCCTCTCCACCTCGGCCTCCCCGGTGTTCCTTCATCCGATACGTCCCCGTCGGCGACTCCCACATCCGACTGTACTTCTACTGTCCGCCTTCATACCATCGGGCCCGGAAAGACAAATCTAACCGCCGCTTTCCGGTGCTGATCAACTTCCACGGAGGTGGGTTCACTTTGGGTTGTGCCTCCGACGATGGTCGCTGGGCGCATTTCGTCCTGGACGAAGCGGATGCTGTCATGGTCAGCGTGGGCTACCGACGCGCCCCCGAACATCCGTTCCCGGCCGCCGTCGATGACGGGGTCCAAGCGCTCCTGTATTTGGCCTCTCACGCCGCCGAACTGGGGCTCGATGTCTCGCGCATCGCGCTGAGCGGATTCTCGGCGGGCGGGAACCTGGCGGTGACAGTCCCTCTGCGGTTGCGCAGTTTGCTGGCGACGTCAGACCCGTCTCCGAATGACCAAGACGAACCGGTGGTGCGGGCCGACTCCACCGAACAACTGATCGACGGGTCGGCGAGCGATCTCAACATCGTCGCGCTATTCTGCTGGTACCCGATCCTCGACTTTGAAACCTCCCGCGCCCATCGCCGCGCCATGAGTATCATGCCGGACAAGACCTTGCCGGATTTCTTCACTACCTTGTTCGATGAGTCGTATCTGCCCCATCTAGCGGACCGGCGATCGCCGTATGCGTCGCCCGTGCGGGCGTCGGACGAGGTCCTGCGCGATGCCCTGCCACACGATATTTTCCTGTATGTCTGTGAGTGGGACATGTTACTCAATGAAGGGCAGGAGTTTGTCCGTCGCCTGGAGTCGATCAATAAACATGTCCGTGCCATGATGATCGAGAGGGTGCCTCATGCCTGGGACAAGTCGCCCAACCCGTTCCGTGACCAGGACCGGGTCAATATCCTCTATCGCGATGCATGTGCAGATATGAAGGCGATTTTCGGCGGACAGGTCTGAGCATTAATGGCGTTTTGTGTTTCATGCATAGCGTAATTTCCTAACCATACACGTATATACTTAAAAGTAAACCCCAGAACCAAGAGCATTAGATCGGATTTAAAGTATCAAACAGGCTTGCTCCCCGTAACAGCCAGATACCTCCATCCACTGCGATAATTCACCACGACCGCAACCGTATTAATAAAGGAAGCCTCCATCCCCAACGCCACCACAATTATACACGGAACGTAACAAATCCAGGCCAGTACTCGCAGAAGCGGACGGACATTGCGCGTGAGATCCGTCTCGCGGACATCCTCAAACCCAGCATCCGCTAATACGCGCGCCAACCCAGAGGCCTCTTCAGAGTCCGAAGCAATCGCACCATAGCGCCGCACTTTCTCCCTCTCCAGGGCCATGGTATCCGCCGTCTGCGCCCAATGATCATATTCGTACAGCGCAACCCTGCCGCCCGGCTTCAAAACCCGCCGGAACTCCTCCAACACAGCGGGCAGGTCTCTCGCGTGCACCAGGGTTTCAATGGTATAGATGCCGTCCAGCGAGCCCTCGTCCACCGTCTCCAGTCGGTGATAGTCATCCTGTCGCACGGTCATCGTCGTTTCCCCTTCACCCAAGACCCGAGCGACATTCTGTCGCGCACGCTGCACCTGTTCCAGCAGGACGTCAACGGCGTGAACGCGTAGCCCTCTCCGTGCGAACGCAATCGCAACCTGGCCGTCGCCGCAGCCGGCATCGAGAACGCGAGCTCCAGGGGATAGCTTCAGGGACTGGTACATGTGGTCTTCCATGGCGAGGAGCGCACGGCGGATGGGGAACGGCCACCAGGTGGAGGCGGGATACAGTCCCAGATGGGCGCGGCCGTTGAAGAGCAGCCAGTTGCCCAGACGGGTCTCGAGAGAGGTGTAGTAGCGCTTGACGTCGGTCATGTTATTGATATGGCGGGGGGTGCGTCGAAGCGCTGCAGGACGATTCTGCGTACAGCATGATTTCCTGCGGCGAACATTTATACACATTTTGTAACAATCGGACGGAGCTCCTGAGCTCGCATTGTTCTCCCAAGGCCCAATAGTGTGGCGGAAGTTCTTTGTTCTGTCTGCGCCACCGATCGACTGCGCTTCCTCGACCGAATACGAGACTTGCCTAATTCGGAAGCATATCAGACTTCACAGGCTACAGAACAACATATTTAAGTCTGGCATGGGACAACAGCATGATGGCGGATTCCTCCCTCTTACAGTTTGTCCATCGCTAGGCATACCCTCCTTCTCGCACTGCAACCATGCTCTCCCTTCTTTTTGTCATGTCCAGTGCAGCCGCGCAGTTTGTCTCGAACCCTGAGACCCCTATCCCTATACCCTCCTACACTGGTTGTCCACCAGATGGACCCCTTCTTCCACGTCCAACAGCACTCTCCCAGTCCAGGTTTCTTCAAGCTGCGGCTTCCAATCTGACCGCCAGCCTCAATGCTGCTGTAAACGGCACCATCAAAGCCGGCTGGGCCGTCGACAACGTTACCTTCTCCGTGGCGGCCGTATCTCCAAATGCAGCTCACAGCGTGACTGGGAATGAAAATGGCTACTCCGATATCCTCTGGGAATATCACCATCATGCTACAGCCGCCACCCAGGGCACCTCGCGCATCACCAGCGATACCCAGTACCTGATCGGGTCGGTCTCCAAGCTCATTACGGATCTGTTACTGCTAAAATCGGGAGTTGACGTACACCGTCCAGTGACAGATTTTTTGCCAGAGCTGAACAGCTCCAACTCGTCTATTGCGTGGAGAGAGATAACGTTGCAGATGCTGGGGGAGCATCTCGCCGGAATCCCTCCCAACGGTACTTCCATCAGTACACCGACACAGCAGAATACCACTGACCGTTTATAGGTGTCTATGAGATCTACCCCCTGCAGCCGCTGTACGAGGCCTTCGGGTTTCCGTCTCTCTCACCAGGGGACTATCCACCCTGCGGCGTGATAGGTATGCCAAATGGATCGGCGTGTACGAGACAGGGTACATTTTCACATCCTCTCTGACCAACCGTCTACTCATGGCTAAAAAACACAGACACGATGCACATCCTCACCACCAAAGAGCCCATCACCTCGCCCAACACTAGACCCGTCTACTCGAACCTCGCCTTTAGCATCATCGCCCTCTGTCTCGAGCAAGCAACCAACACGACCTACGCTGACCTGCTCCGCATGCATCTCACCACGCCACTCAATATGCCCAACACAGGCGTCTCCCCAGGGGACACTTCTCGGGCCGCAATCCCTCCCGGCGTGTCATCTTGGGGCTCGGACTATGGACTGAACGCGCCGTACGCTCACCCACTACGCATGACCTCAATCTCGCTTCCCGACTAACATCTATACAGCGGAGGAGGACTATACTCGAGCATCAACGACCTGGCCACAATCCTAGTCTCCACCCTCAATGGCACCATCTTGCCCGACGGGAAAACAGACAGATGGCTCAAGCCCACCGCCATGACGACCTCCCCCTTCACCCTCGTCGGCATGCCCTGGGAAATCCAGCGCACTACGCACCTCATCCCAGCAGACTATGCCCCCCACACCGTAGATCTATATACAAAGTCCGGCGGAGCCATGGGATACACGTCCCAAGTTACGCTCGTTGATCAGTACGGCGTGGGAATCATCGTCTTGACAGCCGGACCCGCCGGCGCAGCAGACATACTCTACCACAGCGTGGCGGGGACGTTCATCGCGGCGCTCGAGAAAGAAGCCAGAGCCCAGGCAAAGAAATACACCGGCACCTGGGCAACGGGGTCGTCAGCAAACGGCTCGCAGACACAGACACAGCTCCATATAACGATGGACCACGGACCGGGACTCAAACTTGCCACCTTCACCCGGGGCAACGCCTCAATCCTCGAGGGCATCCAGTCTGTCTGGGAGGCCGCCTACGAGAGCATGGGGTTCGGCATTCTCTCGCGCGACCTCCGTGTGTATCCTGCGGGAGTGGAGCGGGATGTCCATCCCTCCGAGAGGGGAGAGATACTCCAGACTCTCAGGGGTCGTGCACAGCTGGATGAACGGGTAGACGGGGAGGAAGAAGAGCTGGTCCGCCAGGACTGGCGCGTGAATATGGACATTGTCCCGGTGGATGGAAGGGCAATGTCGGACCTCCCCGGACAGAACGGATGGAGTGCCTTCTGCGCGTCGTGGCAGGTAGTGGACTGGATGCAGTACGGAGGATATGCGGTCGACCGGATCGTGTTTGTGCTGGGAAAGAAGACGGGACGGGTGCTCGGGGTGGAAGTCCCTGTTCTACGGGGGGAGATGCTGACCCTCGCGCCAAATGCATCTATACCGCGGAGCTAGACTTCGACAGATGTCCGTTAGACTGAGCTCACAACTGGTGGCGTTTCTGCAGCAATCGTGGCGTCTTCAGACACTGTGTCGCCTCAGACTACAGATCACAGTTCGAGCGACCGCACCTCATACGATAGACTCACACTCAATTACTAAAGCCAGCAATTTCATAGATCACATCGATTGACTCATGTACCGTAAGATCCAGACGCCTCGCTAACGAACTTTTACCAAAACATGCAAACATGCAAACATGGGGTATACATTCACTCTTCATCCGTCTCGGTGCCCTCGCTCAGGCCATCGTCATCCTCGTCGTCCTCGGCCTCGCTATCCGACTCATCCACATCGTGCAGTCCGGGAATACCCCGCCAATGCACATAGTCACCCTCGATCCAGCGGCGGCTGCGTGGGAGCTGGTACGGGTCGAAGGGGAAGTACGCGTCGAGCTGGTAGGCGAGGTCGTCGCCGGCGCGGGTCTCGCGCTCGACGTGGCTGAAGCGGGGGTCGGCGAGTGCGGCCAGGCTGCGGTAGCCGGACACGCGGAGCCGCTTGTTGGTCTCGAGGATGGAGAAGACGTACATGAAGTTGAGGTGCTGGGACATGCGGGCGAACTCGGAGACGATGGCCGGGGCGCACACCTTGAGCGGGTTGAGCTTGGAGTGCACGGCCTGCTGGAGGACCTCCTTGACCTGCGGCGGGAAGGCGATGTCCTCGGGTTCAAGCTCGTCGACCTGCTCCGGGGAGTCGCCGTCGGCGGCGGCGGTGGTCAGGTCGCGCCAGCGGAAGCAGAAGATGTAGAGGAGGGCCTGGGCGGTGGAGTAGAAGGGGCCGTAGCGGCGGAGGTCTGGGCCGGCGCAGGTCGGCTCGTAGTCCATGCGGAGGTTGTTGAGGTGCGTGCCCAGCAGGTCGAAGACGTCGCGCACGACTTCCGAGGAGATGTGGGCGCCGCGGGCGACAAAGCTGGCCAGGTATGCGGCGGCCGACTGCCGCATGATGGCGGGCTGGTTCTTTTTGAACATGAGCTCGACGCAGGCGGTGGCGAACTGGTCGACCAGGACCGGGTCCGACTGGGAGAAGTGGAAGAGGAGGAACTGCGAGTGCCGCGAGCGGTAGGTCGGGAGGATGATGGTCTGGAAGTGGCTGAGAAGGAGGTCGAGGGCGTTTTCCTTGTCGCTGGGGGAGCCGCTCGTGAAGGGCGGGGAGTAGTACTCGAAGAGAGAGTCGAGCATGCCGTCGAGTTTGAGGATATTGTCCTTGACGGTCTTGATGCGCTCGGCTTCTTCATCCACCGAGTCGTCGCTGAGGACGGACGCATCATCCTCGTCGTCCTCGTCTTCGGCCAGCATCGTAGCCTCGGGGGAGACATCCTGCAGGACATCTTCACCGGTTTCGTCCTCGATGTCTTCCAGATCGACCTGGATCTGCACGTCGATCTTGACGAGCTTCTCGGTGATGAGGGCCAGGATGTCAGCCTGCAGCTCGGGGGCGTAGGCCACGACCTGCAGGAGGTTCCGCGTGTACGCGATGTTGGCCTTGGCCGAGTCGGTATCAAAGGGGAAGTTTAGGGAGAGGATGGGCGAGAGGGCCCCACTACTGGAAGGGATTAACTGCATCACATGGCGCAGGGCCGTGTGGACGCGGGTGTACACTTCGGGAATCTGCACGATGGGGTAGCCCGGCACCTTGCCGGTGCCCCGGGGCAGCGCGCCCAGGTGCTGGACGAGCATTTTGAGCACGGAGCTCAGATGGCTGCTCTGAGCGGCGGCCAGATTACCGAGGAAACGGATGAAGAGCTTGACGTACGACTCGTCGCGGCCCAGCCACTCGCTGTGCAGGACAGCCTGGACGAGACCGTTGCAGCTGCGGTCCAGGGCGGCGACGTTGGACAACAGGCCCAGGAGATGGTTCTTTAGGGTGGTGTGGGTAGGTACATCATAGCTGTCCCAGGCATGGCGCTCCTCCCGCCGGCGGGGATCCACCGCGAAAATCTCCTTGATGAGATCGTAGCCGCCGCTGTCGGTGCCGGAGACGTGTCGCTGGATGGCGCGACGAACTTCCTCCCGGACGACCGCGGCGCTCTTCTCAGGGGACCCCTCGGGCGCCCTCTGCTGGTGGTAATCCAACTCTTGCATGGCCACCTGCGCGTCGAACTGGACGCGTGTGCGCTTGCGGGGACTGGGGGTGAGCTCGCCGTCCGAGCCGATGGAGGACGAGGGCGAGAGGGAAAGGTTCATATCGTCCATTCTGTGCTTCAACGCGGAGGAAGGGGTCTGTTTAGAGGTGGATTTTTTCAGGATAGACACGGGGGACGAGGCCGCTAGCATTTTGTTCGGAGTGGTGGTTGGTCTGGCTGCCGTCGCTGGGCTGCGTGACGCGGTCGAGAGGGAGACCATGACAGGTCGATGAATCGGGAAGAAGGTAAGGAAAGGCGGGATGAGCCCGGTGTCTTCATGGATGGCTTGTGTGAAGCTGATGCTCCAACGATGGGGAGTTTCCGCAGTCAGCAGTCGAGCACACGACCGTGATGCTACCGTGAAGACGGGAGAGGGAGAGAGGTAGGGCGGGGTGAATAGATCACCACTACATCCGACCAGATCCCTCTGGGAGACAAGAGGAGTGGCGGGAGAGGAAGAGGAGGAGAGGGGAGGGGGAGGGGGAGGGGGAGGATGGAAATGGAGAAGTTGAGGTTGAAGATGAAGATGAAGATGAAATGGATGATTTGATATGCTCGTTTCAACCAATTTTTTTTCGTGTGGGGCGGTGGAGCCTGAGGCCACCACGCCCGTGACCGCGTCGCGCCGAAAGAGGAAATATCACTTTTCATACTTCTACTCCGTACGTATTTCTTCTACAGTACGTATTTCTACCAATGTTATAGTAGATCATCAATCAGTCAATTCAAACTCCTCAGTATACAGACTCAAAGAGAGCAGCCTCATCTCAATCAAATCAACAGGGTGACATTCCTCATGGTATATGGCAAAATCAGCGACACAAGTAAGGCAGAAAGATCGAATATTAGTGGGTCGTAACAAAACAAAACCAGCGGAGCAAGCAGATCCAGTCCCTCCGATAACGTATCAAGCAGATCAAAGCCACGTTCCTGCGCCGATACTCCCCAGTCGATCGTCGAAGATACTGCCGTAGAGATCTTCGAGTTCCACCAGGTAATCGTCGGCGGTGAACTTGCAGAGCCCCTTGCGGTACAGGATCTGTTCTTCCTCGTCCAGCACGCGATTTCCGCCGCCAAACTCCTCGACCACCTCGTTCACCTGCTCCAGTTCCTTGCTGAACGGATGCGGCTCGGGCTTGGAGATGTCCGCGGGCGGGGGCCGCATGGACGGACTGCTGCGCATGGAGTTCAACGGCGGCGACATGCGCGAGATGGAGCGCTGACGGGCCAGTTCCTGGTGCGAGCGCTTCGTGTGCGACAGCGCGCGCTTGGGGATGAGCGGCGCGTCGGTCGACGAGGCAGTGGAAGTCGAGGAACGCGGATGGCTGGTGACAGTAGCGGAGCGCTTGGGAAAATACGCCGAGAGGGGATTGGGCTCGACGGGCGACTCCTCGGGGGTGGTCAACGGCGAACCAAAGCTATGCTGGGCGAAGGAGCGCTCCGAGTCGTCGGGCGATTGCAAGGAGGACGACGACGAGGAAGAGGTGGCCGAGTGCAAGTCTGGAGCATTGTAGGCGAGCATGTTGGTGGTGGAGAGAAGCTCGACAGGACCGGAGAATCTTGCCACGAGAGATGGTGCCGGCGGAGTATTTGACCTGGCCTTCGCGATAGGGCATGGGAGCGGAGACCTCCGGGCGCTTGTGACGCTTGGTGAAGGCGCGGGTGAGCGACATGGTGCGGTGGATATGGTCGGGGGCCCTCTATGGATGTTGTATGGGATGTCTCTTGCTTTGACAAGAGATAAAACTTTTGGAGGGGATGTGTCGCAGACGATCCTCGAGTGGGACTCGGGAAGGAATGAAGATCGATCGGGGGGAGTCGAGAGATGGTAGATTGGTAGAGACGGTGAGAGGCGTTGCACAGCAATCGCCAACGAGACCGGACGATCGAGAGACCCGAATGAGGTCGAGTCGCAGGAAATGAGCTAAGGATGGAGGCGGACGCTGCGCGGAGATGGAGTTCACTGTGGGCTGACTCAAGGGGGGAGCGTCAGGTAGTGATCGGGGGCGGACACCAGGACTCGCCCTGTACAAGGGTGTAAGGAAAGAATCTAGGATGAAGAATGAAATGGGGAGAAAGGAAGGAAGGGAGAGAAGAGAAGTGAAGAGAAGAAGAAATCCTCCAGGGAATATCCAAACTGGGGTTGGGAGAGAAAAGGGAAGAGAAGAGAAGAGGAGAGAGAGGAGAGGAAGAAAGAAAGGAAGAAGATGAAAGAGATGGATGAGTGTGTGGGAGGGCCCGACTAGCCTCGACGGGCGTTTGGGATTCGGCCGGGCCAGCAACCCACGGTTCCTGCAGGCTTAGTGGCAATCAGGGTTTGCATACAGGGTAATTTTCTGTTGAAATTCGAACCCATTGGAGGGTGTCTACTCGCAACTATCATCTGCCTGACGAACATGAATGTGACCATCTCAGACGGTGACCTGGACACGCTGGATGACCAGTCACTCGACCGAATCGACACGGGATCGCAGTGGCCCCTCCTCATCTATTAACCCGGCGCTAACGGGGTGGAGATGAAACAGATGGTGTCGGGGGTAGCATTATTACATATTACCTGAATCCCGGAGAATGACGATGTAGTCTGGATGGAGTGTGTTTAAGGTGATATCTTATAGTTCGCATTCCTGAGAGGATGGTATGTATGTATGTACCTAGGTACTCTTGTACCTGTACATTCATTCCAGGGATTGTTCCATTGATCGTGGTCCGTGAATCTGGCCCCTTCCAGACTCGCCCACAATGAGTTTGTGGGCTCCACTGTGGATCAGACTGGCCAATGCTTTTATCCCGACAGAAAATAAGACAAATGGAAAAGAAAAGAAAAGGAAAAGAAACTGAAAAATGAAAAAGAAAGAATTCAGGGCTGAGAACACATCCACATCGATGTATTATTCTATACATCCATTCGGATCTATGATCTATCGGTGAAGAGCTCTATCACCATCCACGTACCAAGAAGTACCGGTAAGTCATAGGGCAGGGAACCCCATCGTTCTCCGACCAGTTCATCCCAGAGAACCCTTCCTACCCAATCTTACGCGCATCCGAATGGACGCCACTCCAGACTTCATCAAATCAACCCTGGATCCCCTGGTGGAGGGTCCTGCTGACTCATCAGGGTATCAACTCCATTGCAACCATACTTAGGTACACTGAACAGGAGGTACATCCATAATCTACTATAGGTATAGACAGACATCATCTTCACCCCTAATTGTCATCCTCATCCATCGACTCCCACCCATCCTGCCCCCCACCCACTTCCACTGCCCCCTCATCCTCCGACTCGTCCTGGTCCGCCGGAAGTCCGACCATCCGCTCCTTCACCTCGCCCTCCAGACTGGGCATGCGCGACACAAACGCCCGCCGCACCGCCCCGTTGGTCGACGTGTCCCACACCTGCACCACGCCTTTGCTGCCCGCCACCGCCAGCCGGAAGCTGACCTCCGCGTCCGGCGCAAACGTCGTCGAGAACACCTTGCCGACCTCCAGCTTGCGCGACACCACCATGCTGGGCTTGTCGTTCTCCACGTTCCACAGCTTCACCTGCTTGTCCGCCGACCCCGTCACCAGGAACCCGGGGATCGTCGAGTGCACGTCAAACGCCGACACCGAGTCGTCGTGCGCCTGCAGCGTCCACACCGGCTTCGACGCCGCCGGCGTGCTCGGGATCGCCCGCACGTCGTACCGGTACACCATGCCGCCGTCCGTCGTCACGTAGAAGTAGTTCGGGTCGTGCACATCCCACCGCACGTTCTCCACGTCCGTGTCCACGCCCCAGCGCGCCTGGGCGTCCGGCGCGCGCATGTCCGCCGCCACCACCGTGCGGTCGTAGCTGCCGCTCAGCAGCACCGTCGACTCCTTCGGGTGCCAGTCCAGCGCGCACACCTTGTCCGTGTGGTGCGTGTACGACTTGGCGCACTTGGTCGTCGCCAGGTCCCACAGCTTGACCGTGCGGTCCGCCGACGCCGACGCCAGCAGGTTGCGGTGCTGCCGGTTCGCCGCCAGCGCGAGCACCGAGTCGACGTGGTAGGCGTCATTGGCCTTGGACGCCTTGCTCTTCTTCTTCTTGGGCTTGGCCTCGCCCGCGTCCTCGCCGCCCTGGCCCAGAATCGCATTCGGGTACATGCAGTCGACGATATCCAGGTCCCAGATCTCAATGTCCGGCTCCATCGTGCCGACGGCGACAAAGTTGCCGGTCGTCTTCTCCTCGGCCGCCTTGCCGATGGGGAAGTCTAGTCACTCTAGGCACAGCGGGATGGTCGGCAGCATGATGTCGTGGTGCACGTAGAGGTTGTCGTCCTGATCCTCATAGACGTAGACTTCCAGATGGGCGACTCTCGTCTCTCGACCTTGCTGGCGAGAAGGAGGGTTATCCGTCGGCAGGGATCTGCAGCTCTTCCGCGCTCTTCGTCGTCTTCTTCCTCCGGGGATGACCAGGGTAGGGGGTCCTCTTCGTTTGGGCTGGTGGTACAGCAGAGGAACTTCACGTTGCCGAACATGATGACCTCTCGCCGTCTTCGTCGACCTCGTCGCTGTCGTAGTGGTCGAGATCGTATTCTTTGAGGTCATCGTCGCTGGGGACAGTCAGTGCCTGGTCTGTTTTGTAGGAGACAAACGTACTCTTTGCTCTCTGTGGGCTTCTCCTTCTCATCCTTGGAGTCATCCATCGCATCGCCCTCCTTCGTATCCTCCTCCATCTGCTCGTCCTCTGCCTCCTGGGCGGCTTTGAGATCCCCCTGCGCCTCCTCCAGCTGCATGCGAGCCAGCTTGGATATACGATTCATCTCCTCCTCGTCGATTTCATACTTGGTGGGGAACTGGGCAGCGACGCCTCGTCGCACCCACGCGGAGGCAGTAATCATAGACATCGTGAAGAATCAAAAGAAAGGATAAACTTTTAAACCGTCTAAAACCCAATTCGATCCGAGAAAAAAAAAAGGCAACTGAAGCAATCGCCCGAATGCAGGCTGATTGAACAGAGGATCAACTGCGGGCGGATGGATTTTTTTTTTTCTGGGAGGGCCGTTTCCGCCCGGCAGAATCGGGGCCTCTCTCACCGCCCGGCGGGGATCAGCGGAGAATTCAATCCCGTCTGTACAGTATGGAACTCATGGAACTAGACCCCGTCCAACTCTGAATGCCAATGCCCATAGCACATCCATCACAATGCATTCCCATCTGCACACCCCCCACAATGCCAGTACGTCCTCTCCCATCTGCCTACTGCTCTCACTCACTGACAACCGCAGACTGCGAGGAGATCATGACCGCCCTCGACGAATGCCACGCCCGCGGCTTCCTGCACAAAGCCCTCGGCGGCTGCAACGACATCAAGCGCGAGGTGAACAAGTGTCTCTCGCAGGAGCGGTATGCGCGCGCCAAGCGCAACCGGGACCAGGCGCGCGAGAACCGCAAGCGCATCGAGAAGATCTGGGCGGACGAGAAGGCGTTTGAGAACGGATGGAGCGGGTCGGCGCAGGGTGCGTCCGCGGAGAAGTAGGCTGAGAAGATGGCGGATAGAATTGTATTATATGCATTAGGTTGCGGCGTTGGTGCTTTGATTCTACCATTTACATATGAAATATCAACCACTCTGAAAGATTTCGTATCGATATACAGACAACAAATGTATCATGATGTCCCGAACGCCGTCCCAATTCAATTCGAACCGCTCACTCCTCCGCCGGCGCAGGAGCCTCCTCAGACCCTGGCCCCGTACCCTCCTGCTTCGACCGATGATGTCTCCGCCGTCTCTTGGGCTTCGGCGCCGCCTCATCGCCCTCACCAGCATTCTCTGCATCCCCCGACGCGGCATCCTTCTTCTTCTCCGACGGCTTCTCAGCCGCCCGCTTCTTGGGCTTCTTAACACTCAACGGATTCGGCCCCTTAACCTTCTTGGCCTTCTTCTTCTTCACCTCCCCCTCCGCAGGCTTAGCACTCGTCTCATCATTCAGCCCAGCCCGGAACTTCCCCATCTCGTACCCCTCGCGCAGCCCCTCCGAAAGCGCACTCATCGGCTCCAGAATCATCACCGACCGCTTGACATACACGATCGGCACGCCGGGGATAGTGCGCGCGCTGGCGCGCAGCGTCTTGGCCCGGCGCAGCGCCGCCTCCGCCTGCACCTCTGCGTCGCCGCGCTTGCGCTTTCGGCCTGCGGCGGACGCCGCCGCGGACGTGGCGTCTTTGGGCATGGGCGGGTCGGCGGTGGCGAGGATGTAGTGTTCCTTGTTGCGCTTGACGTCCGGCGAGGGCGAGAGCAGCGAGAGCAGACAGGTGGTTTCGTCGATGGGGGCGTCGGTGTCGTTGTGCGAGCAGTGGCGGAGCGGGAGGGTTGTCGGGGGCGGGAGGTGGGCGGGTCGGACGGGGTTGTTGGTGCGTGGGTTTGTGGGTTGCGAGGCCATGATGGCTGCGAGGGAGCATTTTGTGAGGACTGCAGTGGTAAGTTGGTTAGTTTCGTTCGGTGGATGGTGAGATTGTGCTTCCGCGCGGGTGGGGACTGCGTACGAGGCTTCACTTTGCCTTGGAGCGTGCGTTCCAGCGCTGGGATCAGGTCCATCTTGAAGGAGTGCACTGCGTGCAGGAAGTTCGAGTCCACTGGCGTACAATTAGCATGCTGCGAGCTAGAATGGAACGGGGGGAGGCATACCGAGGACTTGGTAGGGCTCGCGGAACCCAAAGGCCAGCTCATACTGGTGCATGAGCTTGCGGTACTTCTTTGAACGCTTGGCTCTCATTTTGAGGTGCTAATGGCGAGAGAGATTGGTGTTGAAGTTGGATGATTTTGTCGAGCGGAACTTTTTGATTTTATTCTGCCGGGCGGAGTGGAGAATGGCCCGTGCGGTATCTGATACTAGACGCTACTGATGCTACTGATACTGATACTACAAGAAACGAACATTAGATACGCTCATAATGCTGGTATTATGTACGACCGGTGTCGTCCGCCATGGCGGTATGCTGTATGTATACGGAGGTGATGCGTCTCAGCTCGTCTCCGGACGCGAGCGTCCTCTTCCGAGTCTCGAGCCGGACGGGGGCATCGTCGGACGACTGCTTGTGCAGTCGTGTCTCGCATGAGCAAGACAATAGAATATAGAATAGAGTAGATGAGTGTCGTCAAGCTGACAGTCAATCTTTGATGTCAACCTTCTCTCCGTCGGCAGGCCCCAATCACCACACTGATATCGTCCATTTTACCTGCACATCGTCAGTCTGATACACCCCCAGGACAAGGAAGAAACGTACCCCCCTCAATCGCTAGCCCCTCCTCAATCGCCTTCTCCATATACGGACTCTCTGCGAATGGATCCTGCGCCACGGCCAGCGCGGCGTTCAGCAGCTCCCGCGCCACAAACACCATCCGCCCCTCGTCCGGCACCGCCGACGGCGTCCACTCCAGCTCGCTTTGGTCGTACCGGCCCTCCTCCCACTTGCGCAGACTGTCCAGCGTGATGGTGAGCACCTCGTGCTCCCACAGGTTGTCCAGTACGCCGTCGGACACGGCGAGCACGACGTCGCCCTCTTCAAGATCGATGGTCGACAGCACCGCGTCCTTGCGCGGCGTGTCGACGCTGTTGGTGCCTAGCTGCATGGGACAGTCGAACCAGTGCCACTGCTCCTCCGTGCGGAACAGCACCGTCTCGTCGCGCGGTCGCACCACGAGCACCTTGCAGTCGCCCAGGTTGGTCACGTACAGTCGCGGCCGCGGCGTCCCCGTGGCGTCCTGCGTACAGTGTAGGAGCGCGGTCACGGAGGTGGTGGTGCCGTACCATTCGCTGGGGGAGGAGGTGGCGCGGGTGGTCTCCTCGTAGGCGCGTTGGAGATATTCGATGGGATCGGGTTCTTCACGGTCGGTGGTGTTGTCGAGGGCGCGTTCGACCTCCAGTGCCCAGTAGTGCAGGAGTAACCGAGACCAGAGACTACAGACGTTGTAACAGTTAGTGACCCCCCTATCGACCTCGGGAAAAATCTTCCAGCCAGAAGGAAAGCATACGCAGCATGCCCCCTGGGCTTCGTGGCCCAAGCCCCCACGCCATCGTTCACGGCCAGAAAACGGTCCGCCACCAGGACGGCATCATCACCGTTATTCAACCCGCGGACGAGTTCGCCCCGAACGGATAATCTCTTATCCTGACTTTGATAGTGGGTAGTGAGCGGATCGGAGAAGGATGACGACGGCGGAGACACGAACGGTGGGGGGAAGGGGCGCGACGGTCGTTTGGCGCAGAGGGCGTATCCGGTCTGGAAACAAAAGGGCGATCGACTCCCCGGACGATGCGGACGGTCAGGCACAGGCGTGGTGATGCCATACGAGGGCCAGACCGAGTAGGATCGCGATGTCGAGACGGTTGAGGCTGCGAATCGCCGGAGAGACACGGTCAGAGGCGTCGCCGCGGAGGGCACCATGGCCCTGACGGTCAGAAATAGTCTCTAATGCTGTTCTGGATGCTTGGAGACTCTTTTCTTTTTGCTTTCTTCTTTTCTTTTGCTCTGGGTGCGGCAGTCGGCGGCTTGAGATTGATTCATACGGAAGATCGTCGGGGATTAAAGTTGGTTGAATAAGACGGTTGGCTGTCATGCAGATTACCTCGTATTGTATCATCACCATAGTCATTATCATCGCAATCATCCCAATCTCACCATCTCATCATCTCACTCCCTCTCATTTACCTCCGTCGCCAGCTCCTCCCCAATCAACCCCATCCCTCGCTCCAGCTCGACTGCGATCGCAAACTCGTCCACATCGCGTCGCATTGCCGCCAACCCTTCGAAAATCGCCTTGGCGAGACTGGTGCTGCGCGCCCCCAGGGACCGGCGACGCGAACCTCCGTGTCTGGCCGTCGCAATGCGTAGCATTCGTTCCGCACACGGACAGGGCCGTTCGGGGTCCGCAGTACAGGTCGACGCGCAAGTGCACGTTGCCCGACACACGCACTGCCGCTCGCTCAGGTAGTCGCGCAGCCGACGACGACCGTCGTCGCGGCGCACGTCGCCGATCGCCCGGTGCTCTAGCTTCGCCAGCGTCGCCTGTCGGTGGGCCCGGATGGTTTGGCGCTCCCAGCGTTCCGAGTCGACACCGTTGGACGACATCCAGGGGAGCTCCGTCCCCGGCACCGGGTCGACCACGGGCGCCTTAGGCAGGAAGGCGAGGTATTTCTCCGACAGCTCGGTCAGCAGCTCGGCCGGCGGCATGGTGTACAGTGGCTCGGAGTCCCAGTGCTGGTGGAAGAGCGACGATCGGTCGGTCAGCACGCCCATCACGCAGGCCCGGTAGCCGAGGAGGTCGTCCAGGATGAACCCGCCCTCGGCGGTGATGCGGTCCAGGGCTTGATGGATGTACGCGTCCTGGTACTGGTGGACAAGCGCCGTGTTGATCTCGTGGCAGATGCTGGGCGCATCCAGGATCTCCCGACAGCACAGGTATATCTTCAGCAGGTGGTTCGGCTCGGGGAGGCGGAAGCTTGCGGATGACTTGTTGGAGAGATGCTTCACGTCCAGATCGGAGGTGGCACACAGCTCGACGTTGGCGATCTCCAGCATCAGTCGCGCGTAGCAGGCGTAGTACAGGTTCTCGACGGCGTCCACGAGATTGACGACCGACTGGGAGGTTGCGACGTCCTCGGCACGGCAGAGATGAGCTAGGATGCTGTCAGGGCAATCTCCCACCTACTGTCAGGTCAGAGCTTCTCCTTTCGCTTAAGTCAAGGGACGACGAACCTCAATGCCATAGTGCATCAGAATGATGACCACGATCTTGGCGACGGCGTAGACGCGCGAGAAGACCGACAGGACACTGTCAAGCCACTCGACAACGTCCTCCTCAGGCCCATGGTCGAGACATCGGACGCTGTCAGAGTAGATGTTCCAGTCCGGTGAGCTAACAGTATAGGGAAGCGCGGGGCGTTCGACAGACATGAGCTGTGTAGTACATTAACAATGTTAGTCGCGACACCATCCTGGTGCCTTACTGCAGAAGTGTAGGAAATGTCGGTGCTGTCTGAAGTCCGCAGCTGCTCGTCGCGTCGTCTCGCTTCCTCATCGAGGAGGTCCTGCGAGTACATGTAGAAGCCATCTGCGTGCTCGCTTCTGGTGGTGTTTGCGGATGTGTAGGAGTCGAAGGAGAAGAAGGTCTCGCGCGGCTGCAGGCTGCTGTTGTTGTGATTGCGTGAGGCCCTCTTGGGGAAGAGCTTGTTGAGCGCCATATCCCAGAGATGGGAGACGGAGCGGTGGGTAGGGCCCATGATGGTTCGTTACGATTGATAGGGTTCGAGAAGAGAGAGAAGAGATGGGAGAGGAAGAGAGAGAGATGTTGGGGGGCAGTGAATGAGTGTGAAGTAACAGAAGGTGCACGCATATTGAGAGCAGTTGCAGTGTATCTAGACCTCTACCTGGACCATCACAGTGTAGCACATCTCTCCACACATATGCTTAAGACCAACATATCTACTACAGGACTGGTACTTCCTATATCATCAACTATAGCAAAGATTTCAACAAGCCTATGAACTAAATGAATCTACAGCTTCTTGGAGTCAATGCGGGAAGCAAGATACTAGGTACCTCGTGGTGATACATTCATTGTACTGGTATCTAAGCGTCATATCGTCGTTATACAGGATAATGCAAAGAGAAGGCTATCGCAGCAGCGGATCGACTTCAATAAACGAACTCTCCACTTCCAGCGAGTACGGCGGAATGACCTCGGGGATCTTCCAGATGAGCTTGTTCGCCCGTTCGACATACTCTGTTGGGATATTCAGGCACTCGCTGAACGACAGTGACTACCAGCGTTAGCTCGTCCTCCGTACAGCACAATTCGAATGATAACATACCTTCAGATTCTTCAACCCCCGAACCCACTCCAGTCCTGCATCACACGCCTCATCCGGCAGAAGCTGAAACTCCCCCACCGGCTTTGACAGCAACCGATGGCAATGTTCGAGCCAGAGCGTCTCCAGACGCTCTCCAGGGACAGGCGCATCACCCCCCTTCTCTGAAGCCCTCTCAACGCCACCCAACCAGTCCAGAAACTCCGGCTGCGCCCCTAGACACGTCCGCAGCTTCAACACCCGCAGCCGTGGATTGCGCCGCACCAGCATCGTCAACTGCCACGGCGTGATGCCCGCCCGCTCCAGGACGAGCGTCTCCAACCCGAACACGCCCAGATGCGGCTCCCGACCGATCCCGAGCAGCAGGTTCCACGCGGGACTCGACGGCGCCGGATGGAGCCACGTGCTGGCGCGCATGTTGCCGTTGCGGATGTGCGGGTGCTCGAAGCGCAGTGCCAGATGCCGCAGCGAGTAGGTGCACTGCGCGCCCAGCACCCGCGCCCCTTCGTTGTCGAGATCGTACGCCATGAACTCTAGCTTCACCAGCGACGATCCGTACCGGTTCACGACCCGCGCGAAGATTCGGTTCTGAATACGGATCATCTGTTCGTATGTCCGCGCACGGCCCGGGACTGCGGTGGAGGGTATTCGTCGCCGGGTGTCTTTGGACAAGGCGACGGGCGTTGTCGAGCCCGCGAACGATGGAATGGTCGGTTGTATCCGCGGTTGGATCACCGATACGAAGTAGTCGCGGCTGGCGTCTTCATCCAGGTAGCTGCCGACCTGGTCGGCAGTCGCCCAGCCGGCTTGCAAGCAGGAGATCATAGAGTGCACGCGCCTTTCAAAGACACCCAGCCGCAGGCGTTTGAGACAGAGAATATGGGAGTGGTAGTTGGAACGGGAGGTCATTCCGAATGAAAGGAGGGCCTCAAAGGGGAGGTATGAGAGTATGTGCAGTACTAGCTCCAGCGGGAGACGGCTGAGCTTGTCCGACATGGCGGTTATTTCGTTGAGCTGTCGCTATAAGAGGATTTTATAGACTCGTCGCAATGGTTGATGGTGCTAGAAAATATTAGTATGTATATGTAGCAGTCCAGTAGTATAATAGACGTCCACATAACGAAGGACTGAATTGAGCTCGACAGGTAGGATGTCAGAACCTCTTAAGATGTCGGCCAGGCCATGCTTGAATCATGGTCAAACGCCGGAAAAGGAAAGGGGCGCCATGGAACGAAACGGATGGATCAAGAAAACTCCAGACGACAGGAATGAAAGAAACAAGAACTCGGTCGGCATGTCCGTCCCATCCAGTAGATGATGAAAGCTGGCACTCACAGACACGATTAGCTTGCTCAGCTCATTCACAGAACAGGGCCCAAGTTGCCGCAATGGATCGGAATGAAGTCATCTCCAGCAGCAGACAACGGCTGGTGGCACCGGCAGAGGCAACGGACAAACCCTGGTAGTAAATAGAGTTGGGGAGATTGATTCCCAGCCGTCTGGATCTGATTGTCGACCGCACGTGTGCAGGCTGACGCCGGCAGTGTGTCCCGAGGAATGATGATTGACGGGATTGCTGGACACAGCGCGGTCACGCACGGCGCAGAGAACGTCAACTTTCCTGTCGCGACCGGCCTGGCCCTGGTTTTATCGCGCCATGGGCGTCGAAGAAAAACAAGATCTGTAGAGGTCGGTAGGACAAACACTCAACGGTGGTCTCTAGAATGCAAGGAAATCGGTTGGAGGACTTCAACCATTGGGTGCCTTCCCGGGGGGCGTTTGAGATGACCTCTGCCACGACGTCTGTGCTGTGCGAGGAATAACAGGGGTTTTCTCTCTTATAAGACGGGCCTGTTGGGTCGATACATACGCCGGAGTACAGGTAGAGACCGACCTGAAGCGGACCCAAATCCCATCCATCCCCTTGGACCCGCCAATGCAGCGGGTACCCCGTCTGTCGGGAAAAGCAATCATGCAGGATGGACGCCGATCGCTCGCAGAGTGGGATCCAGGACGGGATCGAAAGACGCAAGAGGTCCCAGCTGGGGATGTCTCCTGCAACAGAGCTGAGATCTGGATACTGTCCCGTGTCTCCGGATCCACTGACGAACAGGATAACCCGGAGCCACGGCCGCATCATCTCCCTTACAGTGACGGTGCGACCTAGAACCAAACCACCGGGTCGGTCAAGCCAATGGACGGGGCAACAGCGAGGTTGCTGAGGGTCAGATGCCGATCAGAGATGCTGATGGAGGGTGTTGAGTGAGCCCTAGTGACAGGTCTAGTGGGAAGCCCCCCAATAAAGAGGCGGAGGGCCTCGTTGCTTTTCTCAGGCTCACGACTAGTCACTAGTGTCGCAACTAATGACAAATGGTGGACAAGTCATCCATGCAAGGAGAGTTTCAAGGACAAAGAATCTTCATGCTGGCGGTGAAGAAGTATACATCTGGGGTCCTACGGGCCATGCGGGAGGCAGACGGGCCGGATACGGGCCGGATACGGACGGGATGAGTCCGGGTGGTTTCAAGATGTTTGTATTCGCATTCGATTGTATTGACAGGTAAAAAAGGAGCACTCCAGTAACCATCTCCGCGCGGGAACGTGGTGATCAAGCGACAGAATGAAGCTATCCGGGGCCGCCTGCAGCGACTGGCTGGGTGGCGCCCACGTACGACATGGCGGTCTTATGATTTTGCCATAACAGATGGGGTATCCCGACCCCTCCTGGCGCCCATCTTCTACCCCTGCACTCGGAACGTGCGGCCACTGGCGGTCTTTCTCTCTCGCTCCTCGTTCTCGGGTCGGGCACGGTTGAGCACTGTTGGCGGTCAGTATGAATCGTCCGTCGTGGGTCTGGCCGCACTCACCCTGGAGGAAGTCGGCGGTTCTCTTGCGCATTCGGGTGTGGATGTATGCCTTGGAGGCCTTGATGTGGTAGTGGAAGTAGTCGCGGAAGATCTGGATATGGGAGATGTTTTCGTAGCGGCGCTGGGGAGTCAAGTGACGGGGGAAGAGAACTGTCTGGTCAGTATCGATCACGCGGGTGCAAGGCCGTTCGGTGGACGTACCAAAAGTGACATAGCTGATCTTGTCCTCGGCACTCTTCTGGAGGCCAGGCACGCCCTCCAGCTCCAGGGGAGGGTCGTTCCGGAAGAGCACCTGGGGAGCGTTCTGCAGGGTCAAGACGCGACGACGGGCGTCGACAAACTCCTGCAGGAACACCTTGCCGAAAATGCGATCGGTCTCTTCGCGGAAGACGGTGCTGAAGATGACGGTGACGCGATCGGATCCGGCCTTGATATAAATGGCCTCCTCTTCGCGGTAGTGGATGGCCATGACCTCGCCTCCTTCCTTGATCCCCTGGGGGGCCGACTCGGAGGTGTATCGCGATGCTTCCTCGGACAGTTTGGCGAACTCGTCGAAGGCCCGCTCAAAGGGGGCGGCCATGGCGTTCCGCTTCATCAGGGCCAGCTTCATGATGAGTTCGTCGCGGGCTTCCTGCTCAGCAGGAAGGTTCTCCAAGTCGATCAGCACAGAAAAGTCATAACCGGGCTCCGGAGCCACGATGTAAGGACCATATTCGCGCTCCAGCACCTGCTGGGCGCCGTACTGCACGAGCTCACGGAAGCATTTGACCTGAAGGGAGATGAGGATCTTGGACTTGGATTCGGGGGTGGAAATGTGGAAAGTGACGCCGTCAAAGTCGGAGACGACCTGATCGATGGAAACGGGCGGAGCTCTAGGCAGGCCAGGAAGCTGTCAGTGAGGGATGCGGGGGAGGATAGGAGAGGGGGAGGGTACCCGGAGAAGCGCTCGGTCAGGAGGGAGTGGATTAGGACGTTGTGATAGTCGAGGAGAAGCATGGTGACGGTGGTCCCATGCAATCGATTGACGGTGTGGGAGATTAATTGCGATGGAGGGAGCGGGGATTAAGTTGATCTCATCACGATTGTGATCTCATGAAGGTGGCCCAACGGGGGTGCTGGAGGGGCTGAGTCAGCCGTCGATGTCACGTGGGATGACTAACCAACAAGCTGTCCAGGAAAACACCTCGTTTGATACAATAAAAAGGAAGATGGACAGTCATGATAAGTGAGTTTAAAGAATTTGTACGAAATTTGAGATTTGAATTGGAGTTATCTGCCTTGTGATTTGATGGTGGGGGTGGTGTGGTGGTTATGGAGATATATTCTGGTAGCAAACCGTAGTATATTGGAGTGAAAGAGCACAACGGAGTAGGTACCTAAACTATCAATGCATTGGAAGATATTAACTATTACGATGAGCATAAGCATCCTAGGTATATCCTAATCTTTCAAATCACCAAGGGATACAACCCTGTCACCCCTGACCATTGAATGCCATAGTACTACCCAAACGTCAGCATGACCCAAGACACAACCACGTGAAGAAGAATCACATTCTTTGCATGCTACTCCGGTCAGACGCCCCGAGACGGCGCCTTGGCGTGTCTGAGGTTACATGGCTGGAACCAGCGGGTGTCAGACGGGAAGATTCTAGATTCTCGATCTCCAAGATCTTCCCGAACCAGACAATATAAGTCTAGATGTAGTTCGCATGTGGCTACATTCCCCTGCATTGGGCATATGGAGTATTTACCTAGGCACACCTGAAACACCTAAACCGGCCAGATGCGTCAGTGCCAGGAACCGGATGGAATCCCAGGCAGAACCAATCGCCACCCGGTGCTTGCGTAGTCCATCTCTTTTGGGATGCCTGCCGTGCATGCGCATTGGCTGCCGGCTATGGCTAAGCCTTGGGTGTGCAGCGCTAGGGGAAGCTTGGCGTACTGACAGCCAGTCAAAAACGCCAACTATGCGGACTAGTGGGGCAATGGCGTCACTAAACCGCGTCACAACAGGCACCGCCTCATCATTGGCGGGCGTTGCGTGATTTGCTTCTAAAAAAATCCGCGGGGAATTTAGAGTCCTGCTCGCCGGCTTCTTGCGGGAGCCTAATCGTCTTTTCCGGACTCCGATCCCTCTGTCTCTAGTTATATCTATACTCGGTGGTGACTTTTCTTCTAATCTCGTATCTCCATCTGTCTGTGCAGAGCACTCTCCCACCACGTTCCATTGATTTCCTGACAAGAATCCCGATCATACCCATACGATGGCCTTCTCGCGAACCTCCAGCAAAGAGTCGGGGTCTATCAAGTCCCACGACAAAAAGTCCTCGCTGTCCAGCAAGGCCGACCCCAACCAAGCCCTCAACGAAGCCCAACCCAGTACGTCTGTCTCTGTCTCTATCATTGTCCGACTCCCGCTAATCCCTCTCAGTGGCCTACGTAGGAGGAGGATTCGCCGACGGCAATATGTTCTCTCTCCGTTCCATCCAGCATCGCGATGCCGAAGGCAAAGTCATCAGTATGTGAGACAGTCTCCTATACTTGGACATCACTGACTCTCCCCAGCGGATCCGGATCGCTCGAATCCCACCCGTCCTCGCCTGGGAACGACCATTGGACACGATTCGATCGTTTGAGGCGGCCATTGAGGCTCGTCGTCGCGAGAATGCCGCCTGAGCGATGGAAAATGGTATATACGATATGGATAGATTACTTTGCGATGTTGGGCATGATGTAACGTAATAATGTTTGAGCGTTTATACTATAGTTGGTCCTTTGGTTATAATGTGAGGTTATGTGTATTCAACTAGTATGGGGTGTGATAGATATCCTTCATTACTTCTGAAACAGCGGCTCCAGTAGTACAAATCCCATGTCAATGAACTACAGGTATGCAGCCGACACTTCCCCCCTAATATCATCCTTTGATATGTCTCCACGGCCTACTCGGGCGTAATTCTTACCCACAGCTCGGAGATACGCATCCACATCGCGTACACAATCTAGACTCCGTACAGCAAGCATCCACTCACCAACCCACACACCGTCCCACTACACTTTTCACTAGCAAGCCGGACTCCGCTTGCTCCCTATCGACTGGCTGGCATCTAGTGCGATAGCCAAAGTAACGACTAGTCAAGCTTTTTAGCATCGTTCCGGCGGACACGCTTAAGTAGGTCCGTGGAGGCTGACGCGTCTGCAACGCTGCAGCGGGGCGAACAAAACGACCGTCTGTAGCGATGGACCAAGTATACGCAGCAATCCGTCGTTGCCCCGAATGCCGCTGCCTAATTTTAGTCGGCTGTCGTCTTGTCCGGTTATATGTGGGCGTCGTGGTCGGCCATGGACTTCCTTCTCCCAGCTGCTCATCAGTCATTCGTTTGATCCTCTACATTCGTTTCTTTCGTTTCTCACTCTCTCACCATGAAGCTTTCTCTGGCTGTAGGAGCCAGTCTGCTGGGCTCGGCTCTTGCTATCGATCCTATTGTCATCAAGGTACCTAGGTAGAAGGGCTGGTTGGATGGTGAACTGCGCTGACGGTATAGGGCTCCAAATTCTTCTACTCCAGCAACAACACCCAATTGTACGTGTGCACCCATCCAATTCCGAACAATCTCACTAACGACCGCAGCTACATCCGAGGTGTCGCCTATCAGCGTAAGTCTCTTGGTCCTACACTGGACCACACAACTCACCCTTGCAGAGGACTACTCCAGCAACGGCACCACCAGCGGCAGCAACTCCTACAAGGACCCTCTGGCGGATGCTACGGCCTGTGAGCGTGATGTGCCCATCCTGCAGGAGCTGAACACCAACACCATCCGCGTGTACGCCGTCGACCCGACTGCCAACCATGACAAGTGCATGCAGTTGCTGGCCGACGCCGGCATCTATGTCATCTCGGATCTGTCCGACCCGTCCCAGGCGATCGACCGGAGCGATCCGCGCTGGGAGGTCAGCCTGTACGAGCGGTACACCAGCGTCATTGACGACCTGTCCCAGTACAACAACACCATCGGCTTCTTCGCCGGCAACGAGGTGTCCAACACCGTCAGCACCACCGACGCCAGCGCCTTTGTCAAGGCAGCTGTCCGGGACATGAAGGCCTACATCAAGGAGAAGGGCTATCGGTCGATGGGCGTGGGATATGCCACCAACGACGACTCGACCATCCGCGTCAACATGGCCGACTACTTCAACTGCCAGAACAGCGAGGACAGCATCGACTTCTGGGGCTACAATATCTACTCCTGGTGCGGCGATTCGTCATACCAGGCGTCCGGATACAAGGAGCGCACGGAGGAGTTCCGCAACTACTCGGTCCCCGTCTTCTTCGCCGAGTACGGCTGCAACGAGGTCACGCCGCGCAAGTTCACCGAGATCAAGGCCTTGTTCGGCGACAAGATGAACGACGTGTGGTCCGGGGGCATCGTCTACATGTACTTCCAGGAGACCAACAACTACGGTAGGTCCTCCCATCCCCAACCTTCGCGACAACCGCTGACCGTCCAGGCCTCGTCTCCGTCGTCGACAGCACCAGCGTCAGCAAGATGGCCGACTTCACCTACTACTCCAGCGAGATCGCCAGCGCCACACCCACCGGCACCAACAAGGCGTCCTACACGCCGACCAACACCGCGCTGCAGAGCTGCCCGGCCGTGACCAGCGACTGGAGAGCCAAGGCGACGCCGCTGCCCCCGACCCCGAACGAGGAGCTGTGCGACTGCATGGTGGCGGCGGCTGGCTGCGTGGTAAAAGACTCGATCTCGTCGTCCAAATACAGCGACCTCTTCAGCACCGTCTGCGGCATGACCGAGTGTGATGGCGTTCTCGCCAACGGGACCACCGGCGTCTACGGCGCGTACGGCATGTGCAACGCTAAGGCCCAGCTCAACTTCCTCCTCAACAAGTACTACACTGAGCACAGCTCCCAGGCGTCGGCGTGCAGCTTTGGTGGCTCGGCTACCACGACTTCGACGACCAAGCCCACGGGGACCTGCAGCTCGCTCATGAAGGAGGCTGGCACTGCGGGCACTGGCACCGTCACCTCCAAGCCGACTGGTACTGGTAGTGGAGCGGCAGCGTCCTCCTCCAGTTCCTCCGGAGTGGGCGTCCCGTTGGCCGGCAGCACTATGGTCACTGTGGGATCGTTCCAGCTGGGTGCGTACGCCGTGACTGCCGTGGTTGCTGCGTTGGGCATGGTTCTTCTGTAGACCAGGTACCCTTCGGCGCTCATTTACTTCAAATCCAGCATATCATTAGGTGTACTCTCCATACTCGTGAATATGTTACATACCTAGCTAGTTTACTCCTGCCACTGATTGTAATTTCAACCGTCCTTTTATTCGCCGAACAACATTATACAAGTACGTAAATCGTATCAATCATAATGGTCACGCCCCATCGATCGCCCGCTTCGTCAGAATAGCCGAAGTCTCGTTCAACTGCTCCCAGGCATGCGCATCGCGACAGGCCTGGCGACTCAACCGCACAGCCCGCCTAGTTCGCTGTCTCATCTCCGTCTCATACCCATCCAACGCGGTCTTCGCATCCGCCTTGCCCGAGTACATCTTCTCGATAGCACGGACCAGCCAGTAGGCGTCCAGCAGGCCGTGGTTTGCCGCCTCGCCACGGTCTATCTCGTCAGCCTGCGCCAGCATATCGAACAGAAGGCACTTACACATGGTCATGGCGTGCGCGGCGTCCCCCGCCAGCGTCACACGGCCGTCACAATTATCCCAATCCAAACACTCCCAGTCGGCCAGTCTGATCTCCGTCACAGGCGTGCCGTCAGGGATCCTCTGCACGGTCTCATGCAGGAACGGCACGAAACCCTCCGCGCGGCGCTTCATATTCGCCAGCCGGGCGGCGTCCGAGTCAGCGACCTCGTCCGCCGGCGACCGCACCGGCCACGACATGCAGATCTGCGCGCGGAAGCGCTCACCCGGCGTACCGGCCGTCCCGTTGACGGCGGGGGTCTCGAGCATGGAGAACCAGAAGAACGTGCCGGAGCGCGGATGGCAGCCCTGGAATAGCAGCGGGTCCATGGCGCGCAGCGGCGCGATCTCAGCTGGCGTCAGGTCGACCGCCACGCCGGTGAAGCGGATGGGCAGCAGGACGTTGCTGAAAGCGTCGGGGCGGAGCACCTGGCGGACGAGCGAGCGGCTGCCCTCGACGCCGACGACGATGCGGCCGGCTACGCGCGACCCGTCCGCGAAGCGCAGGGCGACTGGTTCGGCGGGGGCAGGGGGCACGTCGAGGCCGACGACGCGGTGGTCCCAGTGGACGTGGTCTTCGATGCCGTGCAGCAGCGCCTTGCGGGTCTTTTCGCGGTTGACGCGCCAGCGCACCGACGGTGGGATCTTGAAGACCGGCTCGCCGGTCGCCAGGTTGATGAAGAGGAAGTTGCCGTTGTCGTGGCGGGCGACGTCTGGGTCGACCTGCACCGCTTGGATGCGGGCCAGCGTGTCCGCCGGCAGGATCTGCTGGATGTACTCCAGCGCCCAGTGCAGGGTGATGGCCCAGCCTTGGCCGCGGGCGTCGGGGTTGGGGTCGCGCTCGTAGATTTCAAAGGGGATGTTTTTCTACGTTGTCAGTGCTTAGATATGGAGGGAGTGTAGGGGGTGATGGGAGGATACCTGCTTCAGGGCCTGGCCCAGGGTCAGACCGACGATGCCGGCGCCAACAATGAGAACGGGATCCATGATGAAGACGGGAGTGCAGGAGCGTAGTCGTCAGATCCGTCAGACTGTATTTATGAGCAACTTAGCTTAGCTTCTTGCTTACTGCGAGCATCGGACCGTCGCATAGATAAGCCTGCGGGGAAGAATGAAGCCCTAATTTCCCCTCACATCGCCGTCGGCTAATGCCGTGCGACGGACGCCATCGCCATTCCACAGTATTTAACACGGCAGACGATGCTTGCCTGCTGTCAAGTACGGCAACAGTCTTGTCACACCTCTCATAATGACCGGCCACGAAGCGCTCAACCCCATCCACCCCTCGGTGCTGCCTCATCTGGACCCCGTGTTCGTCCAGCTCTACAACGAGCATGTGGCCAACACCCCCAACAAGCCCATTGACCTCGCGGTGCTCCGCTCCAAGTACTCGGTGCTGTACTCGTACGGCACAGGGCCAGCGCCGGAGCCCGCGCGCGTGTACGATGCCAGCGTGCCGGGCCACCAGGGCGAGATGATCCCCGTGCGAGTGTACGAGCCTGCGACTCCAGGGCCGTGGCCGGTGCACATCGACTTTCACGGCGGCGGTATGTCCCCACCAACCACCCATTGAGCACGACCGATGCTAACTCTGCACTCCCCGCTAGGCTGGGGTCTCGGCGACCTCGACACGGAAGCACACATCTGCAAACATCTCGCCGTCAAGGCGGAGGTCTGCGTGATCGACGTGGGCTACCGACTCGTCCCCGAGCACGCCTTCCCCATCGGCATCCAGGACTCCTTCGCGGCGCTGCAATACATCCACCGCGAGGGCGCGGCGCAGTTCAACCTCGACGTGTCGCGCATCTCGCTGGGCGGCGTCTCGGCCGGCGGCAACATCGCGCTGATCTGCGCGCATCTGGCGCGCGACGCCGGCGTGCCCCTCCGCCTGGTCGCCGTCGGCACGCCCGTCATCGACGATATCTCGCGGTATGCTACAGCGGCGGACTCGCCGTTCCCGTCCATGCAGCAGATGGAGCATGCGCCGACGCTCAACTGGGCGCGGCTGAAGTGGTTCGACGCGCTGAAGTGGCAGAGTCTGGCGGGGGACCCTGCCACACGCGCGGAGCAGATGGCCGCCGTGTCGTGGTATGCGAATGCTCTGGACGCGCCGGATTTTACGAACTTGCCCAAGACGGTCATCTACACGGCTGGGTGTGACCCGCTACGGGACGAGGGCGAGGCGTATGCGCGCAAGCTGGTGGAGGGGGGGAATGAGGTCGTGCAGAAGCGGTTCCAGGGCGTGCCGCATCCGTTTATGCATATGGATAAGGGTGAGTCGAGGCCATAGTGACTGTGAGGGCGGTGCTGACATCTAGCTAGATTTGTGGCAGGCGAAAGAGTTCATCGACATGACGGCGGCGCATATCAAGAATACTCTCCACGCATAGACAATCATACAAGAATTATTGACTTGCATGAACATACTCCGTATATAGAAATTCACATATACCAGATACATCATGCTACCAGCTCCAACATATCATCAATTACTCCATAGCATACAGCTGCCGCGCCAGCGGCACCACACTCTCCTCCAGCGTCCGGAACTTGACCCCCAGCATCTTCTGCGCCTTACTCGAGTCGCACGAGTAGTGCGTATCGCGGATGCGCTTGCCAGGCTCGCCGACGGGAATGCGACTCTGCTTGTTGGGCAGGGCGGCGCGCACGATATCCGCGATCTGCTGCGTGTCGTACGAGTCCTGCGTGACGAGGAAGCGCTCATGGCCGGCCAGCTCGACCGTCAGGGCTTTGTAGGAGGTCATAGCCAAGTCCTCCACGTCGATCCACACTGTAGCACATTAGATCTCACTCTCCAGACACTGCAACAAACGTACCTGGCGCCCGCGTGGGCGGAATCCCAGCCTCCCCCTTCAGCACCTCCCAGACGATCTGGTTGCTGGCGTTCAGCTGCGCCAGAGACTCAATCGGGTGGATCATCTTGCCAAAGACCATGCCGGGACACAGCGTGACCAGCTGGTACGGCACCTTGTGGTCGCGGACGTAGTCCCAGGCAGCGCGTTCGGCGACGACCTTGGAAGCACGATACGCCGCAGGCTGCACCATCAACATCAGCATCTATCCCAATCACTGCATAAGACGAAAACCCACCACAACAGGCGCATCCCGCCCATCCTCATACGTCAGCGGACTCCAGTCCTGCTCGGTATACACCCGCCCCGGCTGCAGCCCCTTCGCGGCATCATACACGGCCGCAAAACTCGACATGATTACCAGTCGCCGCACGGTGGGCTCCTGCGCCGCCGCCTCGCAGATGGCTGTCGTGCCGTTCAGCGCCGGCAGCAGTAGCTTCGCTTCGAACTCGCCCGGCGCCGCGTCGTACGTGAACGCGCTGGCCAGATGCAGCACGCCCTGGCAGCCCGCCACGGCGGGGCGGATCTGGGCGGCGTCCGTCGGATCCGGCACGACGACCAGCTCCAACTGCGAGAGATTGGCGACCCCCGCAGCGGCCAGCGCGGCGCGGGTTGCGGCCGCTTTGGCCGCTGAGCGCACGGTGGCCCGCACTGTTAGGCCCTCGCGGAGGAGCAGGGCGATGCAGTGGGCGGCGATGAAGCCGTTGGCGCCGGTGACTAGGATGTTCATTTCGCTTTGCTTTTGCTTTTGCTGTCTGATGAGGGGATAGTTGGGGGATGAAGGAAGGGGAGGAAGGGGTTTATATGTTGCTGGTGGATACGCTGGAAGTGTCCGTCGCATAGATATACGTACAGTCTAACTATACGATCGCCGCCCTGATTAATGCCGATTCATTGACTAATGGACTAACCCCCTATATACTATCTCACATGCATGCACCTAATAGACATACCGGAAATTCACGTCGTCGTGCACATCGCCATGGCCCGCGCGGCCCTGCGCCAGCTTCGCCTCCAGCCGGCTGCGTGCTGGCGTGCCCAGTCGGTCTGCCCGTTTGTTCCGGTAGCCGTACAGCACACGCAGGCCTGTGGAGATGACGATGGCGGCGGCGTTGACGGCGACAATGGTGATCTTGGCTGGGATGTACCTGGGGAAGTTAGGATGACCGAGAAGCTGTACAAGGGGGTATTCATACGCAGGAGCGTCTCTCGCCTGGAAGGTCTGCGGTCCGATAATGTTGGCAATGCTGAAACCGGCGGAGACGAGCGTACTCCCCGAAACCTGCGTGCGTCAACTACGTACTTCGTCGACGGAGTGCAAGACATACCTTCATAGTGTAGCCTTTGAAATTGGCGCCTGTCCACGCGAAGATCAGGGCCAGAGGTGCCACCGTCTACCTCATTAGTCTCGTTCCAGAAGGGAAAGCCATAGACTCACCGTGTTCACCATGTAGATACCCGCCAGGAGCCCGCCCTGGTTATCCTTCGGGAGAAACGACATCAGACACGACCCCAGCAGCGTCGGGATCAGCAGCACGTCAATCGCCATCCACCGCGAGTAGCCCTTGGAAATCGCATAGGACGACAGCATGGTCGCCGCAATGCTGACCACACCAGAGGGCATGTTCAGCAGCGCGCTCTGCTTGGACGTGTAGCCAAAGTTGAGGATCAGGATGGAGGAGAAGGTGGTGATGACGCCGCTGGGGATGGTAATCAAGATCGTCAGCATCACCAGCATCCACGTCTGGAGATCGCCAAACGCTTCGACCAGCGACCCCCAGCGGAAGACCTTGTCGCCCACGCCGGCCTGGTCGTCCCGCAGCCGCTGGGCGATGCGCTCGCGGTCCGTCGGCGTCAGGAACTTGGCCTTCTCGGGCGACTCGGGCAGCACGAACAGCACTAGGATCGAGGCGATCACGTTGACGATCCCGACTACCACGAACATGATCCGCCAGCCGTGGAAGGTCATGCTGGCCGGGGCGTGCTGGGCGGCGAACGAGATCAGGCCGCCGATGATCTGGCCCATGCCCAGTCCGCAGTACCAGAGCCCGTAGCGAGGCGTGGACTCGGCGCGGGTGTACCACATGCTGGTGTACATGGTCAAGGCGGGGGCTGTTGTCTGATGAGTATGTGCTTGACCGAGAACTGTACGAATGGGGATACAGACCGATGACTGCCTCCAGCATGCCCAGCAGAGTGCGCACCGCACACATGCCGGCAAAGTTCTGCGCGGCGGCCGAGCAGCACAGCAGCACGCCCCAGCAGAAGACATTGACGCCGAGGACTTTGGTGATGGGGAAGCGTTGGAGCAGGATGCCTACCAATTGGTTAGCACATTGTTGCGGTATAATGACAACGACACGTACCCTGAGGAACTTCAGCCACAGCATACGCAATAAAGAACGCCGTCGCCAGCCACGAAAAGTCATTCCCACTCATCCCTAGGTCCTCCTGCAGACCCATCACATTGGCATACTACCATCATCAGCAAGGCCACCACCAGGCCGATATCAGGCGCACTCACATTCAACGAAACCTTGTCGACAAACTGCAGGAAATAGGTAAAGAACATAATCGGCAGAATGCGCCAGTCGATCCGACGCATCAGGGCGCCGTCGTTGTGCAGATCGCCGACGCCGTAGTCCTCCGCGAGCTTCTCGTCCGGGGGGTCCATGGCTGCAGCGTCCTTGTCCTTGGGGAAAGTCATGTCGCAATTCAGTACCAGGGGTGGTATAGTAAGTACAGCACGAGAGGCAGGATGGCATGATATTAAAAGTTGGCCAGCGTATGCGCGCGGTGGCCGTCGGGAACGTCAGCATGCCGCTTCATAGATAGAGAGCCGGCTGTCTATCACTCGAGCTAGGATTTTAGGCCAGTGTAGCGTGCCACTAGCTGGCATTCTCCTCTTCTGACGATTCCCCGGGGAGTCTAGGGGTTGCCACTGATAGCGGTGGAGCATGCAGCCGTCGCATAGATAGCCGTCGCATGTCGCGATAGAGATAGTGAGGGGATGGATTGCGGATGGTAGCCGGCATCATAGATCGGAGGGCCTCAATGATGTTCAGGTATATAATCGACTCTGAGACTCAGACATGACACTGTCCATCATCGACACCTCCATCCGCATCATGCCCTCTCGCACTGACTCCCCCCTTGACGTGGCCATCATTGGCGCCGGGCTGGGCGGCCTGTCTGCCGCGGTGGCCCTGCGTCGCCAAGGTCATCAGGTCACGGTCTATGAGCGCTACGACTTTGCTGGTGAGGTGGGCGCCTCGTTGAGTGCTGCGTCGAATGGATCGCGGTTCCTGGAGCAGTGGGGGGTGGATGTGAAGGCCGCGAAGCCTGTACGTGTGCACGGCAAGAAACAAACACAAACAAGCAAAGGCTGATGAAAATAGGTCATTCTGAAGAAGCTGATCATGCACGACTGGTCGTCCGGCCAGGTGCAGAGCGAGTACGGCCTGGGCGACTACAAGTCCAAGTTTGGCACGGTAAGCACAGAGTATACAGCCCTAGCATCTATCATACTGATTGACCAGGACTACAACAACTTCCACCGCATCGACATCCATAAGGAACTCCTCAAATCCGCCTTTGAAGAACCTGGCGATGGCCCCAAATGCACCCTCAAAGTCAACCACAAGGCCACGGGCCTCGACGCCGAAGCAGGCGTCATCCAGTTCGAGAACGGCACGACCGCAACGGCCGATCTGATCGTGGCCGCCGACGGGATCCGCGTAGGTCACCTTCTCTCCTTCACCCTCGTATTAGCTTCCCTCTAACAAAACCGTGTACAAGTCCCTCTCGCGCAGCTTCCTCGGCATCACCCCTAATTTCCAAATGTCCACCTCATGCTGCTACCGCTGCATCATCGGCGCGCCCAAGCTGCGCGAGCTCGGGCTCGAGGACTACATCGACAACGAGGCGATCGAGTACTGGGGCGGCTTCGGCATCGACAAGATCGTCATGTCGCCCTGCAGCAACGGCGAGGTCGTCAGCTGCTACTGCTTCTACCCGGCCGAGTACAACGACCTGCGCGACGATGGCTGGAACATCTCCGCCACGCCGCAGCAGCTCGTCGAGACGTTCCCGGGGCTGGATCCGCGCATGAAGAAGCTGATGCTGAATGCGGAGGATATCAAGATGTGGCGGTGTACGGCCCCTTCCCCAACACCCTCCGGGGGTCACTCTGCTAGACGTCCTGCTGATAGTGTAGTGTACCGCCACCAGCCGTACCCCTACTGGATAAAGGGGAAGGTGTGTCTTCTCGGTGACGCCGGTGAGTACTAGTATGTCCCCTTGCTCGTGATTCCACCCAGCTGATGTTCAGCCCACCCCATGATGCCCGACCAATCCCAAGGCTCCTGCATGGCGTTCGAGGACGCCGGCGCCCTGGGCTACATCTTCCACCGCACGTTCCGCGAGCAGTACGGCGTGGCCGAGGGGCTGGCGCTGTACGAGCGGCTGCGCAAGCCGCGGGCGACGCGCGTGCAGGAGGCCAGTTTCCGCGCCCGCGAAGACCTCAGCGAGCGCATCGGATGGAGCTCGTCGGCGGACCGGCCGGGCAAGCTAACCATCGAGGAGGTGTGCGGGTACGATATGCGGAAGCATTTGCAGGAGTTGGTTGCGCAGCGGTCGTAGGCTGCGGCCGGGCTAGGAGTTTCTTTGCTTGATTATGTATATTTACGAGTGGATGAATATATTGATTGGATCGTATCGTCGTTGTACACATACGTATATACAGCCTACAGCACGTCAGATGAACACCATCCCCGGGAACTGGCTATACCGCACCCGCGCCCAGTTCCACTCGGTGCCCTCCGCCCACACCGTCTCGAGCAGCTGGCGCGCGTGTGGGATGTGCCCGAACCCCAGCGTGTTCTCCATCACCATCAGCCGCTCCTTGACCATCATGCGGCGCTCGATGGTGGTGCTGCTGGCGCCGGCGATGACGAGCGGGAAGAGCAGGCTGCCCTCGACGGGGCTGCCGTAGGGGATGGCCAGGACGGCGGCGAGGATGGTCGTGATGGCGTTTTCGACCGCGGCGTGGCGGGGGTCGTAGCCGTTGACGATCTGGTGCAGGCGTAGGCGGACGGCCCACTCGAAGGCCGTGGTGGCGCGGTCAGCATCGCGGTCCGGCAGCGCGGCGCAGCTGGTGCTCTCGTAGTCGGCGCGCCAGGCGTCCAGCTGGCTCTGGACGTGGGCGGCGGCAGCGCGGAACCCGATCTCGGACAGCTCGTCGACGCGGCGGCTGCGGTGCGCGGCGAGCAGGTTCACCATGCCCAGGAAGTCGAGCAGCGCGGGCGCCATGCCGCAGATGGCGTCGCCGGGGGCGGTGGGCAGGCTGCGCGGCGGCCCGCTGTCCGCGGTGAGGTCGGTCAGGCTGTCGCCGTCGTGCAGGAGCGGCGGCTTGCAGCGGGAGATGGTCGACATGGAGTCGAGGTAGTGGAAGAGGTGCAGGCAGAAGCGGCCCTCGGGGGTGGCTTCGAGGGTCTGGACGCCGGCGGAGGTGAGCAGGGTGCCGGCCGCCTTGAGATGCCATTTCCACACACGCGAGGTGCCGTCGAACAGCTCCGTGAGACAGAGGAGGAGGACGGTGGCGCAGGCTTCGAGGGTGGCCTGTGGGTTTGGCAGCGATAGGAGCTGGTTGACCTGCGCCAGGGCTGGGGCTGTCAGTGCTGTCATTTGCAGAAGGGGCCGACGCACCTCGTCCTTGTCGAGCCAAGGCATGGTTCCAGATAGTCGGGTAGACGCGCTTCCAATGGCATCCGCTCAGACCTAGAATGACACTCGTGATGGTGTCCGACGCGGCGGCCATGGGCAGCAGGGTCACCAGGAAGGGATTGCTGTCGGGATCGCCGGACCGCGACAGGGCGCGTGCGACGATGTGCAGATAGTGGTTGAAGAGCGAGCGGTCCTCGTCATTGTGCAGATACGGATTGGAGGCTCCACCCGGCGATGCGACGGGGGCACCGATCGCCTCCGGGGTCAGCCATGTGGACAGGCTTCCTATCGGATCGTCGAGACCGGCCGGATCGGAAGGCGATGTCGGGTCCGTGACGGATGCGAGGGTGAGACTGTTGCTGGTTTCGGATCGCGGCGAGGCTGTACAGGTATGCGACGGCGCAGACGCCGTGGAGTCTGGCGAAGCCGGCGACGATGGTTTCCACCGACACGGCAGATTCAAGCGGCGGCAGTCGCTGCAGCGAGGACGCACTTCGTCGCATTTCTTCTTCCGGGCCTTACAGGACAGACAGCCTCCTCGCGACCGAGAGGCTCGCGGACGACGATGGCCCAGGGACTTGGCCAGATCGGCCTTTTTGCCGGGTTGCTGGACTTCACAGACATGGCCGAGACCTGGGATCTTGCGTTGAGCATTGCATTATCAGGATGAGGTAGATGCAGCTAGACATACGAGAGCAGCGAGCACAGGGGAAGCCCCCGTCACAGCGTTGTTTCTAGGCTGTCAGTATTCCCTTGATGCAGCACTAAGAAACAACCGTCAGGAGCATACAATCTTAGCGCATCGAGCGCAGACTCGACCAGAGACACTGGAACTCATGGCGCAACAGCCACTAGACAGTTACTGCATCGGCCTCAGGGTTACGAACACTGCGAGCACAACCGTGCGAGCAGAAGGAGGAACCGGCCGACGCGACGGCAATTAAGGCTTATCAGGATCGGATGCGACGGCGACGTCTTGATAGCGCTAAGGGCCTGCTAGGGACCTGCTAAGGGCTTGGGGCGGGCGATATGGGCCGTTTCTCTTATTAATGGATATTCATCGGCAATTCACGAACTAATAAGACCAGCGTCTGCATGCGGGGGAGTCTGGGGTACTCCAGATCGCCCTCATATCCTCGGCTATCCTCGTCGAGCAACCCAGAACTGCGCCTGGTACGCATTCTTACTCAGTCCTCGCCCATTCCGCGCGTAGGCTACTTCTTTGCCGCGGACGGGGCGACCTGCTAGGGTGAGTTCGCCGCAGGAGGCGTCGGTCTCCTCGAATGTGAAGCCAATGCGCTCGCTGAGGGCTACGATCTCGTCCAGCGACAGTTGCAGGAAGGGCGCACTGCCGTAGAGGAGCGGGCCCAGGTTGATCCAGGTTCCGCCGGGTTTTAGTAGTCGATGGATGGTCTCGAGGTAGGAGACGAGGTTACGCGCTGTGTCGATGAAGAAGAGGGTGACAATCACATCGTACTGTTCGGTGTTGTCGGAGAACACGGTGGTAAAGTCTCCTTCGACTGACAGGACCGACAATGGATTGGCCACCTGGTCTGGGAAAGACACTGATCGCTGGAGATCGGCTGTTGTAGCATGATGCGACCACCAGTCGATGTATGGGTGAAAGGCCATGCCGTGGGGGATGGAGAGACTCGAGATGTATCGGTAGGCCAGGTTCATGTACGCAGACCATTCGTTCATCGTGACCTCCATGCCTGTCGGAATCAATCAGCTCATCGTATTTGAGAAGGTCGAGATATAGGTAAACGTACCTCCAAGGACTGCTATCTCATGCGCCAGTCGTCCGATGCCAGCACCAGGCACCAACACCTGCAGGGGCTGTTCCTCACTGCGCGACATGCTCGCCAACGCGTTGATGATACAGGGAAATGCTTCCTGCCGCTCGTCATACCCTTCGTCTGACCAGTCGCGCACAAAATGCTTCATCGCCTGGGAAACGCTGGTGCGGTCGGTGGTGCCTCCTTCGCGTTCGTTCTCCTGGATGAATCCATCCAACTCGGCTTGGGAGACGTTGTAGAATCGCTTTCCGTTCTCCACGATCGCATGGGCGACCCGTTCGTTGGCCTCGAAGAGATGCTCGACGGTGTTGAGTTTCCGCGTGTAGTGGACGGTAGATTCCACCATCTGTTGGTCAGAATGATACTGAAGCATATCACGGTGGCACATACCGATCGCTGTCGCTTGGGGATCTGCTTATACCAGTCCCGCCATCGCTTCACCTCGACTAGATTCCTCTCCCTGTAACGATGGAATCCATGGAGGGCAGTCAGCAGGCGGTGTCGTGGATGCGATGGCCCCCATGAGCCCGTCGACCGCTGAAGACGCTGCTGGAGACGAGCATACTCGTCCGCATGGCGCGCTGATTCTGCCGAGTCGACGATGGTGATATTCGACACGAATACCTGGGTGATGGACTAGCACAGTATGAGCGATGCACACTCACAGTCCACTCATTGATGCAGTCTTACCTCGACCTCTGGGGCAAGTGGTGCGAACCCCCAGAGAGAAGCACTTGCGGCCACCAGACACAGCAGCCAGAGCATCCCACGCATCATGACTGCTTCCCGACCACAAAGCATGAACCTGATCAACTTGAAGACTTTTCAGCTGAGCTGATCACCGCCATCAAGGTCCTCCCGCCGTCTCAGCCAAGTCTGCCAAGTATCGCGAGTTTTTTGTCGTTGCGGCGGACATCTCGCCATCTGCTGCATGTACTTTGGAGACAGGATCTTCCGCCAGACGAGCAAATCGGCGTCGTCTAGTCTTCTCGCAAGGTTCTCAAGCACTCTTGGCATGCTCCGAGACTTGGCATTGTGAAGATATTCAGACCTCTTCGCATGACTCCGTCTGCGAGTCTGCGTTCTTCACTCGACTGCAGAGCCATACATCTGAGCATCATCCCTTCAACAGCAGACAGACTCCCAGAAAGCAGTCTTCCAGTTCCATTCATGAATACATTCATCGTCGGTATCCTGACAACGAGAACCTTGGAGGTGCCAAGTAAGTCCCGTCTGCTTGGCACAATGAACCAGCCAGTTTCCATCCACAGCCCTCCATCGAAACCACATTTCATTAAATGAGGATGACAATCCCAGCAGGGTCCATTATGGGGTGAATGCGGCGGCTGTCCTGGGTATAAAACCTGGGTCAGCGTGCACGCCGCCCTCGTTCTTCCTGCGCCATTGTCCTACCGCCAGATCAATCGAGACCACCAAGCAGCCATCAAGATGAGATTCTCAATCCTTGCAGTCATGGCCGTGGCCTCCTCCGTCCTCGCCCAGGACCCAGGCCCGTCCCCGACCGCTTCGGTGGGCTGTGAGCCTCATGGGGACCACTGGTATGTATCCAGCCCTATACCAGCAGTATGTCCTGCGACTAACCTGCACAACCAGGCATTGCGATGGCCCTGCGACCGCGGCGGCCACAGAAACCGCCACTCCTGCTGTGCCCAGCCCGACCGAGTCTGTCGGCTGTGAACCCCATGGTGACCACTGGCACTGTGATGGCCCGGCATCGACCGCCGCGACTGCCACCTCCACCGCGACAGGCTCTCATGACGACCATGATGAGGAATCGACGACTACCCCGACGGTGCCCTCTCCTACTGAGTCAGTTGGCTGTGAGCCTCATGGTGACCACTGGCACTGCGACGGGCCCGCCGAGACTGGCTCGAGCGCCAGCGCCAGCACCAGTACCAGTGCCAGCAGCACTAGCTCTGCGGCCGGGGCTGCAGCGAGTGGATCTGACGGCGAAGAGGGTGCTGCCGGCAACATCGGCGTTCAGCTGTCTGCAGTAGTTGGATTGGCCCTGGGTGTTGCTGTGTTGCAGCTTTGAGGCTGATATACAGAGTACTGCGAAAAACCCCTGTACAGATGTCAATCTATGTAAAATCCACAATTTTTCTGTGTCATTGTTTCAGACAGCATTAGGGCTAGGCAGTCAGACGATGGAGGATCCGGGGTGGTCTGTCTGGTCAGACCATCCCGGATCCTCTTCACTCGCCACCCGTGCCCCTATATAAGTCTATATAAGTCCAACGTTCCTGTCATGAAAGAAGTAAACCTATCAAAGTTCTGTACACCATGGAGCTGTTCAGTTACAACGCCTCGGCTCCGATGGCCTCGTACGCGCATGTCCTCCAGCAGCTCCCCAAGCTCTCCACGCTGGAGGCTCTATGGGAAGCCCATTACGCCTACTGGGACAATGACATCCTAGCCACCGGTATGCTCATTCCATTCATCCTCCCCCATATTCAACACTAATGATCAGGCCTCATCACCTTCGTCGCCCACGAGCTCATCTACTTCGGCCGCTGTCTGCCCTGGATCATCGCCGACGCTCTCCCCAGCATCTTTCGCCGCTACAAAATCCAGGACCAGAAAGCCCCCCCATCAGCCGCAGACCAGTGGACCTGCGTCAAGTACATCCTGGCCATCCACTTCATCGTCGAGCTCCCCCTGATCGTCCTCTTCCACCCGATGATGGACCTCTGCGGCCTGCAATACAGCCTCCCCTTCCCCGCCGCAAAGACCCTCGCCGCCCAGCTCCTCATGTTCTTCCTCGTCGAAGACACATACCACTACTGGCTGCACCGCGCCTTCCACTGGGGCCCGCTGTATCGCCGCATCCATCGCGTGCACCACCAGTACGCGGCGCCGTTCGGCTTGACGGCCGAATATGCGAGTCCCTGGGAGACGCTGCTGCTGGGGTTTGGGACGATTGGGCCTCCACTTGTTCTGGGGTATTTCGCTGGCAATGTGCATCTGGTGACGGTGTTGGTGTGGATGACGCTGCGTCAGGTGCAGGCGATCGATGCGCACTCCGGGTATGACTTTCCGTGGAGTCTGCGCCGGATTTTTCCCATCTGGGGAGGCGCCGACTGGCATGATGATCATCATCGGTATTTTGTTGGGAATTATTCCAGCTCTTTCAAGCATTGGGATGGTGAGTGCGGTATACTCGTCTTCTGTAGGAAGCTGCTAACGTGGTGCAGTGTTGATGGGCACGGTGGCCGGACCAAAAGGGAGGGCGAAGAAAGTACGATAAAGGGTCCATGGTTCTATTGTCAGATGGCTGTCTTGCATCCATTCCTATACTCTACGTAATTAATAGTGCTCGTCTTGTAATATTAGTATATCGCTCGTTCGCCAACTGGACACTGCTGGCTGGTCACTTAGTCATCAGCTCAAGGGCCAGTCTATCAAACAAAGAAGTCATTGAACATTTGCTCTTCATCTCATCAAGATGCCTGCCATTTCTGACTCTTCATGTGGTCTTCTGCTAAGAGAATCCGCTCATCGGTACATGCCATAACGCCGTAACCTTAGAGACTCATATTGCTATATTTCGCCAGGTCTGGGGACATAAAAAGGTCATCAAGAGAGTGGGTGACATGAGACTTCACATTGACAGTCAAGAGATCATTCGCCATCATACAAAGACTCCCAAACTCGCACAGCAATCGATATCAACAGTCTAGCCATTCCATAACCAACCACCGGCAAACTAACCTACTGCTCCTTCTTTGACTCCGAATCCGCCGTCAACGTGCGAACAATCGAAGACGCAACAATCGCCGACTCTCTCCATCCCTTCTGACGCTGCCAAAACTTCTCCGCCGGATCTGTCCCGTGTCGGGACCACTGGCGCGCGTCCTCCTCCAAAGTTTGCCGCGTAATCTGTGACAGATCAACCCCAGAGTCGGCCTCAGCCGGTGGAGCGGGCTCATCAGACTCGTCGTCACTGCTCACCCGCGATTGTAGAGTCGACTCAAGATAGCGTTTCCGCATGTTGTACCGCTCCGTGCGTTCCTTGCGCACATTGGGCGGCTCCAGCTTGCTCATGGCGGCTTGCACCGCATATCGAACCAGGAGGTACAGATGCTCCGAGAAGAAGATGGTCAACAAAAGGGCCCAGCCGTGGATGGTCGATGGCTGGCCGTTCGGCGCAACCTGTGCGTTGCGGAACATGTAGACGAGCGCCGAGCTCGTGATGCTTCCAACCCAAGAGAGGAAGCTCAAGCTGTCCAGCCACGGTCCAATAGTCTCTGCACGCTGTGGCCAGGGGCGTTTGCATTCCATGCAGATCTTGAAGAAGTCGGAGCGCAGCTCGACCCAGTTGTTGATCAGGAAGGACACCGGGACGAGCGGCCAGATGGGCGAGAACAGCGCCAGATAGCCAAACTGGATGCACATCTCGCGCAGGTCGTCGGTAACATCATAATCGTCCATCTCCGCTTCGTTGCGGACGCGGGCAAGGAATACCGCTTCGTTGGGGTCATCCTTTAACGATGCTGCGCGCGCCTTGGTCGCCTTTCCGTCTTCGGGAACAGGCTTGTTGCGCTTTTTGAGGTATTCCTTGTACTTCTGGGCGAAGCGCTGTTTGAGCATGGGGACGATCGTCTCCTGTGCAAAATTCACAGCCTGGGCCGTAACAGTAAAGTAAATGACTTGCTTGCGGAGACGGTCGGGGTTGATGGTGAATTTCGTGCGGGCCTTCGTTGCGTGCTCCTTGCTCACGAACGGACGGACCGTGAGCGAAAAGACATCCAAGTACGGCACGATGTAGCTGGCAAAGGGGAGATAGACGAAGGCCGTTAGGATAATCGGCAGATAAGAGGTGATGAAGTTGATAATGAAAATTTTCCGCGTTAGAGCTACGTCATAGGCTGCCTGGGTCTCGTAGTTTTCATAGTTGTTCAGTCGGGTCGCGACGGAAACCAGTATCGTAGTCATTGTTGGGATGAGGGCCGACAGAAGAATGGTGGGAATAAACACCTAATCATGCATACCAATCAGGCTTGCACATTATAACCGGAGGACGCGACTTACCAGGTATCCTTTGAGCGGTCCGTTGTAGATCTCGGAGATGAAGATTTCAATCGCAAAGCAAGTAGCGATTATAACACCCAGACCGATCACCGCCACCACGGTGAAAGGAATCTGCAGGAGCTGCCGCTGGATACGCTTGGACTGGGGAAAGACACCTCTGATCTCGCCGGTGTCTTCATCGCGGACCTCCATCTCCGGCTGGAATTCCCGCCGCTTGGGGCGGAGGAACGACACTCCACGTGTTTGCCATCGGCAGCTGAGATCTTCCTCCTGTCGCTTCCAGTACTCGATAAAGATGATACACCATAGAGCGTTGACAACCGTGTAGATTGTCGAGAAAGAACCGAGCAATACCCAGCACGAGAACCCGAACGCCGCAGGGAAGAGAAGAAACCTGAAGTACGACTGCAAGAACGCAAAGTAGAATCCGACCTAGGCATGTTAGCATATCCACTATCTGCCCCGCGGAAACCCAACTTACACTCTCTCCGAAAGTATTCCGTATCTGATCCAGATCCTCCGTCGTCAAGAAAGTCTTGCGACTCCAGTCCCTGATACACTGGCTGTTGGCCTCCTGGTCATGTAGCGGGAAAATGGCAACGACATTTTTCCATTCATCGGACTTAGGAATGATCCCAGCGCCGCCCCCTTCGCGAGGGACAGTTATCATATGGTAAATTACGCGCAACCGCTCCGATTCCGTTTGAGGTTCTGCCGAATCCTCTGGTTCCGGTTCGGTGTTACGAACACCATACAGCCAATCGCGGATTCTAGACGCACGTATTAGAGGAGGATCGTTCAAAACGTCATGCGACAAGTTATCGACAAGCGTACCGGGACTGGTAGACCGCGCGCTTCAGGCTCTTCTTCCTGGAAGCCCGCACGAAGACCAGGATCGACGATTCGTCGCCCTCCCTCACCTCACTCTGTAAACCTACTTCATGGAGACGTCGGAGCAACAGCTCAAGCTCGTTATCGGCGTCTTTAGAGTCTATAGAAGGTCAGATATCCTGGCTGCAAGCCCAGATCGCGGCGAACATACCCGTCTGCGCAAAGCTGTAACGGATGACGTAGTCCACATGATTGTTGCGGTCCACGGCCTTCTGGAGCTCAGTGGGAGCCATTGATGCGATGCGAGACAGTCACCAGTCTCAGCCCGTGAAGATACTGGCGACGGGTATATTCAGAGACGACTGGAGAAGAAAAGGAAAAAGGGGCGGTTCGGCTTCTTGAAGACCGCGTGGAGTCGCTTCAGCTCGAGATCCGCCGATGACGACGTCACCCAGGATTCCAGGAAGCTTAAATGGCCTAATTAGCCCTAGGGTTGCAGGTCCTCACCGCCCATAAGGCGGTCCTATTCTGCCCGCTATTCCTTCCCGTTTATTCTCTCCACGCCTCAACAACAACGGTCATCTCATCTTCCTCTCTTCCTCAATACCGACAAACTCCCGTTCAAAAGGCAACTGGGCTGGTACAATATGGCAACCAATAACTCCGCCGAGTTCCAGTGGCTGGCCCAACTGGCGGCCATGCGCGAAGCTATCGCCGAGTTGAAACTGCCAAAGGACCCCGCAAAAGACCTTGCTTACGGCAGTGATTTGGATTTGGATCTGGACGACGATTACTCTTCTCCCGGAACCGTCGATGATATCTGGGATGTCATTAGTTCCGATGATGAGTCTAGTGTGGGCCTCGACGAGACAGATCGTGTCGTTTCTCCCCCGACGAACGCCTACGATCAAAACTGGCTAGAGCAGAAATGCCTGGGCCTCAGTCTCCAAAAGCCCGGATTAGACGCGAATGAGCTGGCGCAGCAGATTTCGGCTACTTTGGCCACGGACAGTGGCGATGACGAGCTACAGATGTCTCTGGCGGAGATCGTGGGCTTCGACGACCTGGACTTCGTAATTGAATTGATTGCACACCGGGCAGAGATCCTTGCGAGCGCTGCCACCGGCCCCGAAGCGCAGACTGACGGCCTGATGTCCGGAAGGCTCCAAACCAAGGCCGAGCGAGAACGAGCATTGCGGCAGCAGGACTACGAGCACAAACATACCCCGCTGCTCCCCGCCCAGACCAGACAGGAGCCACAGTACCCGCACGTCTTCAAGATGCACGACTCGCGAAATACCCTGGCGCTGGGCGGGAAGAAATACGGGCTCCCCATGGGCAGTAAACAGATCGAGGAGCAGAAATACACCGAAATTGAAGTCCCAGCATCCCGGGTTGGCACGCTCGCTGCCACACAAAAGCTAGTTCCAATCGCGTCGATGGATGGCCTGTGCCAAGGGACTTTCAAAGGTTACAAAACATTGAATCGCATGCAGAGCTTGCTGTATGACGTGGCCTACAAGACCAGTGAAAACATGCTTATCTGTGCCCCAACCGGTGCTGGTAAGACAGATGCGGCTATGTTGACGATCTTGAACGCTATCGGCAAAAATACCGCCCCGAACCCCGTGGAAGAGCCAGAGGCAACAGAGTTCGCAGTCCAGGTCGACGACTTCAAGATTGTCTATGTCGCTCCGATGAAGGCTTTGGCGGCTGAAGTCACCGAAAAGCTCGGCAAGCGGCTCGCCTGGCTAGGCATTCAGGTCCGTGAATTGACCGGCGATATGCAATTGACCAAGCGAGAGATCGTTGAAACACAAATTATTGTCACCACCCCTGAAAAATGGGATGTGGTGACCCGAAAGAGCACTGGGGATACCGAGCTCGTCCAAAAGGTCCGCTTGTTGATCATCGATGAGGTTCACATGCTTCACGATGAGCGTGGTGCAGTGATCGAGTCCTTGGTGGCCCGTACCCAGCGTCAGGTTGAGAGTACACAGTCGCTCATCCGCATCGTTGGTCTTTCTGCGACCCTGCCCAACTATATAGATGTGGCCGACTTCTTGAAGGTCAATAAGATGGCGGGGCTGTTTTATTTTGACAGCTCTTTTCGTCCAGTTCCTCTCGAACAACATTTTATCGGTGTCAAGGGGAAGCCGGGCTCGAAGCAATCTCGCGAAAATCTTGATGTTGTCGCCTTCGAGAAAGTGCGTGATATGCTTGAGCATGGGCACCAAGTCATGGTCTTCGTGCACTCGCGCAAAGACACTGTCCTGACTGCTCGTATGCTGAAGCAGTTGGCTGCTGAGGAGGGATGCGAAGACTTGTTCAGCTGCCAGGATCATGAGAAATATTCCAGCGCGCTCGGGGATATGAAACATGCCCGTGCTCGCGAGCTGCGGGATCTATTTGCCAGTGGGTTTGGAACGCACCATGCCGGCATGAGCAGAAGTGATCGTAACTTGATGGAACGCATGTTTTCGGAAGGCTTGATTAAAGTCTTGTGTTGTACAGCTACGCTTGCCTGGGGTGTTAACCTTCCCGCAGCAGCAGTCGTCATCAAGGGAACGCAGTTGTATAACCCGCAGGAAGGTAAATTTGTCGATCTTGGTATTCTCGATGTGCTACAGATCTTCGGTCGTGCCGGCCGGCCACAATTCCAGGACACTGGTATTGGTTTCATTTGCACGACACACGATAAGCTACACCATTATCTCTCCGCAGTCACCTCCCAGCAACCGATCGAATCTCGATTTTCCAGCCGGCTAGTGGATAACCTTAATGCCGAGATCTCCCTCGGTACAGTCACCTCAGTTCCAGAAGCGGTGCAGTGGCTGGGCTATTCGTATCTGTTTGTGCGCATGCTGCGTGAACCGAGGAACTATGGCATCGACTGGGCGGAGATTCGAGACGACCCTATGCTGGTCCAGAGACGTCGTCAGTTGATCATCCAGGCTGCGCTTGTATTGCAGAAGAGCCAGATGATCATTTACAACGAAAAGACTGAGGAACTGCGCGCAAAGGACGTTGGGCGCATTGCAAGTCAGTACTATGTCTTACAGACTAGCATTGAAATCTTTAATGAAATGATGCGCCCTCGAGCCGGTGAAGCGGATGTGCTGAGGATGATCAGTATGAGCGGTGAATTCGACAACATTCAAGCCCGCGAGAATGAATCCAAGGAACTCGATCGGCTACGTGAAGAGGCGATCCAGACTGAGATCGCAGAAGGCAATGACTCGCCCCACGCCAAAACGAACATTCTACTTCAGTCTTATATCTCGCGTGCCAAGATCGAGGACTTCGCTTTGGTTTCAGATACTGGTTATGTGGCACAAAATGCGGCCCGTATCTGTCGTGCTTTGTTCATGATTGCATTGAACCGACGCTGGGGTTATCAATGCCAGGTGCTCTTGTCGCTGTGCAAGTCTATCGAAAAGCAAATCTGGCCCTTTGACCATCCGTTCCACCAATTCGACCTCCCTCAGCCGATCCTCAGGAACTTGGACGAGAAACTTCCGAGTTCATCCATCGAGTCAATGCGCGATATGGAGGTTGCGGAGATTGGCCAGCTTGTCCACAATCAAAAGATGGGCAAGACATTGGCCAAGTTACTGGACAATTTCCCTACCCTCAGCGTGGAGGCCGAAATAGCTCCTCTGAACAGAGACGTCCTTCGTATCAGACTCTGTCTCTATCCCGAGTATGTCTGGAATGATAGGCACCACGGTGCCTCTGAGTCCTATTGGGTCTGGGTGGAGAACTCGGAAACCTCAGAGATCTACCATCACGAGTATTTCATTCTCAGCCGGAAGAAGCTCCATGACGAGCATGAGCTCAACTTTACGATTCCACTGTCAGACCCGTTGCCCAGTCAGATCTACGTCCGCGCCATTTCCGATCGATGGCTGGGAGCAGAAACCGTTACGCCCGTCTCTTTCCAACACTTAATTCGTCCAGACACCGAAAGTGTGTATACGGATCTCCTGGACCTGCAACCTCTTCCCATTTCTGCCCTCAAGAACCCCCTTCTAGAGGAGTTATACGGGCAACGGTTCCAGTACTTCAATCCTATGCAGACGCAAATCTTCCATCTTTTGTATCACACCCCAGCGAATGTTCTCCTGGGCTCTCCTACGGGTAGTGGAAAGACCGTGGCTGCGGAACTGGCGATGTGGTGGGCCTTCAGGGAGAAGCCTGGTTCAAAGGTTGTATACATCGCCCCAATGAAGGCTCTTGTCCGTGAGCGCGTACAGGACTGGAAGAAACGCCTTACAGCCCCCATGGGACTGAAATTGGTCGAGTTGACTGGTGACAATACGCCTGACACGCGGACCATCCGTGACGCGGATATCATCATTACAACGCCTGAAAAATGGGACGGTATCTCGCGTAGTTGGCAGACCAGAGACTACGTGCGGAAGGTGAGCCTAGTGATAATTGACGAGATTCACCTGCTAGGCGGTGATCGAGGTCCTATTCTGGAGATCATTGTCTCGCGAATGAACTACATCGCTTCGCAGTCTAAGGGATCCGTCCGGCTGATGGGCATGTCGACTGCTTGTGCCAATGCTACCGATCTCGCGAACTGGCTGGGAGTCAAGGAGGGATTGTATAATTTCCGACATTCTGTGCGCCCTGTCCCTCTCGAGATCTACATTGACGGTTTCCCCGAACAACGTGGATTCTGCCCTCTGATGCAGTCCATGAACCGGCCGACTTTCCTTGCGATTAAGAACCACTCACCCGAGAAGCCGGTCATTGTCTTTGTTGCCTCCCGTAGACAAACCCGACTCACGGCCAAGGACCTGATCAACTTCTGTGGAATGGAAGACAACCCACGCCGGTTTGTCCGCATGAGCGAAGAGGACTTGCAGCTAAACCTAGCAAGAGTCAAGGATGATGCGCTCCGGGAGGCGCTCAGTTTCGGCATTGGCTTGCATCATGCCGGTCTGGTGGAATCGGACCGACAGCTCGCGGAGGAACTCTTCGCGAATAACAAGATACAGATTCTTGTGGCAACCAGCACTCTTGCGTGGGGCGTCAATCTTCCGGCGCATCTGGTGGTTGTCAAGGGCACTCAGTTCTTCGATGCGAAGATTGAAGGCTATAGGGACATGGATCTGACTGATGTCCTGCAGATGCTCGGTCGTGCTGGTCGTCCCCAGTTCGACTCCTCTGGTATCGCACGCATTTTCACCCAGGACTCCAAGAAAGCATTTTACAAGCACTTCCTCCATACCGGCTTCCCCGTCGAGTCCACTCTGCACAAGGTCCTCGACAACCATTTGGGCGCCGAAGTATCCGCAGGCACGATCGCCACGAAACAAGACGCCTTGGACTACCTGACATGGACGTTCTTCTTCCGCCGACTGCATAAGAATCCCTCCTACTATGGTCTTGAAATCTCCGCTGAGGAGCACAACACCATGGCTGCCCAGGCAATTGCGCAGGATTTCATGATCGATCTGGTGGACAAGTCACTCGGAGAGCTAGCCGAGTCATCGTGCGTTATTCTTGACTCCGCTACAGGCGACGTCGACCCCACGCCGTTCGGCAAAATCATGAGTTACTACTACCTGTCGCACAAGACGATCCGCTACCTCATGTCGCACGCTAAACCGAACCCGACTTTCCAAGACGTGCTGAGCTGGATGTGCTCTGCAACCGAATTCGACGAGCTGCCCGTCAGACACAACGAAGACCTCATCAACGCAGAGCTCGCCCGCAATTTGCCCCTCTCTGTGGAATCCATGGGCGATCTCCCCATGTGGGATCCCCACATGAAAGCCTTCCTCCTCCTGCAAGCATACATGTCGCGGATCGATCTCCCGATATCTGATTACGTCGGAGACCAGATCTCGGTCCTGGACCAGGGCATCCGTATCCTGCAGGCATCCATCGATGTGATGACAGAACTGGGCTACCTGCCCGCCTGCCAGCAGCTGATGACGCTACTCCAATGCATCAAGTCTGCGCGCTGGCCTGAGGACTACCCGTTGTCCATCCTACCAGGCATCGATGTCGAAAGACCATCAACCGCCTTGCCGGAGACTTTGGTGGCTCTATCCGCTATGCCCACTGGCGCTGTGTCGTCCCTCGCCCGCAAACTGCAACTGCCTGCTGCACAGTTCACAAAGGCCGTCTCGTACCTCCCGAGCATCTCCCTGGAGATTTCCAATGTGTCGTCAACCGGCATCACCATCTCCTTGTCTCGTCAGAACCCCCCAACCGACTCGGAGTACAGGATCTACGCGCCGCGGTTCCCGAAACCTCAGACGGAGGGCTTCTTCCTGGTTGTGTGCGCCGCCAAATCCGATGGCTCCGATGGTGAGATTCTAGGCATGAAGCGCGTGTCCTGGCCGTCCGCCACCAAGCAGAACGGTTTCAGGAACGGCAGCGGGAGCTCCAGCAAGAGATCGAACCCATCAAAGGGCGCGAATGCAGGCCCCACCGTCCGGTCCTCTGTTAAGTTCCCGGGGACTCTGCTGGATCAGTTCGCTGCTTCAGCCGCTCCAGGGAAGATTGCTGTCAATATCAAGGTCATCAGCGATTCCTACCCTGGTATGCAGTGGGTCATGTCGAATGTGGCGGTTGAGCTGGCATCTTCGGCGCAGGCTCTGCCTGGGCCTGGGGGTTTCCCTGAGAAGGGCTGAGGCCTGCATATAGTATTTATCAGGATCGTAAATATTCATATATAGTAGAGAATTATGATCATTGTTGATAGACGTGAAATGCGCTTGGTGGATTAGACCTAGCTTTAGTCCACTATCTATACTAGAAAGTTTGAATCCAGCAAGACTCGAATGAAGAATGAGATGATTCGGCCGACCACCGGGGTTAACAGCAATAACGAAAGAAAATGGGTAAAACGAATGAATGAAAACTCATGCAAAGTGAAATGCGAAGCCAGGTCGGTGCTCATCGACGGAAAAGAAAATCACGGTATAATGCTACCAGCGCCCAAGAATATATATAAAACGAAAAACAAAGGTCAAGAAAAGAGACATATAGTCCACACCTCATACGGACTCGATGCGCAGCTCCTGGGAGTTCCCATGACGATGGCGATACTGGGCATCCATGACTTGAGGGGTCTTTGCGGCGCGGTTGATCAGCCGCTCATCCGGGCTTAGCCGATCAGCCCTGGGACGGATAGGGACAATCATCTGCTTCTTTCCTTTCGACACAGATACGGATCTCGCGATGGAGACCTCCACTCTTGGCAGCGGGCTGATCGATCCGGCGTTGATGGGCTCCGTGGCATCGAGATCGTCATGATCATCATCTTCCTCGTCTTCTTTGTCGTCTTCGTTGACGACGACCTCACTGGGCGGCATGCGCATGGATTCCGCTGGTGAAACAACGGGTTTGCTACCAGCGGGGGAAATGAGCTTTTCTGTAACTGAGTTGAGAGGCGATAGAATCGGGGAGGACGATGCGGAACCACTGCTGGCAGATTCGCTAGGCAGTTCGCGCGTGTTGATAGTCAGGGACTGTGCAAGCTTTTGCTTCAAGTCGCCCGTCTGCGACGACGGGCTCTTGTTGATGATCTCCCACTGCGGCTCTTCCGTTGGGTCAACGTAGCTCTTCACCGGCTTGATCGTTTGCAGGAGCTGCTTCTCATCGATTTCTGCCAGTGATGATGTGCTGGAAATGAAGGACGAAACCGAATGGTGGGTCTTATGCGAGGATGGAGACTTCAGCGAGGGACTGTGCACCATGAGAAAGATGTGGTCCTGCTCGTTGTTCGACAGATCGCGGCTGCTAGCTTCGACCAAAGATGTTTGGCTCCTATGGAACGGACTGGGTCCCTGAGGGATGTTTGGCGTGCCGAGGACCTTAGATGCTTTGGTGATTTGCGTTGCAGGGAACAATGTAAAGCTAGGAGTCTTTGGGCGCGGGGAGGTAGCCCGGCGTCGGGGAGGGGGTAAGTCGGCCAATGTAGACGTTTCCTGGTAGAGAATGTCTCAGTATATCGTTTCCGGGCGCAGTAGGAGCAGATGGGTGTGGTGTGGTCAGACTACCTCGTTATGTACAGTAGTGATGTCGTCCAAGGTTTTGCTTCGTCTGCTTAAAAGACCGCCAAACATAACACTGTACCGTTCCATTTGGACATCCGGGATATCGATTTGCAACATGGGGCCCTCGCCATTCTTACTTGGCTGCGCGCTTTTCACACTCTCAACTTTGGGTGGAGTCTGCACAACTGGAGTCGTTTTTTGGTCTGATTTGTCTGGTTTAGGCTCGGGCTCTGTCACTAAGCAAGGCCACACCTCAGTGTTTGAGATTGGTTTCGGCTCGGTGGTTTCAGGCTGCGAACGGGGTTTGTAGTCCAGTGAATGAGAAGAACCTTGGAGGGGCCATTTGCCGCCGGATTGGACCTGATAGAACGGCTGGCTAGCAGCGCCGGATGTCATGGCGCTCTTTGCCTTGAAGAAGCCCCCAATTTTCTTCCATTTGCTCGGTTTCCGTTGTATAGGAGCCGGCTTCGGAGGATCAACCGCCGTCGACAGGACTTTCTCTTGCATTTGGGACATCATATGATGCGCTCCCACCATGCGTGGGCTGCCCAAAGCGATTCCGATCATGTGCTCGTCCACTCCCAAGTCCGTGGGCGTGGGCGACGACACCGCCTCAGGAGGGGGCACGTTGATGCGAAAGTCGAAACCCGAACTCGGGCTCTGAAGTTTCTTGTTCGGCTGGCGTCCATCGGAGGGCCTTGGGCGCTGGAAATTCCGATGCGACTGATGAGGCGGACGACTGTCGTTCTCTTCCGGTTTAAGGTCGCGCAGGTCATTTCGAGGCAGAGCGTCTGTAAATTTCAATACGGGGGTTGAGATCGCATCAGGGTCGCGCTGGGCCCGCGATTTCCCCAGAAATATTCCTTTCGCCATTTGCATCCGTTTCTTCGGTAATGGCTCGAGGCTGTGATACATATGCGTCTGAGTCACCAGAGGGCTAAAGATCTAAAAGGGGCTACCAAAATAAGGAAAAGAATGTAAAGAGGGAGCCAGATGAGAGTCAATCTCAACGTGGTCAAGTGAATGAAAGGACGGCCTTCCAGAAGGCCTGGGTAAGGAATGTGAGTGTTGCAGAAGCAGAAAAAAAAGATCCTCCATTATTACGAAGGAAAAGGAGGCCTTTTGGACGCCAAAGGATGCAGGATATGGTGGAGTATCGTCCACGGTAGCAGGGGCGGGCTAGCGGTCAGGTTCTAGATTTCAAGTAGAGTGGATGAAACGCGAAAAACGCGACAGCCAACAGGCGTCTCGAACAGAGATTGTTGCCGCCGATGGGAGATGAGCACAGACGGCATCCTTTGGGTAGAGGACTCTGGACTCAATCGACGGACCAGTGGTGGCGGCCGGACGGGATAGGAGTCATCTGCGCTATCCGATGCTTATTTGGCCGAGAGCGAATGATGGTGGCAGCGGCGAAATTAAAGGGCCACGAGGAATAGAGCCCCACTCCAATGATGTCTCACGGAGATACAATCCAGTCTCATGTGTGCTGGATGAGGGAAAGACTTCCCTTCAGCTCAGCTGAGAAGGTATCACGGTCTATTGATTGCCTGTTGCAATGGTGGATTGGTGTGATGGGAGTGACAAGAGAGATCGTTTGTCTCTTCAGCCGTATCCTCTGGAAGGCAGAGTTGTGACGTGATTGATGGCATTCGCGTGCATCCTGGTGGTTATGTCACGAAGGACCGAGCACCTGATGGGCTAGGAGATGATTCTGATCGTCGAAGATCGAACAACGCCCCGTGTCAATGTTGAGGGGACGCTCAAGGTGAGTGAAGTTTCCGCTCTCCACACCGCCTCCCGAACACCGGCAGTATGACCTTTCCTTTTCATCCTAATTTCGTTAAACCATGTTTCTCCCTCGCACGGTTACCAATAAAAGCTACCCCATGGGTCTTCCGGTTGCCTCAGGATGGGGAGCTCCATTGCATACTATGTTTATCGTGGAGCCCAAGTCTGGACTGATAATCTTACAAGTATGTTTGGGTCGCTCTATCAACGCTTGCCTGTCGCATCAAACGCATCAAAACACACGTCAAAGACGACCGGCAGTACCTCTTGCATGAGTTCAGCCTACTGTAGTGATCTCCGCTTCGTGGTCCATGGTCTGGAGTAGAACTGTACCCGCGGGGTAGCTTCTTCCAACTTGAAAGAAAGTCATCCAGGGGCCAGGGCTTGCTTGAATCGAAATAGACAGGACCTTCGAGTCAAATCCTAGATGGAAAGACCCTAGCTAGGCTATTGCAGCCCTCTGAAGGATATCAATCAGCCTCAGTCACTTTGGTGAGCATGTAGCGCGATTAGCACACCACCAGCTGGCATTCCTCCCTTTGGACATGGCTGATTCATCAGAGCCCCTTGCGAGAAAAACATTCTGGAAACATTTTCGGTGTGAATGGAAGGCCGAACTGCTGTCATGCAGATGCACGCAGCAAGTGACAGTCTGGAATGCGCTAATCCCGAAGCAGCCAAGAATTGAGGGTTCGATGGATGCGACAATTCATGTCTGGCGATCAACAAACATTCTGACAGGGACATGCCCAGGGCGGACACGAGCGAGACAGGTCTCAGGAGTCAAAGAAGCGGTAAAGGTGCAGGAAATTTTGGCGCGAGATCAGGGCGGGCTTGTCGTCTAGTGGTGTTAGTTGATTCTATAAGATCTCCACCGGAGACATGCCGCCACCTTGGTGAGCTCCGGAATGGGTCATCGGCGAGGTCGTACATGTCTCAACAAGAGAGATAAATGCCATGGACCGAGTCCGTAGAGGAGAGTGATTTGTAGAGGAGAAAGAATGGGAAGAAGAGGAATGAGGATGGTGGTGGTGGTGATGATGATGATGATGTCCGTTGGCAGCAGCAACTCGAGAGCCCCACCACCTTAAACAGTTTAGTCAGTTGTCCATCCCCCCCCTCAACTCAACTCACCTTCTCCCGTACAACTCTCTCGCTTCTTCTTCTTTCTCTTCTCCCCTGCACACTACTTTCTTCAGGCTCACTCCCTCGTGGTCTCCTCTTTTCTTTTCTGTCCTTCCCGTGTCAGCTTCGCTCCCCTCGGGAACCTCCTCATCCTTCCTCTCTTTCCGCTCTTCCCGTCGATTGTTTACCAACTATCACCATGGGTGCCCACTCTGCGGTCTGGCAAGGTATGTATTATTCTGGGGACTTCCTCCACCCCTGTGATCTTCTTTACTCCGCTGTATCTTCATTCAAAACCCATCAGTCATGCTTACATGAATCCTCTCGCCAGGCTACGTCGATTCCAGGTACCGCATCACTACCCCGCTTACCCCCTCCAGCTCGACTTCTTCCATAAACCCCGAGTCCAGCTCGCTCTAACATTCACTGCCTTCCAGCTTGATGGGATCCGGCCAATTTGACAAAGCTGCTATTGCGAGTCACGATCTCTCCGGCGTTGAGGCCTCTTCTGCCGGTTTCACGGTATGCCACAGCTCCACCAAGCCGCGTTTCGTCCGATGATGCGGTGTACCCTACCCCTCCCCGGGGCATCCAAATTCTGTCTCTCAGATCATCCGGACTAACTAAACGTTTTCTCCTCGACTAGCTCTCCCCCCAAGAGCTTAGCGGCATTGCGGCCGTGTACCAGGACCCCACGAGCGGCTTCACCAACGGCCTGACCATCGGCGGTGAGAAGTTCGTCGCAATCAAAGCCGATGACCGTAGTATATACGGCAAGAAGGTGCGTGCAGGGTCAACTCCAGGGACCAACAAAGAATCCAATAAATTAACCGACGCGGTAGGGCAAGGAGGGTATTGTCGTCGTCAAGGCCAAGTCCTGTGTCATGATCGCCCACCACGGCGAGTCCGTGCAGACCACCAACGCCGCCACCGTCGTCGAGAACCTCGTCGACTACATCAACAAGTACAGCTAGACGAACAGTCGTGGACGAGGAAATATGAAATGAATGTATCTTGTAGTTGCGAAATGCGGGCCGCTGCTTTATCCCGGTTCCCAATCTGACTTGTCTTTCTCCGCTTGGCGATAGGCCATGTTCTTCCATGTCGTTTTACCCTTGCCTTATGTTTTGATATCGGTCATGACTCGTAGATATGCACTAGCCAATGAATACGCTGGGCTTTAACTTCTACACAGCAATCATATATTTTCTCAACTAAGGTTAATGAATTAATTGAACGGCCAAACAGCCAATATGTAAATATTAGTAATTACAAATTCTATAATAAGCCCTATATCACGCTTTACCGCCAGAATTAAGTCTCAGTCATACTCTATCCGCATCCGGACAGAGCAGCGCAAGACCCAAACAAACAATATGAGATGAACACATTCGCCTCATGAAATCGCATGCAATCATAGCCGTCTATCGTGCAAGAATCGCTGAGGAGGCCCCATAGTCGTACACATAAACTCATCAGCTGAAACAATAAGTGAGAACGTCACTTTTGTCGATCACAAACACAACTGTGCCTACACCGGTAGTTCGGCGTTACTGCGCCCACCGGCGAGCGTCTCCAGACCCCGCTTGATGTACGGTCCCACGACGGGGATGTTGCCCGCAAACTGGCCGATGGTGACGAGGAAGTCGCCAAAGAGGATGAACAGGCCGTACAGCTCGATCAGGAAGCCGGTGAGCGGCCAGCGCAGAAGGATGAGGAGGATGCCGGCGGCGAAGGCGACGGTGCCTTTGATCTTTTGGCGGCGTGAGAAGAATGCGACAGTCTTTTGGAGGCCGATTATGAAGGTGAGGCCGATGAGGAAGAGGATCTGAGGGGGCTCGTTAGTTGGGGCTGGGGGGTGGAAGGCTAAAGTCGTACGTTTCCCATGGCGAGTCTGGATAGTTGATGTTAGAGCGGGTTGGAGGGGAGAAAGCGCAGGAGACGTACAGAGAGCGGTCGAAGAACATGAGCACGCCTCCGAAGAGGAAGAGCGCTCCTGTTGAATTTCCCGATTAATCAGGTTGTTCTGTAGGGTGTTGCGGACGTTCACATACCGCCGGAGCAGAAGATGACACCGATCTCTGTGATGAGATCGTTAGCTGGGGACTTGCCGATCATGGAGAAACCCTTACTCTGATTATCGGATAACCACATGGTGGGCATTGCAGCGATTCTCAGTGCAGACGTGGACGAATGTGCAGGTCGAAAGAGTTGGGGGTTCAGACAATGCGCAGCGCGATCGAGACGATGGTCTTCGGAGATGAATGTTGTTGGCGCAACGTGTATAGCCACTGATAATCTTGTCGCAAAGCAGGTACGATCGCAAATTCAGAGTATAGTCAACGTCCAACAGTCGAGTGAGTCGTAAACAAATCTTGTCTATCGCGATGCTGATCGGTTTCTGCCACGTTCCCTTTTCGGGGCTAGTTCAGCGCTATGCCGGTCCCGGTGGGCGGTCAGCCTAGTCAGTCAAGGACACGCGAAGTCCGCACAGCCGATGCTTTCCTCCGTCTCTCCTTCATATCAGCTCCTCTACGAGATGCCAGGTCTACTCGTCGTCCGACAGCATTGATGATGACCGCTGTATAATTCCATTTCTAATGATGATATGGAAACCATTATACCACAACAAGCTTTATACGCTCCCTACCCTTATACACCGCACCAGCCCATGGTGCTTCCCGCCGCGGCGACAGCATCCTCGGATGCTGTAACTGATGTTCCCGTCCCTGGAGCGTCGGTACTAGTCGAGTGCCCTTGGCACAAGGCGAAGATTGACTCATCGTAGTATGAAAGGTCACGATTAAGCCGGAGCACTTCCTTGAACCTGTCTCGAGAGGGGCAGGGGGGTGGAAGGGCTTGACTTTGTTGATCGCACATTATATCAGAGTAATAGCCTGCGAAATGCCAGTCAATATGCCATCATCGCCTGCCAGTAACCATTGTAGCGTACCTGATGATTGCCTGGACCACAGGCAGAAGTTCTTTTCCTAACGTCAGACGCACCCCCTACTTCAGCACGACATGGGCAGCCCGAAGCTCCAGATAGCTCTCGGGCACGCCCTGTCCCAAGGTACGAATCACCCCAAACACCTCACGGTCATGATACCGCAGCCTGGTCTTGGGGTCCGTGTAGGGGGCCGGCAGCCCCGTGAGGTCGCAGTAATGGGCCTGCTGGGACGGATGGAGGGAGGGCGCCGATTCGATATTCGTGTAGGTGACGGCCGGGCAGGAGGGGAACGTCGCGCGGGCGTTCTTCTCCAGGACGAGCGTGGAGAGATTCTGTGCGGCCTGGGCGATGTTGGACGATCGCGGGAGGCCCTCGGCGGGCGTCTGGGTGCCGTCGCTGCTGGCGGACCCCGTTGTGGGCAGCGGAGTGGTCGCACCGGAGTTGGCTTGCGTCGCCATCTGCGACGCCTCGCGTCTCATGCTCTCGGAGAGAAGCTGCTTGACGTTCTTGTTGCGGCGCTGGGAGGGCTTCCACGCCGGGTTGCGGAAGGGGCGCGGCACATGCGCGATGTCGAGGGTGTCTAGCAGGCGTTGGTGGTTCTCATTGTCGGCGGGCGTTGCGGGGGGCATAGTGAGCTCGAATTGGGATGGGTTCGAGGGGGGAGTGGTCTGGTTGTTGTGGCGAGATGAGATGAGGTCGGAGTGATGGTGATGGGCGTGTAGAAGTGCCCTGGTGGTTCACGGAATGAGATAAGCTGGAGTATCGGGACGACACGTCAGGCGTCCAATGATGTCGGTACTGGTTCTCGAAGATATGGTCAAGCTGGTCGTTTGGCTCGTAAAGGGTTCAGTCTTCTGATTTCTGCAACGGGATGCGATTCATGTCAACCTTGAAGATACCTACGGCGAATGGCTTGGGTATATCACGTGATTATCCCGTTTTGGTGATCCACGACCAGCAACAAACAAACACTTTGCCCATCACTACCATCGCATCACCGACGACATGGTAAGCTGCTAAAGACTGAGAACCGATGGAGAGATACTAATCGAAGCATAGGAGAGCCCACACGAACACCAACAGGCAGTCATCCTGTCGCGCATCATCAACAACATCGTACGTGACCATGGCGTATCACCATATTTCAATCACTGACGACATCCAGGAGAAACTCAACGAGGCCGTCATGGTTATGAACAAGAGTCTACAGGTATATCATCTAGTACGTCTTTCACAGTACCACGACTAAGCCTTTGCAGGAGGTCAACATCCAGAACATGAATGTCGAATTGGTGGCACAGATGTTCAAGAACTACCAGTCGAACGTCTTATTCCATCTCGAAGGTAACATTCCGATTTCATATTAGATGGTGAATAAGAAGAGCTGACCATAATAGCCACGGACAACCTGAAAGAGCCATCCTGATCCGGCTGTCTCTTGACTTGAGCATGCCTTTTGCGCGTAAGGTGACGACGACATGAGATACCACCATTATATTTGATCCCCAATGAATGCGATGAATCGATGAACACACTTGGACTGTCCTATGTTCCGCCGTATATTGTTCTAGCCGTCCGTAGACTCCGTAGACTCCGTAGAGCTGTCGCTGTTCTGCCGTCAAGGGACGGTCTTGGCGCCATACAAACGCCGAACCTCTCCAGCTTCCTTTCTCTGCGCCGACTTCAACTTCATTTCCTCTCTCCCCCCACGTCCATCCTGGGGACAAACCCTCATAACCCCCCTCTAGTTGTTGGTCTCTATCAACTTCCTCGCTGTTATCTCCCCTCCGCCTGCGACCAAGTGCAATGCGGTGATTCGCTCCGTCGCCGGAAGCTCCTCAATCGCTCGCTACGGATCGAATTGCCATCCGCTCGCAACGCCATGGCCATCACGTCCGTTCAGAATGTTCTCCCCGGTCGTTATGCGATCAACTCGACCGAGAAGAACGCCGCGAAACCACCTCCTAAAATCTATAACGTCCAAGAACCGCCGTTCAAGGGCTACCACCCGCCACAGCCGGAGGGGTATGAGCAGAGCCGGTCCAAGGCCGACTCCACGGCCATCGTGATAGATAATGGTGCGTTCAATGACATTGTACATCACGTTCGGACTACCGAGGACAATTTTCTGACAACCGTTCTACACAGGCTCCAGTCTGGTCAAGGCCGGTTGGTCGTTCGACAAAAACCCGCGCTTTATCATCCCCCCTGTCATGAGTCGGTATCGCGACCGCAAGCTCAACAAAGCCTGCCAATTCATCGGGTACGACGCCTACGTCGATGCGACGACTCGCGGTCAGCTGCGCTACGCTTTCGACCCCGGCACCAGCGTCGTGGGCAACTGGGACGTTATGGAGGGCGTACTCGACTACCTGTTCATCAAGCTGGGAGTCGACGGGGCCAATGGCGGCGTTGACCGACCCATTGTGATGACGGAACCAATTGCGAACCTGAACTACCCCCGACGGAGTATGTTTGTCATATCTGGTGGCTGGATCTCTGATGCTAACGTTTCGCAGTGATGAACGAGATCCTCTTCGAATGCTACTCGGCGCCCTCTGTCGCCTACGGCATCGACTCGCTCTTCTCGTACCGGTATAACGGCGGAACCGACGGCCTCATTCTCTCCTCCTCCCACACCTCGACCCACGTCATCCCCGTGCTGAACAGCAAGGCTCTCCTTTCCAACTGCTCGCGTCTGAACTGGGGCGGAATGAATGCGTCGGAGTATCTGCTCAAGCTGATGCGGTTGAAATACCCTACGTTTCCGGCCCGCATGACGGAAGCCCAGATGGAGGATCTCGTCCACAAGCATTGTTACGTGTCTACGGATTACGACAAGGAACTCAGTAGCTACTTGGATTGGACTGGGCTGGAGGACCGAGACCACGTCATCCAGTATCCCTATACGGAACATGTGGTCCCCGAAAAATCAGAGGAGGAACTCGCGCGGATCGCGGAGAGGAAGAAGGAGAGTGGACGCCGGCTGCAAGAGCAGGCGGCCAAGATGCGCCTGGAAAAGCTGATGAAGAAGGAGCAGGAGTTGGAGTACTACAAGGATCTGGCGCAGAATCTTGCGACGCAGACGAAGAAAGAGGTCCGACGGATCCTGGAGGCGGAGGATCTGAAGGACGAGGCCCATCTGGAGAGACTGATCCGTGATCTGGAACGGTCTATCAAGCGGTCTCGAAACAAGGATTTGGGGATTGAGGAAAATGAGGAGAATCCGGAAGATATGACCTTCCCCCTACTGGACGTTCCGGATGAACAGCTGGACGAGGCGGGCTTGAAGGAGAAGCGCCACCAGCGGCTGATGAAATCCAATGTGGAAGCTCGTCAGCGGGCCAAGGCGGAGAAAGAACGGGAGAAGGCTCGCCGCGAGGAGGAGGAACGCCTGGACCGGGAGAAGCGGGAGAATGACTTTGAGAACTGGGTGTCGGAACGGCGGGCAGCGCGACAGGTAGGTTCCCCTCCAGACGAGATCTACGAACGCTTCTAACGGTGGAACAGAACATCCTGCAGAAGATCAAGGAACGCGATCGGATGAAGGCCGATTTGGGTAACCGCAAGTCGCTCGCCAGTCAGATGCGCATGAAGACTCTGGCCAACCTGGCGGCCGATGGCCCGAAGAAGCGACGCCGGGGCGGCGACGATGACAACTTTGGTGCCAATGACGAGGACTGGGGGGTTTACCGCACAGTGGCTACGGGCGAACAGAGCGACGACGAGGAAGAAGAGGACCTGGGTGCGATGCTCGACAACGTGGAGAAGGAGCTCCTGGAGTATGACCCCGAGTTCACTGAGAACCACACCCTCGCGGCGCAGTCGGACTGGACGAAGAGCTTAGTGCATGTCTTCCTCCGTGGGCCGTGGCCGTTTGACCCGGAGAGCCAACGCGAGGCGCATCAGCTGCACCTGAACGTCGAGCGCATTCGCGTGCCCGAAGTCGTCTTCAAGCCGTCGATCGCCGGGATCGACCAAGCCGGGTTAGTGGAGATCGCGGCGGACATTGTGAACCAACGATTCTCGAACCCCGACGACCAAGCCAAGCTGCTGCGCGACGTGTTCCTGACGGGCGGCAACAGTCTCTTCCAAGGATTTGACGAGCGCTTCCGCAAGGACTTCCGCGCTTTCCTGCCGACCGGCGCGCAACTGAATGTACGGCGCGCCGCCGACCCGGTGCTGGATGCGTGGAAGGGCGCGGCGCAGTGGGCGTCTGGACCAGAGCTGGGCAAGTCGTCGATCTCGCGACAGGAGTATCTCGAAAAGGGCAGCGAATATCTCAAGGTAGGTGGCATTGCGGAAGGATTCCGAGTGGCTGGGAGTACCGTGACTGACAAGGTATATAGGAGCATGATCTGGGGAATGTGAGCTCATGGTAGAGCGTCATCTGAGCGCAGCCGACTGGTATATGGGTTATCTCGATGGCGCGGGTTGGCGAAGGTCAGCGATGGAATGCCGGAGTCTGGCGCATGAACTGATGGCATTGTAGTTGTTCGATATATTTTGGTTATGTTGTTAATGGGATGGCTGTCTTCGTACTCTTGTCCTGCGCTTATAGTGAACTATACGGAACTACTGTATACAGTACTGCACTGCATTGCATCTATAGAATGCCAACCCCGCCTGGCCCGATTGGAGACACATGGCATGCCAGCCAGGATACGCATCTCCGATTTGACTACGACTTGGAGAGAGAAGAGAATCAAGGAATGGGAAAATTCTCCTGTCCTCGTGAAATGTGCCGATCCATCCGAACCGTGGTTGAAACATTCTCCTGCTTTCCATCGTCTGTATACTTCTTCAGCCACTAGCGAACTCTGCTCGAAGGATCGACAACTTTCTGCATGGGCGTCCAAGTTCTTGTTCTTCGGCCTGGTGTTGTTACCTAACGGCCCGGTTCGTGCAATGGAAGCTCGCCGAAGGTGGCGTGGTGTGATGATCGGATGTCACTAACTAACTAGTATCAGGTTTGCCTGGTGGACTCCCCCATTGTTCTCCGTCTGCTCCGATCTACGACCGAACAAGAAACATTGCATCAACCCATCCGAGCCAAGAACCGCCAGCACCAGGTTCTAGCCCCGTCCTCGCCCGCCCGTGGTCGGATGACCATGAAGCCATTCACCCCATCTCATTCCATTGTCGGTCGATCCAGTCATGCTTCCGCCCGATGCCGACTGGTGGTTCATCCAGTCACGCAACAGGATGCTCCCCTCGATGAAGCTCGGCCAACACGAGCGGTAAGGAGGGCTGCAGCAAGGCTCGGTTTGTTTAGAACTTAACGGAGTACTAACTAGCCTGACTCCTCTCCTAGGGCTGGAAGTCTGTCTCACCATGTCCGCCGTGATTCGCCGGCAAGGAGGTATGCAGCACCCACTGACTTCATGGCGCTCCCATCATGACGCAGATCCTCAACCCTTTCATGGCCGCTCCTGCATCTCCTCCAGACTCTATCACAATCATCAGGCAGACCGGTTCCATCAACGCTTGAAGCTCCCGTGGTTCTCCACCGCCCATCCTCCCTCGCCGGAAAATGTGACGCAAATCCCATGCTTTGACATCAGTCAATCACATCCCAGCGCAATCCCTTCGGTTGACTCGGATAGGCTCAGCGGGCGTAGACGCAGATATAAAGCTCCTCCTTTTCCAGACGTCCTGTGCACCATCGCTCAGCATTCAGTTCAGCCTAGTCCAGTCCAGTGCAGCCCTCGGCGAACCGCCTGACTACTCCCCTTTCCACCCGTGTATACATCCCGTATACTCCGTACTCTCGAGCATACCGCCATGTTCTCCAGCACCATCACCCGCCCGCTGCAGCTTTGCGGCCGCGTGCTGCAATGGGCCAGCGCCGTCATCGTCATGGGCATCACCTCCTACTTCATCCACAAGGGGCCGCGCGGGTTGAGCCTGACCTACCAGGAAGTCATCGTACGTGCCTGAACCTCCATATCAAGATGTCTGTAGCAAGCTGACAATCCCAGGCCACCACGTCCGTCGTCTTCTTCCTCCCGGCCTTCGTCTCCCCCTTCATGCCCACCGCCCTGGGCAAGGTGGTCATCTTCATCGACGTCATCTTCTCCTACCTGTACGTCCATTCTCCCTCAGTATCAACAACAAACAAATACAGTCCACTAACAGATGATCTCCCCAGCTGGCTCACGGCATTCATCTTCGCCGCCCAAGACTACAACCGCCATGACTGCTACCTCAACGCCCCGCCGGGTCTGTCCTGCAGCAAGAAGAAGGCCAACGAGGCCTTCATCTTCCTTACCTTGTATGTTCTCCCTCTCCCCTTCGTGTCTGCCCGCATTATCTGAGAGAAGAGCGAGCGCTAACGGAACTAGCATCTTCACCTTCTTCGGCATGTTCCTCGAGGTCGCGAATCTGTGGGCCTACGCGCGCGAGCACGAGACGCCGACCCGCGAGAAGCATGGCGCTCACGGTGGTCCGGCTGATGCGCCCGCATAAACTGGTGTGGTGATGGGATGGGAAGCCTTCCAGGGACTGGCGGGCGCAACAGCATGGCTTGCTGCTGACTTGCTCCCTGGTCGCGGCTAATGGAGTCTATGAATCGATGAGATCGATGATCGATGATCGAGGTAATGAAGACTGGCTCTGGCTGGTCGACGGTCTACTAATTTATACGAAGTACATGGTGTCGTTGGCGGTGGACTGAATATTCTGGTGGCTTTTATTTGAGTCATCGTTCGATATCCTATCCTGTTAATGTCTGTTTTTACTGTCATGTACATGTCTCATGTTCGTCATGAAATATATACCCTCGTTTACTTCCACTGTCTCTGAATGCACGTAATATACATCTAACTATCTAGCTAACACATGGTATATTGCAGAAACAAGCTTCTACGCTGTTTACTATTCAATCATACATCCAACCTAAATGCTCGCCCGCCGCGGCGCCAGCGTCCGCTGCAGCTTCTTCTTCTCCTCCGTCTCCTCCCGCAACGGCAGCGTGCCCTCGTTCTTCAGCTTCTCCAAATACTCCTTGCCGTATTTGTACCCTACCTGGTAGATCTCGTCAAACTTGCCAAAATCCAGAGTCCCGTACGGGTCGATCGGCGGCCGCATGTACAGACACCCTGGTGTGGTCTTGGCCTGCTCGAGGTTCTCAAATGACGAGACGTACGCCAAACGTGCTTGGATCTCCGACAGCGTCGGCGGATTGGGCACCGACGAGAACGGATTCCACCGGTTGATCGTTGCCCAAAACCCGGACAACGAGTCGCCATACCCCTGCGGCGTGTTGTCGTCGATAGACCCCACGTCCACGGCGAAGATCACGTCCGCGCCGAGGCCCTTCATGTGTGGGACGGTCAGGTTGTCGATGTATCCGCCGTCGAGAAGCATGCTGCCCTCGTCGCAGATCGGCGGAATGAGACCCGCCAGCGTCATGGATGCCCGCACGTACCGCCAGACATATCCCGACGAATGGTATTCCGGCCGCGATTTGCTGATGTTGGTCGTGTTGCAGTAGAACTCCAGCCAGAAATCCTCAATCTGGCTGTCACCAAACGTCTTGAAGATGCCGCGGTTGAACTCGTGGCCAGTCGTGTACGAAACCGTCGGGTACGTGAGGTCCAAGGCAAACCGCCACATGCTCCCCATGCGTCCGGCGAACTTCTTTGCACGCCCATACATGGGCACCACATCGGCATCCCGGGCGTACAGCGCGCCATTGAACGCACCGATCGAAGTACCACCGATGATGTCGATAGGGATGCCCGCTTCCTCCAGGGCTTTGATCACACCGACTTGTGCGATGCCCCGGGCTCCTCCTCCACCCAGGACAAGCCCGACGGACCGGCCGCACAGCCGCCGTGCCAGACGGTGGAAGTCGCCCTTGAACGGGGTCTGCGCGGAATACAACGCCGTTTGGTGGATCCTTCGAGACGTGTACTTTTGGATCTCTGCCTGGATGACTTGGACGCGCTCCTTTAGCACAGTCCCAAAGCGCTTGGTCTGAGGATGCGAAGGCTCAGCGGTAAGGCGGAAGCCCATCTGGATGTGATGGTGACCTCCATTGATCCAAACACGGTTCTTCAGCCAACGGCGCGTTAGTCCCGGAGGACAATAGCGGTCCGCGTGCAGCAAGACCAGCTCCTTTCTGGAGGTCGTCTTCATTCCAAGCAGGAACCTCTCGTACTCGCCGATGCTCGGCGTTGACTCGGCGAGACCAACCAGCAAAATGCAGTCCGCCTGTGTGATGCAGGTCTGCGTCCAAGGAGAGTTGACATTGGTGTCGGCGATGTATAGCACCATTCCATACTTTTCCTCCAGATCTGCCAGATACTGGGAGAGTTTAAGCTTGCCCATCTTGGTGAATGCGTGACGACCGAGGTGGTTCAGGATAGCTGCTTGGTTGAGAGATGTGACCCCATTGGTCACGCCAATCTGGTGAAGCGCGTTTAACAACCGATGGCCAAATTCAACCACGGGAACACCAGCTGTCACGGGTAGAATGCTAACGGTGCGAAGGTTGACCGTCGAGGTGGCTGTTTTGATGCTACCGGCGCCATGCTCGGCACCCTTCTCGGTCATCGGACGCTCAACCAGATCCCGCATGCGTTGCGCAATGAGCTTGGAGACCTGGATGGTGATTCCCGGATGTTCCTGTGCCAAACTATTGAAGAGAGACCGGGGGAATTTGGCCAACTCGGTATCTCGAATGGCGTGCAGGGTGGCCGGCCGGGTCGACTCCGTCATGACCTCCAGCTCACCCACGCTTTCTCCTTGGCCATACTCGCCTACGACGTTCATCTTGCCGTCCGTCCCTTCCAAAACAGACCGCAGGCGGCCGTTCAAGACCAGGTAGATCGCGTCGCTCTCGTCGCCTTGGTGGTAAATGACCTGGCCGGCGTTCACCTGGACCCATTCGAGAGCGAAATCGATATGCAGGAGCAAACGGGGCAAAAGACTGGTCAGCCGCTTGGCCAGAGTCAACAGAGCGATTGGATAGCGTTCCGCGATTCTCTCCAGGGATGCCCTCGGAAGGAACCCTACATATACATCGGTCTTGGCCAGGACATCGGTGTACGAGCGGTAGGACGCCACAGACCCGACGTAGCCTTGGATGCCGCCCGGCTTGATCAGATAGAGCGATTTGCGGGACTGTCTCCTCCGTTTCGAGTCACTTCCACCAGGTGCCACACTTGAGGTGCGCGACGAGGCAGTCGTGGTCCGTTTCAACGTCGGAAAAGCTTCCTCCCCATGTGCTGGCCGGGTTGCACCGACCAGGTCGTCTCCTTTGTCGCAGGCCGGCATACCCACATCTAAGAAGCCATCAATCACATAGTACAGGCCTGGATGGCGTTCCCCTTGCTCTACCAGGACCGACCCTTGGGGAAAGTATACAATTTCGATGTCGTTCCGGAGTTCTTCTCTCAGATTGACAATTGGCGAGGTTCCACCCGCACTGGTGACCGACATGGACATCATGGACTCCGTCTCGCCATCAACCGACCCCTCGTAAGGATCAATGAAGCCGAACGCGTTGTTGCTAAACACCGCCTTTTGGCGTCGCGAGTCATAGGAGAGGAGCTTTGGCGACGCATCACCGGAGTTATGGCTACTCTTACGCAAGATATCCCGGGTACTCGACGTGAGTCCGAGAGCCTTCATAATACAATCCAGGATGGACTCCCGGAACAGAGCATCTTCATCGAGAGACTCTTTACGATGGAAAGGAGAGGCGGGCCCGCGCATGGTCGGAGGCCGGAACGGAGACTGTTCCTTCTCGGCGAGGGGGCTGTAAATCTTTGGGGCGAGGTGTTCGTACCGCGGTCCAAATCTGGACAGCTGGATGGTGGACAAGAGGTCGCCGGGGCTGACGCCGGCTGCATCACGGTCGTGGAAAGACATGTTTTCTTGAGAGCCCGTGGCAGTGGGACGTCGCGGGGTGGTCGCCATGCGCGCTTGAAGGGCCGCCTCTTTTCGCAAAAAGCTGCTCGACCGACGTCTCCTCCCAGCAGATGGGTTGTGCAGAGCAATGCCCTTGGTGACTTCCTCATGGCCCAAACGGTCTCGCTCCTTGATGAACTTGTCCTTAAGACGATCCAACGCAGCGCCCCTCATGTCGTTGGGCAGGTCGTATGTTGTAAACTTTGTCATCTGCTTCTCGATGCCCAGCACTTCATTGGTGAGACCGAGGTAAGAATGCGCCGTTGCGAATGTCACACGTTGCAGTCGTGTCAGAATCACTTGGACAATATGCGCCGTAGCTCGGGGGTAGACTCGGGTTAGGCGACGAAAGGCACTGGCTGGGATGATGGCAATTGTCGTATCCACCATCGCACGGGCAACGATATCGGGATGCACAGATTTCCGACGCTTCTTGCCTGGTCTAGTCCTCGATTCCGGCTGATGATCGTGATCCGGAGTACCACGGCTTTCTTCCAGATGCAAGGGAGGGACCGTAGGGAGGAACTCCCCGTTTGTGGGGAGATTATGGCCAGATTCACTAGGCTCTCTCACGGGTACTGGACTGTGTACCAATCCCCGGGGACTGGACGGTGACGAGTCTGGCACCCGTGCAAGGTTGGGGCCGACACTGGACACACTGGATGACAGGCTTTCGGAGGTCCGCAGTTGGATGTCTTCCGTGAACAGCGACAAGATAGAAAACAAGGATGACATAGAGGCGCCATTTTTGACTTCAGTCAGCAGCTGATACCCCTGGCGGCCATCCACATTCTGGCCTTCTTCGTCTGTAGAGTCGTCCCCAGCCAAATTGAGCTCATGATCCGCCGGCGACTTGCCATCCCGAATGGATTTGACGAAGATCTGGACCAGGCCGTCGACCACCAGGCAAAAGCCCTTTTCTTCCTCCAGGAGCAGAGTCTCGCCGGCAATCAGTTTGCGCGTTTGCATGGTCCGGGTCAATTCGTGGAAGACGGGACGCTCGAGATAGCCGAAAACCTTAATGGCGCTCAGAAATTCATCGAGGTAGTTGGCGAGACCGGGTTTGGAGTCGCCTTCCTGGACATCGGGGAAGAGATCGAGCTGGGGTTCTTTTCGCTGGGGCTCCGGAGGCAGACGGCTATACATGTTCAGGAACCGGTACCGGATGAACCAGCTGACTGTCGAGACAATCGCCAGAGCTATGAGGAGACTACAGAGCCATCTTGGTTAGCAATTTGCGGAGAAGAGAACGAAGATAGGAGAACTTACAGGGTGGTGAAATTCATCGTGAACGTCAGGCTCATAGAGAACAGCGTGAAGAGCCATGTGGGCAGAGTGATGGTACAAAAGGTGATGGCCCAGTATAGAATGCTTGGAATGACCTGGAAAACGAAGGAAAATACCCATCCGATCCACCCCACCATGGTTGAAGGTGCCGGAGGCGGTAGCGGCGGGGGAGGCAGGTAGGACGACGGACGGCCTGAGAAAGAGGAAAAAGTGGCGGCTATAGCGGGCGACGAGGTTGCGAGGAGTGAGGAAGAGGACGATTCGAGGATGGTGGTCGAGGAAGAGGCATGGAGCAAGGAGGAAGAGAGAGGAAACGGCCCACCATCGTCGGCCATGATGTTTTAGTGCCACTTCAGGTCCGTCGGATGATTGGGCCGGGACAGCATGGGGCGCTTGGTGACTAGTAGCTGCAGAGAAAGACAAAAAAGAGGGACCAGGGCCGGCGAAACAAGGTCAAGCCGGAAGAGGGGAAGACAGGACGCTAAAGATGACGATGGAGCATTGTCCAAGCGGAGCCCAACGTGTCCGGACAACGGGCGATGATGGGTGGAGGAGAGGGGAGGGTGCCGGATACAGACGGGGTATAAGGAGGATGTTAAGACCAGACAGGAGGTCTATGAAGAGGGAGGAGAGAAGTCGAGGATGTTGTTGGAGGTTGCAGATGTGTTGTTGGTTGTACATTTGGAGTATCATCAACGCCCTACCTAGGAGTCACATGTGTGCACTTAGTCATCCTCGTCATAGGAGGAAATCACGTGGGTTTCTATACCGCCAGAAGGCCACCTACGTATACAAAAGTACGTATGTAGAATAGAAATTATCTAATTCCTCAGTTGGACGGAATAGAAGTATAGAATATATAATTCCGTAAATCACATACTAGACATCTTTGTACCTCCTCGCCATGACGGAATAATCAGCGGTACTTCTGCCGCCCGCCAACACCAACAAAGACCTTCTCCAACTCATCTCCCGCCCATGCTCCCTCCCCCCTTCTCCTTCTCCCTCTACCATCTCCTTCTCGTCTTTCCTTTATCCCTCTTCTTCGTTTGCCTTTCTTTCATCCAGTTGACTGTGGCCCTGGCTGACGGGCCCGCCAAGGTCATGTTTCAGGTAGGACGAACTTCCTCGCTCCATCACTCCATCACTCCCTATAACTAGATCCCTCATATCCATCCCCCCAACTAATGACCTCGCCAGCGCCTCCGAGACGCAATCGACTCGCGGATTGCAGAAGAGCAGGCTCGTCAGAAATCCGCCCAGGAGTCACTCGCCCGCTCCAATTCCGCCCGTCGTCCCTCCCGCAATCTATCTCCATCCCGGCGAGCTAATCGGCCACGACGCAACACCGGGACTCCTGTTCGCGGTCCCGATCCCACCGAATTTGAGGCCGCCTTTACCATCGGCGACGATGAATCCTCCAGTCGTTCGGCCACTCCGAAACCCGAATCTGTTGCCGGCTCCGATGCCACCAGCGCTGTGACCCCTGCGGACGAAAATGCCACCGAAGCGAAGACCGAGAACTCCTCGTCGGCAGACAAAGAGTCTTCCGCAAATACTGCGACTCCTGCGACTTCGTCGACGGAAACCATCCAGCTGTCGTCCGAGCTACCGGCAGAGGTTCGAGTTAAGTTGCGGAAATTAGCTAAAATGGAAGCACGGTACCAAGGTATGACACGGCGGCACAATAAGTGATTCTGGAAGTGTTTGGAGGCTAATGTATCGTCGGAATAGATCTCCTCAAGGCCTATCGGATGGCCCATTCTCGCGTCCTCTCCATTGAACCGTTCGAAGCCGCCCTCCGCGAAAACACCCCCCTCACATCCATCAGCGATCCGAAAGCCCTAACCGAATACCTGAACCAGATCTCCTTAAAGGGGGATATGGTGGTCGAAGAGTTGAAGCGGGTTACCACCGAGCGGGACGATTACAAAAAGAAGCTCGAGGAAGCGCAGCAGTCGACGAAGGCGGCCTGGGACGAAGTCGCCGGTCTCAAGAAGGCAAAGAAGCAAACCGCCGATGGTGAGGACTCTGAGGGAAAGTCCGCGGAGTTGGCGATCGATACCTCCATGACCAACGACAAGCCCTCCGATAGTCAGGACGCTGCCACCCCGACCACTACAGCCTCTCGTCTCGCTCAGGTATTCTCGCCGAAGCGTGAACCTGCGAAACCAGCTGAGTCACAGGAGGAAAGTGAAGAGTTCTTCTCGTTCGACAATGAGGTCCCGCGTCTAGAGGCGGAGCTGAAGGAAAAGCAGGAGGAGGTGGAGACTCTAAAGGCCCAAGCGGAGAGTCTAAGGCGCGATCTCTCTGTTGCGCGCGAGTCGACGGAGGGTATGGTCCTTAACTTGGAGAATGCGACTCGGGAGCTGGTCGAGCTGCGCGACCTCAAGGAGAAGCAGGACGTCGAGATTCAAAGCTTGAAGACTTCTAAGCAGGAGGATATTGATGAGCTTAAGGCCAAGTTGGAGACTTCCGAAAAGACCATCAAAGAGACCAGCGAGGAGATCGCAAAGCTCAAGGCGGAGCTAAAGTCCAAGACGGATGAAATCGAAAGTCTCCAGGACCAAGCGAAGACATCAGCCAACGACGAGGAACAGTCGGACCTGAAGGCGAAACTCGACCAGGTGACGGAGGAGAAAGATGCCAGCGAGAAACGCCTCGGTGTGCTCCAGGGTCTGGTTGACAGCCTCCGTTCGCAGCTCAAGGACACGGAAAAGACCGTGTCCGACCTAAAAGGAGACGTGGAGAAGAAAACCGAAGATGCGGGTAAACTGCAGAACATTGTGGACTTCTTTGACGACAATTTGAAGGACAGCACCGAGTGGCAGCAGGCCAAGGACCAAATTACCAGCGGAAAACAGGCCAGCTTTGACAACCTTCGGAAGAGCTTGGCTCCGCAGCAGATGGCCGAAGAAGTGAAGGAAGCCGCGCAACCCAACAAACAGCCCGCCCCTCCTGCTGGTGGTGCTGGCCCCAACAAAAAGAAGAAGAACAAGAAGAAGAAGGGAGGTAAGGGCGGCGAAGACACGGCCAAGGCTGCAGGAGCTGAAGAGCCTGAAACCCCTGCATCTCAGCCCGACCAGCAGGCGTCAAACTCGGTGGAGCTCGAGAAGCAGATTGCGTCCCTTACGCAGCAGGTGGAGGAGAAAGATGCTGCAATTGACCGTCTCAGCTCCAGGCTGAAGGGTGAGGAAGACCTTAAAGAGGAAATAGAATCCCTTCGCGACGACCTCCTCCATCTGGGTCAGGACCACGTCGAGGCAAAGGATAAGATCAAGGAACTCACGGCGGAAAAGACGGCTCTGGAAGAGACCATTACCAAGTTAGAGAAAGAGCTCACCGATCTGCGCACCAACGCATCAAAGGGTGCGGACTCTGAGAAAGCGCACAACGACCTCAAGGAGGGAATATGAAAGTCTGAAAGTGCGTTTTACCACCCTAGAGACCGAGCTGTCTGCCGCACAGCAGCTGGCCGCGACTCGATTCAAGGACCTCACGGACCTGCGCGAGACCATGCAGAAGCTGCAGCCAGAGTTGAAACAGCTGCGAGCAGAATCGACTGAACTCAAGTCGACCAAGGAGACCTTGAACAGCAAGACGAGCGAATTGAGAACACTTGAGGGCAAGCACGAGGAACTGCGGACTGAGATGAAGGCCGCCAAGTCAAAGATCGTGGAACGTGAGAAGGAGGTGAAGACACTGAACCAGAAAATTCGACAAGAAACCGATAACCGCCTGAAGGCGGAGGAGAGGCTCACGCTGGCTCAGTCTGATCTCCGTTTCTCCGAGAGCAAGAAACAAGAAGCTCTAGAGACGAAGGAGCGAATTTCCAACGACCTGTCTAAGGCGCATGATGATCTCAAGAATGCCCGTAGCAAGATCCGCGAGCTCGAGAATCAAATCACCCAGTTGAACAAGGACCTGGAGGGTCTGCGCGAAGAGATCCAACTAAAGACCGCCCAACACGCCAGCGCGCAGAGCCTGATGAACAGTATGCGCGACCAGGGGTCTGAAATTGGAATGCAGATGAAGGAAGCTCGGGAACGCTGCGAGAGCTTGGAGGAGGAATTAGCCGATGCGCACCGGTTGCTGAGCGAGCGCACTCGGGAAGGTGAGACTATGCGGCGTCTGCTCAGCGATATCGAAAGCCGCGCAGAAGCCAAGGTGCGCGATTTCAAGGAGCGGATGGAGGCAGCGATCGAAGAGCGTGACCGAGCGGAGGACGAAGCCAGCGCACAGGGCCGCCGCCGGGCACGGGAACTGGAGGAGCTGAAGAGCAAGGTCCGGGAAGCGGAGAAGGCCCTGCGAAGTGCAGAGGAGGACAAGGAGGAGCTGGAACATTCCCAGAGGGACTGGAAGCGCCGACGGGATCAGCTGGAGGAACAGGCCGAACGGTCGACACAAGAGCTCAATGATATTCGAGAGGCCATGACCCGTCTCCGCGATGCATTGGACGAAAGCGAAAAGCAGGTTCGCGATTTGGAGAAAGAAAAGGCCGAGCTACGGCGGTCGGTGGAAGAGACCAGTGCTCGCTTGGAAAAGCTGCGCAAATCCAACCGGGCTCTGACCGACGAAGCTCGATTTGGCCAGACACCGCAGTCTTCTCGATCCTCGATTGACTCCGGGTCTCGAAGAGCCATCGCGTCTCCTGTGTCTAAAGACCGCAGTCCTTCTGCACGGCGAAGTGAGACGCCGTCTGGCGGCGCAATTGACTACATCTATCTCAAGAATGTGCTCCTGCAGTTCCTGGAACAGAAGGACAAGAACTACCAGAAGCAGCTCATTCCGGTGCTGGGAATGCTGCTGCATTTTGACCGGTTAGTGTGAAGACTTCTTTCTACCTAATTTAATGAACGCTGGGTTACTGACGACGAGCAGGACGGATGAGCAGAAGTGGATGTCGGCCATCATGTCCAAATAGAGATTTGTGCCCCATGGCGCAGATATTCTTGTAATATTACTTGCCGGTATATAGTTGCATTCGGTTGTCATAATGTATTGCTTGCTTAGTGCCCTGTCACCGTGGTTCGGCGGGACTCAAGCGGGGTCTCTTTCTCCAAATTTTCCACCTGTCATTTCTTCATTCTTGACGTCTACCATTATCGTGTCCATGTCCACCGCCACCATGTCCGACCAACCCACCATCCGACTGGCAACGCCTGAAGGTGAGATGAGATGACTTTGGCATTCACCTCTATGTATACCCGAGATGTATCATGGCTTCGACTAACGCCCCCAGATGTCCCCATCATCCTGCAATTCATCCGGGAGCTCGCCGACTACGAGAAAGCCCTCCACGAGGTCGAAGCCACCGAAGAATCCCTCCTCGAGACGCTCTCCTTCCCTGACACTCCCCCCAAACGCGGTGCCGTCTACACGGCGCTGATCACCCCGCCGGCCAGTGTCGATAACCCCGCGCCCAAACCCGTGGGCATGGCGCTCTTCTTCTACAACTACTCGACCTGGCGGTCCGCCCCGGGAATCTACCTGGAGGATCTGTACGTGCAGCCGAGCGCGCGGGGCAGCGGCTACGGGTTCAAGCTGCTCAAGTACCTGGCGGCCAAGGTGCTGGAGGTGAAGGGGCGGCGGTTGGAGTGGAGCGTGCTGAAGTGGAACGAGCCCAGCATCAAGTTCTACGAGCAGGTCGGCGCGAAGGCCATGGAGGAATGGATGAAGATGATGGTGGAGGGACCGGCGTTGAATAAGTTGGCGGAGGGGGTGTAGATGGATATACCTATGTATTGGCATTGTCGTAGTCTCGCAGCGCAAAAGCACAAGCATTAAGGACCCAATGACCCGTTGAATCATGTCATGCCTTCTCCCGTGCGACAGCCGTGGCCATGCCACATGGCCCCCTCGTTCTCTAATTAGCCAGCAACACGCGGTCGCAACAGCCACGCTGCGCACTCGCCAGACGAGCGGATTGCCCTCGCCTCCATTGACCTCTGCCTTACGAGACCACCCATCATCGTCCGCCAGATGGAGCATTGTCAAGGTGCAGAGGGGCCGGCCCCAACGAGGGAATGAGCCGTGTCCAACGATCCGTCATCGCGACGGCTGTACCATCATCTGCCGACGATTCGCATCGGATCTTCATCTGGCCCGATCGCGTGTGCGAATCGCGATGCACAGATTCGTCACCACCAGCGCGGTTCTCCAATGAGAATGGGGGTGCCTGCGAGGCTCTGACGGAGCTCGTGTTGGGCTGGTCGTACTGGCGGGGCAGTGCATGCGATGCGGCTAACCCTCACTCATCGACATGGGCCGATATCAAGCTCGTATTTACCCACAACCTCCCATAGAACCGGTCATAATTATCACATTACTCATGTCATAGCATCACCGAGCAACGGACGCATCCACCATGTCCGGGCTGGAATACGTCCTCCCGCTGCTGGACTCGGCCGGGCAGAAGGTGATCGCGCACTACATGGGCGACGCGGCAGCGCGCGACTTCACCGCCGCCCTGAAAGAGTTCCTGACCTGCTTCACGGAATACAGCTACGTCGAGCCGCTGGTGCCGCCGGCGTACGCGCCGGCGTCGGCGCCCATCGGCTGGCGCACCAATCCCAGCAAAAGCGTGGGCATCTTTTACCACATCTACCCGGACATCGCGGCGGCGATCGAGCAGAACGGCTTCAAGGACGCGATGGTGGCGGAGGCCGGGCTGGACCGGCCGGTCGTGCTGAACGTCAACACGACGGCGACGGAGGCGCGCGTGCGGGCGCGGCTGGGGGCCGGGTGGCCGGCGCGCATGCGCAAGAAACTGCTGGCGGACTCGGACACGAATCCGTTCTACGGGGGGCGGGCGACGCAGCTCAGCCGGAAGGAGGTGGGACGGCAGTGCGCGGGGACGATGGCGAAGAGTCGGCGGGCGCAGGGGTTTGCGGGGGCGGTGCTGCTGCGGGTGTTGGGGCTGGCGCGGGCGTGCGGCGTGTACGAGCTCAGCGTCGCGGACGTGCTGGAGATCATGGCGCACGCGTGGCTGTACGAGCAGTTGGCGCGGCAGTTTCTAGCGGCGCTGCTGGGGCTGCACGGGTTCAACCTGACGCGGTACGGGTTCCGGCTGCCCAACGGCCACACGCTGGGCACGCGCAAGAACGACATGCTCCCCAGCGAGGGCGTCGCTGGGTACTTCATCCACGTGGGCGCCATCGTGCACGGCAAGCCGCTGCTCAGCTACCCGGCGGCGGCGGCGGAGCTGCAGGACGTGGAGGTGCGGCTGGGGCGCGAAACGACACAGGCGCAGGCGGGGACGCCCGGCGTGGGGATAGAGGTGGTTGAGCACGAGCCGATCCTGATGGACTCGGCGACGGCGACGGCGCTGTTCTTCCGGCCGGCGAACCGGCGCAAGCGCACCGTGACGCGCGACCTAACGGTAGGCGTGCTGCGCGAGGTCGGGTATGGGCTGATGCCGCGGGGGGTGGTGGCCAAGATGGAGGGCGCGCGCCAACGGGCGCGGCGGCACGACGTGCACGGCAATGCGCTGTGGCAGTCGCAGGACGCGGAGCCCATCCAGGTGCGCGTGGTGCGGCACCGCGGCAGCAAGCGGCTCGTCGCGTGGATCAGCACCATCGGCGACTACCATTGGGATTGGCCGCCGGCTGGGGTGTTTGGACGCCCGTGTGCGTGCCGGCAGGCGGACCCGGCGAAGCGCATCGTGAATCGCCGGTTTCGCGGCATCCCCGTGACAGACGTGTTCTGCCATAGTCTGGCCGCGGCGCAGGCGCAGGCGGCGGTCGCGCCCGACGCGCTGCAGTTCCACTGGGTGACGGGCGACCTGCCGCTGGCGATGCAGAAGACGGGCACCACGGCCACGAATGTGTATGTGCAGGTGCGCGGGGAGTGTCTGTACTGCGCGGCGAACAATGCGGTGGCGTACGGGTGTGGGCTTGTCATTGCTGGGGGCATTTGAGGTGTTTGGATTGATTTGTTTTTGGCATTGCATGTGATACCCGGTCTTTCATGTAATTGATGGTGCTGCCTGGTGGTGATTGAATATGAGTTTCAAGTACGAACTTCCTGGATGCGGGCGAAGATCCTGTAGATAGTTGCCTGGAATGTGAGCAATGGAAATCTCGGTTGAGCCTAGATCTACACCACGGCGTCCGTTTGCGTCGTAGATTGGAAGTTAGATTCCAGAAGGCATGCAATGCAACAAGTCATATACACAAGCAAGATGTATTTGCATGCAAGTCAACGCCTGGTCCAAAAAGCCATATCGCATAGTCGTCAAATCCAAGAAAGTCCAAAACATGAGGGGTATTATATACAAAGAAATTACCAGAAATATTGGTCGCCGTAGACATCTTGGTAGCATTGGAAGGCGTCAGGGCAGCTGTAGGTCCGTGTTAGACGCGCATTCTCCGCCGACAGTGGGGAAGGGGGGAACTTACTACACCGGATCCATCCCGAAGATGATATGCCAGGTATACTCCATAATATGGGCGGTCACATCGTCGGACAATTTATTCGTCAACACCCAGTTGTAGTATCGCTCGTAATCGTCCAGGGAACGCTTCAGGACCTGGTCGCGCGACACGGCGAACTGCGAACAGCACGGGACACCGATCACCTCGGGCACGTCGGTGTTGTTGAAGAGCTCCTCCCAGGCCTGGGCGTAGGCTTTTTCGGAGGCTTTGCCGGGCCGGGGTTCGCGGAACGGGCGGATTTCGTCCGGACAGCCCGGGGTTTCTTGACAGCGTAGATTGGCGTACCCGTTTCGCTGGACAAAATCGGTCTGCAGGGAGCGAATGGACTGAACATTGCTGTAGTCGAGGGTATCAGTATGCCAGGCGGCGGGCCAGCCGTCCTTGTGACTGTGGACAAAGACAATGGTGGCAGGGAGATCGTGGTAATGCTCGACGATGTACTGCAGGTAGGCGAGACTTTCGCGGCCCTTGTTCTTGGGGGTATGACGGGGCGCATTGGTGTCGTCGACGGTGTAGATGACGTTGCGCCATCTAAAAGGTTAATTTTAGTTTCAACACATCCGGGTTCGGGCGGGAATGAAGTCATGTCATGTACATACTCGGCCAGATCGTTGCTCACCCATGACGTATCCTCGGAGGCCAGTTTGGCGATCACGATGACCCGGTCATTGGGGACGATAATGGGAGTGGTCTCGTAGGTGGGTGGGGGACGCTCCGGGGGTTCGTCCAAGGCCGACTGGTTGATGATGTCTGGATTGGGGGGACTGGAGTGGTCGGGGGAGGCGGACTGAGGGTTCTTGAAGAAATCCCAATGCCAGAAGGCCGACTGAACTCGGGCGTCATCCTGAAGGCCATCGAGATGGCGTTTGATCAGGACGATGGCGAGAATCAGAAGGGTGGCGGACGCGATCCGGACGGAGAGCCTCATGAGGGCATTGATGGAGAGGATGTTGAGCGGAAGAGGCGCAGGAGAAAAGGGAAGATGAGAGAGGAGAGAAGAGGAGGGAGAAGGGAGGATGAAGAAGGAAGAAGAGAACAGATCGAGAAGAGAAGAGAGGAAGATTAGGCTAAGACGGAGAATCAGCGGAGGATTTTAGCTTCTTTGGGAAACGCCGGAAGTACGTAGGAGGTACCTTGCAGTAGTAGTAGCGGGAGGAGTACTGCTAGGTACTGGGAGGTACTGGGTATATTCTGAGGTAATGCATTCATCCCATGATATAAATTAGCATGATTGTATCTGTTTCTCTATCGTATATTCTACACTGATCATAGAAGATATTATAACTTGATAGAAATATAATTACAATACAAGTATAGGTACCTACAGGTCCCTGGGTCCTACCTACAAGACTCCGTCCTCCACTCCGTTTCGGATCCGGTGATGATCCGATGATGATCTTCGCTCTCCTCGCCCACTACTGTCCCTACTCCCCTCTCGTCTCTCTATTTCAAACACTCCCTGGCAGCATGATGGAGATCGTTACACTACCGTCTCACAACCCGGTCAGAAACAGTCTCTCTGCAACCACACCAGAGAGGATCATCCGCCATTCCTACCTACCTGGTCAATTCACCTCCGCCGGTCCCCCGTGTTTCTCCACCGTCTAACAACGTCGGGATCTATCCCTGCCACGGGATCCTTACGGAGTATCTACAGTACACACTTTCAGCTCCAAATGTCTCAATAATATTTGTCAGGAATCACTGCAAAGAACGACTATTCAACTGAATTCACAAACAAACTTAAAATCATGATGCATTCCTGCAGTGGGCTCGTACCCTATACAGGCCCAGATGCAGGTATGCGGACAGGCAAACAGACTCAATCAAAGCACCCTCAGCCCTTGAGCGTATGGGGGTCTTCAACCCAAATCTGTGCCTCAAAGCACACAGCCACATCCTCATGACTTTGCCGGGCGTCTGTACAGGTAAACGTCAATGCCGGGTGCTTCACAATCATAATCCGTTGTCCATCAAGCCGCTCGGTATGGGCGGGGATGTTCGCACCGTTAGACGCGCACAGCGTCGTCAATTTGCACTCTTTGCTGTACTTCTGGCCAAGCTCTTCCAGCCCGTAAAACTTGGGAAGACCCGGAGAGGCCATCATTCGCTGGGAAAACTCGGCAGCCCGCTCATACACCCTCAGAAGCGCGTCGGACCGGTATTGTTCCGTTTTCTCATCGGAGATCAGCAGGCTTTGGACATCTTCGCGCGCCAGAAATTCCGAGGCAAACTTTTGCACACTGGCCTTTACCCGATCTTGTTGGTACTGGCCCAAGGTCAGGTCGGGGGCCTGGCTGTTCCTCACCGAGTTAGAGAGTCGGATCGTTTCCGACCGCCAATACCCGGCACTAAACGGGTTGGCTGGGGGTTCGCGGTGTTTAGCCCATGACCAGATCGCCGGGAGGGGGGCTACTCACTCTGAATGAACCGATGGTATAAGTGTTCCAGCTGTATCGGGAAGTTTTCGCTCTCATTCTCGTCGTCCGGGCCAGCCTTCCCGTCCAAGTACCAGAAGGGGTTGTTTCCGATCATCTTTTCGAACAAATCTTTCATGAGGAGGGTTTCTACCAAGACAATCGCCCCAATACTGCGAAACGTCCCAGGCAAAAGCTTGGTGAGGGTTTCCCAGTCTTCCTGCACACACCACCCCTCTAAATTCTTGATAACGTTTCTTTTCGATTCGTCTGGGAGCGAGTTCAATGCTTCCTGGCCGCTGATGATGAACCCGCCCGCCCAGCACTCCACACTGTACTTGAGCACTCCAAAGTCACGGACCATGGTATCAATGTCGCCAGTATGCGCCCATCCCCATCCAGCGGCGCCTCCCTGAATCCATTGCTGCCCCAGCCGACGGCTTCCGGTGAATTGCGACGTCCATTGGGAAAGACGACGGTCCGGTCCCCCTATCCACAGGGATGCCACTGATGTCGGGAACGGGGTTTCCGCACGTTTGAAACGGGGTAATTGACCTTCTCTTGATGGAGAAAGTCCGCGTTTCTGCATGATGTCATTGTCAGTATAGGATCCCCGCAGCATACTGACGTGGAACCTGCCTTGGTTTGCACAGTACTTTCAGTTTCAGAATCCCCCATGTTGATTGATTCAGACGAGAGTCTGGTGGGAGAGAAAGAACGAGAGAAGGATCGGATGTGCGAACGAAGCGGTTTTTAAGTCTACAAAGAGACAAAGAGACCGTGTGATGGAATGGCAAATCCAGGACACGTCTTTCGTGTTGCTTGCTTCTTTGTCCATTCCACACGGGTGCCAGTATGCTCAAGACAAACGGCAAGCAACAGGCAGCCTGCCCAGCCCCGAAACATGATATTCTTTGTCCGCCCAATCGGTTAGATGTTCGTATTTCTTTGGCTTTGCGATACTAAGACATGTTCTCGGCAATGCCCGGTTGGTCATGAGCTCATGGAACACGGAGATTTACCATTCTCGGTGGTATATAGTCTTGTCATACCCCTGACAGGATTCTAGGATCTCACAACTCAACTTTGCCGACCGTTCACTTGCCTCTTCCAGTCCTCTACACAACATGCCGTCAAAACTCTACATCGTAGGCATCACCCTAGGTACCTATACCATGCAGTGTGACCTGAGGGAAGTGGACCTGAGCCTCTTTCTTCGTACTGGCAGCGATGATGAACACAGTCTGTGCATGGATATCAGGGCAAGCTACGAAGCTTCAAGTGGGATGATCCATTTCGAGGCGTACCTGTCGGGGACAGACATGCGAGTTGGACACCGAGAGATTCCTCTGCCGTGGGAATGAGCTTCTGTTCGGGGCGCGCGGGTTGACCGGGGTGAAGATGTCTTAGCGTTTTGACAACATCTAGAGGTTGCTGCTTTCCTGTGCCATGGGCGTTATTGGTTTAGAGAGAAGACATTCATGACCCATGTATATACGTATCTAGCAACCCCAAGACCATCATTAATCCTGATATATGCCACCTGCCAACGCCAACGCCAACGCCATGCAAAGATCGAATCCCACCACTAACAACAACCCCCACCCTTCTTCTTGGTAATCCTCACGCGATCCTCGCTCTCCTCGCCCACGCCCACCGAACTACCCGGCGGAAACCCCAGCCAGCTCCGACGACGATCCCCATGACCGAGCCGGAAGCTCCCATTCCCATCGCCGGGGAACCCCGCCACACCTCCAGGCCCACGGTCCGCCGCACCCCCAACAGAGCCATCCGACGACACGCCATGCAGACTCGCCGCGCCACCGGCCGCCGCCGCTGCCGCGAGCGCGTCCCGCTTATTCCGCTGCTCGACGAGCTTGCGGGTGATGACACGAAAGACCTCGTCGATGCCCTCGCCGTCCTTGGCCGAGATCTCATGGCAGCAGTCCCAGCCGATATCCTGGCCCCAGAAGCCGCTGCTGCGCTTGCTGTCGGGGGCGCCGGCAGCTCCCCCACCGAAGCCGGCGGTCGGGGGCGGGGTGGACGCGCGCGACGGGTACAGCTGGTCGGCGACGTAGGCGATGGTGCGCTCGAAGGGGACGCGGCGGGCGGCGGGGTCGAGGGCGACGATGTCGGACTTGGTGCCGACGACGTGGATGACGAGCGGGGGGTCAGCGTCGCCGTCTGCGTCTGCGCCAATGTGCTGCTTCAGCTCGAGCAGCCAGCCGGTCATCTCGGCGAAGCTGCGCTCGTCGGTGATGTCGTAGCAGAGGAGGCAAGCGTTGGCGCCGCGGTAGTACAGGCGCGAGATGCTGCGGAAGCGCTCCTGGCCGGCGGTGTCCCAGATCTGGAGGCGCACGATGGTGTCGGAGGCGCTGTCGAGGACGCGCTTGGTGATGAAGGAAGCACCGACGGTGGAGGTCGGGCCGGCGGGGTGGAAGGCGTTTTTGACGTAGCGTTGGACCAGGGAGGTTTTGCCGACGCCTGGATGGTGTTAGTATGGAAGGTGCTTGGTGGTGGTGGACTGGATGGAGGTGAGGGGTTACCTTGCGCGCCGAGGACGACGATCTTGGCCTCGAGGGAGGAGCTCATGGCGGGGTGGAGCGGATGGGAGAGACGGAGAGGAGAATTTGCATGGTCTTGCGACAGGCTTGGGGTATGGAGGAGGGAGGTGGGAGTTGGAGTGGATGTGGATGTGGATGTGAAAGTGGATGTGGAAAGAGAGAGAGAATGTGGCGGGAATGAACGAGGCGGAACGAGGGAGGCACAGTCAGCCGATCTGATAGACGAGAGTTATCCCTTACGCGTTGGGCAGACGGTCAGTTGTATATGTAGAATCGGGTATAGAAGAGAACTACAATGCGATTCATGGAGTATAGAGTATATCACAGTGCATCGTCGGTTCATGAATAACTTCATTGTGACTGTGATTGTGTACCCAATGACATCATCGTCCATGCGGCAGGCAAAACAATGGACAATGAATACACACACAGAACAAAGAACGAACAAGACAACAATCCTCGCCAGTCCGTCTATAGATCATCGCTAATATACATACACGTGGCAAAGTCAATCCACAATCCGTTCCACGGATCTCGCAGGTATCATGAAAGCCAAAACAACGGGGGAATCGGGGAATCAGGAATCTATAGCTGCCAACATCATGCCGCGTCTGCAACGCCAGCTATCGGCGTGAAAAAGAATGGAAAGAAAGATCTCACGTCCATCTAGGTCATAAAGAAAAGACGAAAGAATTCTCCAGTTACTCCGAAGGCGTATACTCGGCATTCGCCTTCTCCGGGTCCTCCTCCGTCGACCCGCCAAACCCGTACTCGGCCGCCCTCTGCTCAATCTCCTCGTCACTGAGCTTGGGCAGCTCCTTGGAGGCCCTGACGTAGCTGATTCCCTCGGTGTATCCCTTGGCGAAGATAAGGTCGATCTCTTCCAGGCTGCGGTTGGCCGTCTCCGGGTAGAAGAACCAGATGACCGGGATGAAGAGAGCGTTCAGCGCGGCGAAGAAGAGGTACGTCCCCCAGCCGATGTGGGCGACCATGACCGGCGTGATCATGACGACAGTGAAGTTGAACAGCCAGTTGCTGCAGGTCGACACCGCATTGGCCTTAGCACGGGTCTTAATAGGCGACAGCTCGGCGGGATACAGCCAGGGGAGAGGGAGCCATGCAGCACCGAAAGCCGCCATGTACAAGAACAGTCCGAACACGGCGCCCTTGGACACCTCCTCATCGCCAGGGATCAGACAACCAAAAGTAATGACCATAGCGGCAGTCTGGATGAACGAGCCACCCAGGAAGAGCTTGCGACGGCCAATTTTTTCGATAAAGAACCAGGAGAACGTGGCGAAAATGGCATACACGATCATGTTCACACCACCGATCAACAGAGCCATGTCGTTGGACTGGTGCAGAGACTCCTTCAGCAGGACAGGCAGGTAATAGATGACCGCGTTGCAACCAGACAGCTGCTGGAAGACCTGGGAGGAGGAGCCGACCAACATACGACGCAGATGCTGAGAGCGACCACCCGTCAGGAGATCCCTGAAGCTCGTCTTGCTGCTCGCACCGGAACTAAATTTGCCGTTAGCTGCATGTTCAATCACAAGTCGCAATGGCAATGAAGACATACGCTCGAATAGAGTCGATAACCAGGTTCTTCTGGATCTGAGTCTCGCGATCGTGGACCTCCCAGCCACCAAGAGCGGCGAGCACATACTCGCCCTCCTGGACCTTGTCCTTGGCGATCAGGTAACGGGGCGAGTCCGGCAGGAAGAACATGCCCACAATGATGATGATACCGAAGAAGATCTGGAAGGCGATCGGGAACCGCCACACCAGGTCGGGAGGACCATAGTGGGCACCAAAGTCGATCCAGTAGGCAATCGCCGTACCAATGGCGATCACACCACCCTCAATACAGATCAACAGACCACGGTTACTTGTCTTAGAACATTCGGCCTGGTAGGTGGGGATCGTGGACGTGTTCATTCCATTGCCAATGCCGGTGATGACACGACCGATGAAGAACTGCAGCAGGGGGATGTGTCCGACAAACGAGGTGACCTGGATAATAACTCCAACGATCATGACAATCGCACCCGAGAAAATCATCCACCGACGACCGGTCCGGTCACCGAAGATCAAAGCGAAGATGGCACCTGCCAAACAGCCTGCAGACAGGGAGGTTAGCCGAGTGCACCCAATGAAGCATGTCAGGAATCAAGGGGCTCGGGCCACATACCAAGTTCATAGACGGCGGTCACCAGGGCCTGCATCGTCGAATCATCTTTGGTAGCAGTGAACACATTGTTAAACGCCTTGTCACTGATAATACCAGACATGACACCCTCTGGGGAGCTGTTAGCCTCGGCATCTATGGAGGACCCATGGTGGAGTAGGTGACATACGGTCATAACCGAACAGTAGGAAACCCATCGTAGCGACAGTCGACACCGTCAGGGACAGGGGCCTGCCCGACAAACCGGCATATGACGGCGCCATCCTGGGCGAGTCAAGTAGACGAGGAGAAAGAGAGGGTCTTGGAAGAGGTGTGCCAGCACAGTCTGTGTGATTGTGGCCCGATCTAGTCAGGGAGTCCTTTCACCTGGGGAACACTAGGCAGGACGGAGTTTGCAGACGAGAAAGACACCAGGTCAAACAGAGAGGAGTAAACGCGGAGAAGAAGACGGGGGAGAAAGGGGGTTTTCTATGTCTCCAGGACCAAACAACCCTAAGTGGCCACCATGCATACTCGTGTGGTGACAATCTCTTATCCCCCAAACATTGATACTCCACCGTGGTGCCTGCACCCATAGTTGCCCGGACCATTGGTTGGGTGGTGGAGTAGGGGACCGGATGCATCAATAACGCTGGGCTAAGCATTAAGTCGAGCGGTTCCTCTGATCCACACCAGGTGGACTCGATGGAGCCCCAGCAGGACCATGACATCACGGTGCCTCTCGCTGGACTCCGACCCGTGAAGAATATCCCAAGGGACCAAGGCGAAGAGGTTGTTGGAGAATAGAAGATGGCAAATATGATGGCGAACAGGGCGTAAAAAACTTCCAGCGAGTGTTCCCTGGAGGTGTCATTGCATGGGATGGGTCATCCCATTTCGATGAATAATTCGCTTCTTCTGAAGATCGCAAAATTTTTTTCATTACTGTTATTTCTCTGATGCCTGCAGTCGTCCTCCACCCAAGGAGGTCATTGGTTCCACTCGCTGTTCTCGCTATGCATTCTCATTCCCCGATCGCAGGAGGAAGGGCCTACATGCATGCGTGGTGGTCGCTGTCGTTCGCTCAACTGACGCAACGTGGATCAGAACAGATTGGCTCCTACTGTCCTTGCCTCGAGCATGTGAGGCAACTCTGCCGAAGGGGGACAGAGCCCTACTCCCTAGTTACTCCGTAATGAAATGATTGACCTTGCAGAAGGGCCCTCGCTGTTCTCCAGGTCTTGTGGCGGGTGACCACTCTTCGAATGCGGGTGAAACCCTCTTGACTGCCTTTGCCATGTGTCCTCAGACAGATTCGAAACTACTCCGTAGCTACCTGTAGTTACCTACCGCGGTCGCTCTCCAGCTGCGATCATCGCCACCGCCGTTCTGCCATCGTCGGAGCCGAGAAATGGGCCGTGACTCGGCAAGCCGTGTTCGAGTAGCGCCTAGCGTCATCTGCAAGGCGACAGATCAATAACCACCCGTGTCTTGGGCTTTGGACGGCACCAGTCGTAATTTAGTTGCATGCAGACGTCGGAGGAATGATGCATCATAAGGGTCTGAATGATAAAGGAGGGTGGATGATAATTTCTCCCGACAAGTGAGATCAGACGGAGGAAATTTCCACTCGCCAGAGACTCCAGTGTCTCCAACTGTGGCACAATTCTGAAGTCGGAACACGCATCAGAAATCAGGGATTCTTTCGCGTACGGTAATCGGACCCAGCGCCTACCGCTTGCTGACATTCCTCCGAGGCAGCACGTATGCCCGGTCCACACCTTCTTCTCCTGAGAGTTGTTGACGATCGCTGACGATGGATGGATTAGTGAGGATCCCAATGGCGGATTTATGTAAACCGCCGACCTATGATCTTGATTGATTGACACAACATGTGCACATGCGTCCACCCTGTCGCGCTTAGATAACCTACTCCGTAGATGGTGTCGCAGTCCGGGAAACCGGCTGATGACGCACTGATCGACTTCCAGAAAATGGTGCGAGCAGATAATCCCCCTTTTCCTCCGTGGGGTCAACCCTTCTACGTCGACGGCCATCGCTCCTGGCCATGTACACCGATAACCACCGGCCAAGAATCCGACAGGCAATGACCGTGGCGCAAAAAGTCGAAGCTCAGGCAACTGCATCTTGGTGCAAACAAGCCCTCTCGGCAGAAGCAAAGTGGACCCTGGATCCGAGGTTGCAAAAAGTGGATCTGTTGCTTTACGGAAGATCCACGGAGTAGACGGGACTGGATCGTCCTGGAAGACGTGCTCCGGTCAATCCACCAGCGTGGCGTCATCGTTGTCTTCCTCCTTGTTACCGGCCCAATGGTGTCGACTGGGTTATCGTCGGTCGCATTGTCCACGCATCGTGTTCGTTTTCCAACCGCACGGACAATTGGTCCAGGTGTACTCCATAGAGGGATCTCACAGGCGCTCGGCTAATTGCATCTCTGATTCCAAGCGCGGAAACCGACCTTCTAGTACGAGGAGCCAGTATTCGGCGGATCAGCACGGGCGCAATCACCGTGTGGACAGAGACATGGTGGGTCGATGGAGCAGTCCGTCATGCCCCGTAAACCGTCGAGGGCCCTACGGTGTACGGTCGACTTTTCTATCCCGTGGCTGTCACCCTGCGCGATGATGTCTAGTTGACGCGCAGGATCTGACTGTTCCATCTGTGATAAGACATGGACACATCTGCCAAGTCGATCGTCGCTGCATAAGGAGGGGAACATGACGTCGGAGATGTTAACCTCTGCCTAAGGTCTTCTATCTTCTTTCACCGCGTGTGGACGGGTGGGTGTTAGTCCAAGCTGCTGTGGATGCTCTTCGGCAGGCCGACGGGAAGAGACCGGAAGAGATGCCGAGGACGGTCGGGACGGGCGATTGTTTAGGAAACTGGACCGCCGACAGACCATCGGATGAGACCTCTGTTTCATTTTGTTGGTTCTTGTCGGAACAGAGAATTTTGTTGTTAGTCAGACAGACATCCTCAGGGACGCACTGAATGGTTCTGTGAATGCTGTAGGAGGAAACGAATCATGAAGACCGGTTAGTCATCATCGGTAGAGACCTCGGCTGTCAGGATGGGCAGAAAGAAAGAAACAGGGGGAAAAGAAGCAGGGAAAGAAGTAGGATCACCTGGTGAGGACAGATGTGTAGAGGAAAGGGGTAAGAGAGAGCGACAGGAGGTAGACAGGGCCTTTATAGCAGTGTCACAGTCCGGAGGTCGAAGCCGTACTCCGTTGATGCTCGGCACGCCGATGCCGACTATCCTGAGGCACCAACAGATGCAAGGATGCTGTACACTGCATAATACAAGATTATATAATTATGCCTCTCGGCCGACTCGCCCGAATTGGCCCCCCGCAGAAATTCCCCGGAATAGAGGTCGACCAACGAGATCCCCCCGATTATCCGCGTTCGCCCTCTATTGTCCCGAGGTCTTCACCTCAATTCCACTTCTTCCTAGATATTCTTCTTGCCTTTCTTCGTGCTTTTCTTCCTCTTCCTCTTCCTCTGCTCCTCTCCTCCTCTCCTCCTCTTCCTATCTTCAATCACCTTCACCATGACCAAAGCTAAGCTCTCCGGCGCCGACGTCGCCCAGCACAACTCCCGCGAATCCTGCTGGGTTATTGTCCACGGAAAAGCATATGATGTGACCGACTTTCTCCCAGGTTGGTGCCCATTTGATCTGTGATCTGTCCAGTCCAGAACGATACTAACCCTATAGAACACCCTGGTGGTCAGAAGATCATCCTCAAGTACGCCGGCAAGGATGCGACCGAAGAGTTCGACCCCATTCATCCCCCCGACACCCTCGACAAGTACCTCGACTCCTCCAAGCATCTCGGCGAGGTCGACATGTCCACCGTCGAGCAGGAAGAGAAAGTGGAGGACCCGGAGGAGACCGCGCGCCAGGAACGCATCAAGACCATGCCCCCATTGGCCGCATGCTACAACCTGCTAGACTTTGAGACCGTCGCCCGCAGTGTCATGAAAAAGACCGCCTGGGCGTACTACTCCAGCGGAGCCGACGATGAGATCGTACGTCCCTCTTCTGTCCTTTCTTCCCGTCCACTCACTGATCGCGCAGACCATGCGTGAAAACCACTCCGCCTTCCACAAGATCTGGTTCCGCCCCCGCGTCCTCGTCGATGTCGAGAACGTCGACTTCTCCACCACCATGCTGGGCACTCCCGTGTCCATTCCCTTCTACGTCACCGCCACCGCCCTGGGAAAGCTCGGCAACCCCGAGGGTGAAGTGGTGCTGACGCGGGCCGCCCACGACCACAACGTGGTGCAGATGATCCCGACGCTGGCGTCGTGCTCGTTTGACGAGATCGTCGACGCCAAGCGCGGGGACCAGGTGCAGTGGCTGCAGCTGTACGTGAACAAGGACCGGGCTATCACGAAACGCATCATCGAGCACGCCGAGGCGCGCGGCTGCAAGGGGCTGTTCATCACGGTCGACGCCCCGCAGCTGGGCCGCCGCGAGAAGGACATGCGCTCCAAGTTCTCCGACGTCGGGTCCAGCGTGCAGGCCACGGGCGGCGACTCCGTCGACCGCTCGCAGGGCGCGGCCCGCGCCATCTCGTCCTTCATCGACCCCTCGCTCTCGTGGAAGGACATCCCCTGGTTCCAGTCCGTCACCAAGATGCCCATCGTGTTGAAGGGCGTGCAGTGCGTCGAGGACGTGCTGCGCGCGGTGGAGATGGGCGTCGACGGCGTCGTACTTTCCAACCATGGCGGGCGCCAGCTCGAGTTCGCCCGCTCCGCCATCGAGGTCCTCGCCGAGGTCATGCCCGTGCTGCGCGAGCGCGGCTGGGAGAACAAGATCGAGATCTACATCGACGGGGGCATCCGGCGCGCCACCGACATGCTCAAGGCGCTGTGCCTGGGCGCCCGCGGCGTCGGCATCGGCCGGCCGTTCCTGTACGCCATGTCGGCGTACGGCCAGCCCGGCGTCGACCGCGCCATGCAGTTGCTCAAAGACGAGATGGAGATGAACATGCGACTCATCGGCGCCACCACCATCGCCGATCTCAACCCCAGCATGATTGACGTGCGCGGCCTGGTCGGCGGCCACAACGCCGTCGTCCCCCAGGACACGCTGAGTCTGCGGGCCTACGATCCGCTGCAGGCGCCGCGCTTCAGCGAGAAGGCGAAGCTGTAGTGCCGCTGCTGCATATCCATCTATACATATTTGCACATGACATCGCCCTTTGTGTATATACCCCGTGTACCTGGCGAGTTTTGTATTTATAACGAGACATAGAACACGCATTGTGCCACGCTCTCTCAATTAGACCATGTAGTTCTCCCAACACCAGACACCATGCAGTCGCCAATTCAGAAACTATGTACACGAAACGTCCCCCACGCTACAACTCCACCACCTGCGGTTTATTCGCCAGCCGCCCCGAGTCGCGATACATACACGCGGCGTTGACCATCCATCCGGCGCCACGGTTCTCGCCGCCCCAGACCCGCGCCCACACTACCCCCAGCACGCCGTAGACCACGACACGGGCGGAGTCCACCCACCCGGACAGATCGCACAGGTCCCGCAGCCAGCCAAACAGGACCGCCGCGAGGCGGGAGCTGCGCGCGCGCCGCCGCCGCGCCGCACACAGGCGCTCCCAGGCGCGCTGGGCCTCGTCCCAGAAGACCGGCTCGGCGCCGTAGGCGGCGTGGACGTGGCCGAAGACATGCAGGCGCGGCCGGACGCGCCAGGCCTCGGCCAGCAGGAACGGACAGCCGGTGGAGTAGACAGGAGAGAGGTCGCGGTGGGCGGCGGGCGGGGTGTGGGTGATGAGGATGTCGGTGGCAGGGGGCACGGTGCCGGACCAGGCGTCGTGGTGCGGGGGGTAGGTAAAGGCGTGTTCGGGGCCGAAGGGGACGATGGCGGGGACGTGGGGGGCGCCGTAGAGGGTGAGGGAGCGGGGGCGGGCTGTTGCGGCGCCGCCTCCGCTGCCGGGGAAGGAGAGGGTGACGGAGGAGTGCTGGAGGTAGATGATGTCGCCCCAGTCGATGCGGGCGGAGGGGTCGTCTGCGACGGAGTGCAGGGAGGCGGTGGAGGCGGAGACCTCGGCAAAGGAGTCTTTGAGCTGGGGGTCGTCGCGGTCGTGGGCGAGGCGCGAGCGCACGTCAAAGTAGCTGTCGTGGTTGCCGCAGATGACGACCTTGTGGCGGTGGGGGAGGCGGCGCAGCCAGTCGACGGCGGCTTGAATCTCGCGCACGCTGCCGTCATTGCAGAGGTCGCCGGCGTGGACGAGCAGGTCGCCGTCGGGCACGTCAGTCCATTCTAGGGAGTGAGTGTCGGAGATGCAGACGACGCGGATCGGACGGGCGTCGGGCGGAGCGAGGTGTGGTGGGCCGCGGAGACGGTTGAGAAGGTGGTGGAGGGGGTATACGATGGCTGCGAGGGGGGAAGAGAAGAAGTAGTCGGGAAATGGCCGACGGTGGAAGGGTGAAGCCATGATTCTGGCGTGGATGGAGAGAGAAGAGGACAAGAAGAAAATGAAGTTGAGAGGAGCGGTGGAGAGACTAAAGGGAAATGCGGAGAAGGTGACGTTGCGTCAACAAGAGTAGTACCTTAGTACTAGGTATTCATGGTACTGTTAATTAATTCTTCTTGAAGTTAATAAAGACATAACGAACAAAAGGAGATAATAAAGAAACTAGAAGGGCTGGCTTGTTGAGCAAACGCCGGAAGATCTGTGTTGAAGGGCTGGATATACTTGCGTCAATATATATAGAACACTCACTCCCACGCACAATATAGATCCAACTATGTGACCTGGTAGAAAAGACAGTCTTGCCATACAATGTCTATCAATCTGGTAGTAGCAGACATGCACTATGCTAGGCCACTTTCACTTTCTTTCATTGTCAACCATTTTCAACACTTGATCCGGTTGCATCCATCTATCATGGCAGCCCAGCCTCGTCCTATAGCGGGTTTTCAAAGCAGAAGTCGTAACCAGGAAGATGTGTCTACTTGCAGAGAGACTGAGTAATGGATTGGGTGCTTATATGGATCCTACGGAGGGTAGTTGAAGCATACTTATGCTATCCTACTGCTCTATAGATATAGAATCTTTGCAGCCAGAAATGGATTACGTCACGTGGAGGTGGCCGATCTAGTCTGATGCCCGATGCAAGTGTTAGATCTCGATAGAACAGACCGAATACAAAAGTGGACATTCATTCATCTCCTACACTGATATTGACTGTATTGACTATACGGACTGTTGTCAACAATAACGAACCCATCTGCCCATCCATTCTTCCGATATTCTCCGTCCAGAACTCTGGTACAGCGTCTCGTCTTGTCATCATCGGACCAGATTCTCCCAGGTCTCGCCCAGGTACTCGGTCTTTTCCCATGGAAGAGGACGCTCCTTCGTTTATTCTCGTCTCCTCTATCCCCTCCTTCTGACAAGACCGAACGGGAATTCACGCGGTGAGGATTTGCCACCGTATACAGTAGACCCCGAGAGGCGCTGTTTGCAGACTTCCAGCCAGACATCCACACATTCCTCGTCGAATTCCATCCGCTCAGCCGGGTTCAATTCTATTCTTTCCGTTTTTCATTTCTACTGTCCTGAGAACTTCCTCTTCAACTGGCAGGATCTCTCAACCGTGACCATTCTCTCCAGCTGGACGGGTGGATCGCCAGTCAGTCGATCTTCATTCTGCTGTCATATCGTTTGCGTCATACTCCTCCTGGACCGTTCTGGTCGGGGATCTCGGGGTACGTACTTGGTCGTTCCGATGAATGCGACCTGGAGGCAATAATTAATGAACCATCACCTGAACAGTCACAGTTGTTCTTTTGGGGGAGTGTATTTTCTATACCCGACTGCCACGGCCAACTGGACAAAAGACGACGGGAAAACCAGCCCGTCTGGACCCAAACTGCAGCTAAACCAAACCACTTCCAGCCCCTCCTCAATCGACTCTTCCTCTTCCTCTTCTCGCCTTCTCGTTATCCCCCACTCCGCCTTTTCTTTCTCCCCCCTTCTCTTTCTCCCCTCTTCTTCCACTCTCTCCCATAGCTTCTCTCCACCTCACCTCCTTTCTTTTTCTTTCCCTCATGATGGACGGCGTCGACCTGACCAAGGCCGTGCTCAATAAGGGGAAACAAATGGCTAGCGTCGCAACCGCCGCTGCCAATGGCAATGGCGGTAAGAAGCGAAGAAAAGGAACCGACTTGAAGCCCATCGTCACCAACGACGCGGCCAATCCAGGCGCCGAGCCAGCGCCTGCACTGTCTGAAGGGTGTGTCTTTTTTCCCCTCTCCCCGTTCGCATCCGTCCCGCTAACCCATCGCTTCCTTTCGCAGCGTCTCGCCATCGCGTTCCCCTTCGACATCCTCCGCAGATGAGATCGAAACCACCGCTGAAGAGGAGGATTCTGAGGACTACTGCAAGGGTGGTTACCATCCCGTCACCGTCGGCGAAACCTACAACAACGGTCGTTACGTCGTCGTGCGCAAACTGGGGTGGGGTCACTTTTCCACCGTCTGGTTGTCCCGCGATACCACCACCGGCAAACATGTCGCCCTCAAAGTCGTCCGATCCGCCGCCCACTACACCGAAACCGCCATCGACGAGATCAAGCTCCTGAATCGCATCGTCCAAGCCAAACCCTCGCATCCCGGTCGGAAACACGTCGTCAGTCTGCTGGACTCCTTCGAGCATCGCGGTCCGCATGGGGTCCATGTCTGCATGGTCTTTGAGGTGCTGGGAGAGAATCTCCTCGGCCTGATCAAGCGTTGGAACCACCGGGGTATCCCCATGCCCTTGGTGAAGCAGATCACCAAGCAGGTGCTCCTCGGTCTGGACTATCTCCACCGGGAGTGCGGCATCATCCATACCGATTTGAAACCCGAGAACGTCTTGATCGAGATCGGCGACGTCGAGCAGATTGTGAAGACCTACGTCAAGGAGGAGGCCAAGAAGGAGGAACACAAGGAAGATAACCGCAACGGTCGGCGACGACGCCGCACGTTGATCACCGGCAGTCAACCATTGCCGAGCCCGCTGAATACCAGTTTCGACTTCAAACACAGTTCGCACAACTCCCATAGCAGCCTCAGCCAGATGGTCAGCAGCGACTCGTCGACGCCACACGAGGCCCCATCGATGAAGGAACTGTTGGGGATCAAGGATGAAGATGAACACCAAAAGCAACGAGAAAAGACAACGTACGTGAGATGTGGCCTGTGGATAGGGTTGTTGACTGACGCGCGAACAGTGATTTACTAGAACGAGAGGTTTCCGGGATCTCTTTAGATAAGACCCCGTCCAAATCCTCCGACGAACCGGAGTGCGATATCATCTCTGTGAAGATCGCCGATCTCGGAAATGCCTGCTGGGTGGGACACCATTTCACTAACGACATCCAAACGCGGCAATACCGGTCGCCGGAAGTCATTCTGGGGTCGAAGTGGGGTGCGAGTACGGATGTATGGAGTATGGCGTGCATGGTATGATGTCGACTTCTTTTCCAGGAACGTCTTCTAATGACGGCAGGTGTTTGAACTCATTACCGGCGACTACCTCTTTGATCCTCAATCCGGCACCAAGTACGGCAAAGACGACGATCACATTGCGCAGATCATTGAACTCCTGGGTCCGTTTCCCAAATCGTTGTGTCTGTCCGGAAAATGGTCACAGGAGATTTTCAACCGGAAGGGCGAGCTGCGAAACATCCACCGACTACGCCACTGGGCGTTGCCGGATGTCCTGCGGGAGAAGTACCACTTCTCGGTGGAGGAGAGCATGCGCATCAGCGAGTTCCTCCTCCCCATGCTGGAGGTGTCGCCCGAACGACGAGCCAACGCCGGTGGCATGGCCTCCCACGAATGGCTGGCCGGGACCCCGGGCATGGACCAGATCGACCTGGGGATCCAACCCGGCAGCCGGGGCGAAGGGATCGAAGGATGGGCGACAGAGGTGAAGAGGAGATGACCTGCTGTGCCGTGACGTTATGACTTGGGAATTTTTCTATGCGATCGCCCGGTGGATCTGTCTTTTATCTGTTTTGGATTGGCCGTTTACAGGATGTTTATGATTTCCGTGACATGACTCGCATGCTACAGCACTCTTGATGTCTTCTCTCTTTGCCTTTCTTTCCTGCCCCATTCTTTATCTGCATAGATTTTTGTTCGAGCCTCGACCTCCCCCGACAATTCCTTCAATTCCGGGGTTTACTTTAGACGTCAATGACCCCTTGACACGAGACGTTTGATGGGTTTCCTCGCTGCGGTGGACTCCAAGTCCATGCTGTATACAGATACGCTCTGTAGATATGACTGAATGAGATGATGTGAAGTAGTATCAACGGTCGGCATGATGGAGCACTGTCCTCCATAATCAAGCATCTTCTTCCAGCCCTTCTTCACTGGGCAATCGGTCAGGAAACCACCCAAAGCGGTTCAGATCCACGTAGAATTCGCCCATGCTGTCCACGTCCACGTCCACCCCTTCCTCCCTCAGCACCTCTGCCTGTCGTTCAGCACTCCCAGGCTCGCTACAGAATCAGACCTGCCACACCGACGATAGAGAGAAAGGCGAATGCACGCACCGATGCGAAATCATCCCCTTGGAGTTGATCACCCTCTGCCAGGGCACATTCCCCGAGTGGAAGTAGTTCTCGGATTCCGGTGGTGGCAGATGTTTGAGACAAATGCCTACTTGACGGGGGCGTTTTGCTTCATCATATTAGTATCTTTCTTCCTTTGCAGTTCCCTTCTAGTGAGACGTACGCGCCCCGAGCAGCAGAGCGATGTGTCCGTACGACGTGACCCGGCCGCGGGGAATCTCCTGCACGGCCTCGTAGACGGCGTTGAACCAGAACTCGGCTTCTTCTGAGCGGGGCATTTCCGCCACAAGAAATAGAATATTTCGTCTAGATACCTGAAGGTACTTGATATGTCCCTGGTTCTAAGGTCCAGGGTAAGCTTCCGTTGACGGGGGAGGGATGTGAAGTAATTACAATACGAGATACCGGCAAAACCAATCCTCCGACTTATCACGATAACATCTCCATCAAACTCGAACCTCCACACAATCAACTCCTCCAACACACCAGCAGCAACCACCACCATGCCCTCCTCACTCGCCGACTACCTGGCGAAGAACTACCTCACGGCGGACCCCGGCACGACAGCCGAGCGCCCAAAGAAAAAGCGCAAGAAGAGCAAACACCAGCCCGCCGAAACCGACGGGCTGATCATCGCCGACGACGACCCGCCGGACCTGCGCACCGCAGCGACCAACACCAACGCCGATGACGAAGACGGCCCGGCCGTAGTGGCGGCCCGCAGCGCGGAGTTCCGACGCGCGAAGAAATCCAACTGGAAGGTCGTGGGCGGGGACCAGGACGCGGCGGACGCGATCATCGCGTCGGCGGCGGCGGAGAACGCAGCCCGGCGCAAGGAGCAGGGGGTAGACGACGACGAGGAGGACGGGGACGGGCCGACGGTCGCGGACGAGGACGACGGGCTGCGGATGGAGTCCGGGGCGCGGGCGGGGCTGCAGACGGCGGAGCAGACGGCGGCGATGGTGGCGGCGCAGGAGCGACGGAAGAAGCGCGAGGCGGCGCAGTACCAGGGGCGCGGGGGCGGCGATGAACCGGCGCAGGAGACGATTTATCGAGACGCGTCGGGGCGGATCATCAACGTGGCGATGAAGCGGGCGGAGGCGCGGCGGGCGGAGGAGGAAGCGCGGGAGAAGGAGGAACGCGCGCGCGAGGCGCTCATGGGCGATGTGCAGCGGGCGGAACGGGAGGCGCGCCGGCAGCAGATCCAGGAGGCGCGGGCGATGCCGTTGGCGCGCACGGCCGAGGACGACTCGTTGAACGAGGAGCTCAAGGCGCAGCAGCGGTGGAATGATCCCGCGGCGCAGTTCCTAACGAACGTGCAGGGCCCGGGAAAGAGTGCGACGGGCAAGCCGTTGCACCGCGGGGCGTTCCAGCCGAATCGGTATGGCATCCGGCCTGGGCATCGCTGGGATGGCGTCGATCGGAGTAATGGGTTCGAGAAGGAGTGGTTTGCGGCGCGGAATCGGAAGGGGAGATTGGAGGCGTTGGATTACCAGTGGCAGATGGATGAGTAGGGGGTGGTTCTACTGGATCTGGTGCGGGCGCTGGGTCTTCTACGGTCATGTACGGGTGTTACATTGCATAGTATACGATAATGGACTGTTGATACTTGATATTGTGTTGATGAGGCTATACAAACATTGTATAGTATGATGTCATGCATCAAAAGGGTTAGCCCGGAGTGATGACTTGCTGCGATCGGCGCCGAGTCATCCGCCTCCGTCATCCTTCAGCTGATAAGCGTGTTTGGCGTCACCTGGTGAGTCAAGTCAACCTTGGAGAAAGAATGTTCCAGAGACTCTGGTCGCGGTCGGACTATGGCTGCTTATGACGATGTCGGTGGCACAGTCAAGGTAAGATCAGACAGGCTATCTGGAAGGACAGAACGACGAGGTCGCCAGGCTCGGATCAGATCAGATCAGATTAGGACCGACCATGCGGGGATTATCGTGATGCTCATCTCCTCAACGTGCCTCAAAGAGTGGATCGGATCTCTACCTCGGCCCTGCACGCCTGCACGAGAATGAGGAGATCCACGGTTCTCGAGTGGCGCTCGTCCTGACCTCGGGTCTGGCGTCATCCAGGGGCAACCGCAGTCATCGGCGTCGTCCAAAGGGAATAGGATGATAACGATGGCCCACGATAACGGAGACGGCCCCATCATAGGACGATTTCCCCCTCCAGCGTGACCCAACCGCTTTCAGCATCGCCTCGCCCGGGCCTCGTGCAGGAGGTTGTCATGCATGCGACGACCTTCATATCACCCTCTCTGCCTCGTCGTGATTGCTCCAGACTCTCCATAATCCCCTCGTCTCGTCTCGCCTCTGTTGCTTCCACGGTCGTACGCGCCCTGGAACTTCTCCGCACCTGGAAGATTCCTGATCCGAAGTCAACAGGCTGACTCCCGTCGTCCGAGTTGTTTACTTAGGAGTACTCGGCTGTCTGTGCTTATGACTGGATCCTGGTGGATCGGTAGTGACTCAGACAAAGAGTGTCGATGGTGACTGTTTCCTGGTTTCATACTTGACTTCTTTCATATTCTTCCCCCTTTGACATCTACGGACTTTCCTTATCATATCGTTTCAGTTGTTTCACCTGGTGGCGGCAGGAACATCTACCCCATCACATCTACATCTACATCCCCCACTCTCCACCATCTCTACTTGTCAACACCCCTATCCCTATCTCGATACCATAGACGATCATCCCATTATGCCCGGATCCCTCTCTGCCAACGACCTTCGTTGTGCCGGCACGGCGGCCAAACGGGCTCACGACAAGAAGGCCAAATGGATCAGCGGAGGCCGTCCAGCGCCTGGCTGTCGAATGGAAAACGCTCCTATGGCTCGTCCGATCATTCGGACGATCCCTGCGAGGTAGGTAGCTCTTGCATGACCAAGCTTTCGCTCCGGTTCAGACAACAGGGAAGTCTCAGTGCTGACGGCTGGCGGGTATAGGTACCACCGTCGCCTCCAGTTCGATCGTAAGGGGAGGACCAACCAGCTCTCCACGGATGCCAAGATCAACCTGAGTTATGATGTCCGCGAGGCTCTAGACAGCGCCTCCGACTCGTCCAGTGGCGAAACCCTCGATGAGCCCAGCGCGGCGCAGGAGGTGGTCGCTGAGATGACTCCCAACCACTCCGTCGAGGCATACGACGTGTCCGGACAGACGGTTCTTTCGCAAGCCATCAATAAGGCCGTTGAGCGGTTCGAGACTCGTGAGACGGAGAAGCTGGTTCGGGAATATGAGATTGTGACCCCGGAGTCCGAGAGCGCCATGGGTTATCTCGCGGATGACGATGACTTTGAACTCGTGGACCACGGCCACCTGTGAGGCGCTAGATACCTGATCGCGGGTTTTGTATCTTTTCTTCTTTCATGTTGATGACTTTGGCGTCAGAATGCTCCCAGATATGGACGGTGTTGGTTTAGATTCCCCTTTGATTTGTTCCCGATGACCGGAGTCAGTGGCGAATATCGTATATGACTCAGTACAGTACCTTTGACGGTCGCTTTCACTTGGTTTCGTTTGTTGATACTCTATTGATACTGCATTGATATCGCATTGGATTTGTATCCTGACCAACAGGACCGGACATCTGTTATGCTCGGTAATTTGGAGGGGATGTCTCCCTAAATCAAGTAATCAGTAGCCGTAAGTCGTTGCATGGACGGATCAAAGGCGTAGTTCAAGACAGCAGCCCCATAGATGGTAGGTGAACGAAGAAGTATCATACCTTGCTCTCTTCACAGTTCACATGTGAATAGTACGTACCGTTGCCAGGGTGTTGTTTACTAATGTCCCGATCGGGGAAGGTCAGAAAAGTCCGCTCCGCCCATTTCTGCCCCGGACTGCATCGTCTCCATCTCCCTTCTTCCCCTCCGTCGCTCGCCCTTGTCCCAATCCACGTCTCTTATCTATCCGACGCGATGGATAAACGCTCTGCAGAGAGTCCCATGGACTTTGAGTGGCAGACCAGGGCTCCTGGTGATGCCACCTCGCCCTTCTACCAACTGAGCATGCAGCACGACAAGCAGAAGAAACGTGCGCATCCCTCCCGCGACGAGAAAGCAGTGTCATCCTTTTGTTCAACTGTCTCTAACCGACCATAGGCCCCCATAACATCTTCGACTCGCCCGAAAAGAAACAAATGCCCGCTCTGCGCGAACCCAACTCCCAACCCTTCCTCTTCTCGCAGCCCCCCTCGCAGGCCTCGCGGACGCAGAAATCCATCTTCGGTCAATCCGCCTTTATGACCCCCCGCAAGTTCGAAGTCGACTTCTCCTCCGGCGCCGAAACCTCCCCCGAAAACGCCGCAGACAACGAAGAGACCCCGGAGCCGCCAACAAAGTCGGGGGGTCACCGAAACTCGCTCTTCAACATGTACGGACGCTTTGCGCCGAGTCCCGGACGTGGGGAAATCCCTCGAATGAACCATTACTCCAACGCGTTGGCGCGACGGGTGCAGAAGCGCCGACGCCGGGATAAGGCGCTGGATCTGCAGTTCCGCCGGGATAGCGATGATGAGGATAGCGACGGATCGAGCAGCCGGGACACGAAATCCGCCAAGCAGAAGAAGAATCAGGGTGATGCGCAGGGACCGGACGGTCAGGGGCCCTCGCGGATGTCGACCTTCTCGGATTTCTTCGCGCTCCTGGAGGCCCACCCGAACGTGCCCAGCATCCTCTCGTGGTGGGCGCAGCTGGTGGTGAACCTGTCGCTGTTTTCGCTCGCCGTGTATGTGGTCTTTGGTTTTGTGTCAGCGATCCGCGCGGAGTTCGAGCAGGCGGCCGAGGAAGTCTCGGATACGATCCTGGCCGAGATGGCGACCTGCGCGAAGAGCTACGTGGACAACAAGTGTGCCGGAGGCGACCGACTGCCAGCGCTGGAGACGGTTTGCGAGAACTGGGAGCGGTGTATGAACCGCGATCCGGCCAAGGTGGGCCGGGCGAAGGTGTCGGCGCACACGATGGCGATCATCATCAACAGCTTCATTGACCCGATTAGTTGGAAGGCAATTGTAGGTGCATGTGGACTCATCTACGGGGACCGTGGCTAACATTGACAGGCATTCTTCCTCGCTACGATATCTACCGTGACAGTCGTGAGCAACTGGTCATTCCGTTCGTTTAGAAACCGGTTCAGCCAGCATGACTATACGACCCCGGCGCCTACGTTTCATCGACAGCCCTCCGGCCAACACCCTTCCTCGATTGCCCCGTCCTTCCCACACACCCCCGGATATGGCTACGGACACGCGCCGAGCTTGAATGAGAAGCAGGACGGGCCGCTGATGCTGGAACATTCGCAGACCATGGACTTTGACTTTGGAACGGAGCGCAGTCGGGACCGCGAGAACCACCTGCGGACCCCCAGTCCGGTCAAGCGCGATAGAAAACTCCTTTGATTGCGACAAGACATGGTAATATATTGCATTAGCGTGGGGAATCATGGCGTCTGTCTGTTTGGATACTGGGTGGTGAGATGTTTGCCGTCACAAAAGTTGCGTGACTCATTGCATACGAAGGATAGTGGAGTTTGTGGCTTTTTAACTTGTATATACTGCATCATTGCATCTCAACCGAGCTATCTGATTTGTTTCTGACCGTGGGCTTTTGACACTGACCGTTATCAGTGGCTGTTCTTTGGGGCTTGGCGATGATGCTATATGACGTCGCAACGACGATTCGCTCACGGATTTTTCTTCCTCAAGCCGGACAAAAGGCAGATTGGGTTGCGATAGACGCCGTGCTAATTCAGGGGTTCCGAAACGCTTATTTCCTGGATGTGGGCGATAACGGGTGATTCTTCACTCATCCTGACGTATTGCAGTTTGTATACACCGGTTCCGCACCTCACCACCCGGGTTTATATACCCGCGACACGACAGGGCTGAGCTACTGTGCCGACTGTAGCTCGATAGACTATGTGACGCCCAACATGTCGACCAAGCGCAACCTCATCGTGGTTTCGAACCGTCTTCCCCTCTCCATCAAGAAAGTCGATGGCTCGTTCCAGTCCTCCGTCTCCAGCGGAGGGCTGGTGACTTCTCTCTCGGGATTGACCAAGTCGACCTCGTTCCGCTGGTTCGGATGGCCGGGCATCGAGGCGACCGAGCCCGAAGACCAAAAACAGATCTCGCAGAGCCTCGCCGAGCACAACGCCGTGCCTGTTTTTCTAGACAGTGAGCTCGCGCATCAACATTACAACGGCTTCTCCAGTACGTCTCTCAGACAGACCAGCTCGCGCATCTGTCCAGTCGTATGCTCACTGCGTCCTAGATGCCATCTTATGGCCCATGCTCCACTACCAGTCCGGGGTCTCGTTCGACGAAAACGCCTGGAAAGCATACAAGCGCGTGAACGAGCTCTTTGCCGATGCCATCGCCGCGCAGGTCACCCGTGGTACGCTGATCTGGGTGCATGACTACCATCTGATGTTGTTGCCGAGACTCCTCCGTGAGCGTCTGAAGCAGGACAAGCAGTGTGCCATTGGATTCTCGCTGCACACACCGTTCCCCGCGTGGGACTTCTGGCGCGCTCTGCCTGTGCGCAACGAGTTGGTCGAGGGCATCCTCGGCAGCGACCTTATCGGATTCCATACCAATGAGTATAAGGATAATTTTGTGGACTGCACTCATTCGCTGTAAGCTTCTGCGTTAAGGGCTCGGTGGGTAGTTTTCAAGGAAGAGGAAGTGCTAATGGCTACAGGGGCGCAAACACCGACGTGCCGGGCGAAATCAAATATCAGGGTAGACAGATATTCACCGATAAATTCATCGTGGGGATCGATCCACAGAAGTTCACCGACGCGTTGCAGACAGACGACGTCCGGCGACGCATCCGCGAGCTCCGAGAACGGTACAAAGGTGTGAAGGTGATCCTGGGCGTGGACCGACTCGACCATATCAAGGGCCTACCACAGAAACTGAAAGGCTACGACCGTTTCCTGGAAGAGCATCCGGAGCTGCAGAACAAGGTGGTCCTGATCCAGGTCGCGGTGCCCAGTCGCGAGGACGTGAAGGAGTACCAGGATCTCAAGGAGGAGATTAGCACGATAGTGGGCCAGATCAATGGGAAATACGGTGCGTGTGCTAAGCCATTCTCTAATCATTGCCGTTCTCTGTACAATGAGGCTAACGTGCTTGGCTGGCAGCCACCCCCGACGGATCTCCGCTGGTGTACATGCATCGATCGGTGGAGTTCTCGGAGCTGGCGGCGCTGTACTCGGTCGCCGATGTCTGTCTGCTGACCTCGACGCGCGACGGGATGAATCTTGTCTCGTTCGAGTATATTGCCTGCCAAGGCGAGCGTCATGGCGTGCTGGTGCTGTCCGAGTTCGCCGGCGCGGCCGCGTTTATGAAAGAGGGGAGCATCACATTCCATCCGGCGCATCTGTCGCAACTGGCGGGGGCGATTTACAAGGCCGTGACGATGAGCGACGAGGATCGCAAGCGGCGGTACGAGGGGCTACGTGGGTTTATCGAGACAAATACTAGGTGAGTTGTTCGCAGGGTGTATACAAGATTCTCGCTGACATGGGATAGTGCCAAATGGGGCGAGTCTTTCATTGAGAGGCTGTCCACACGACTGCCCGAGGGATCGGAGGCCTAGACGAGCGATGGATTGGATGGCATACAATGCGACCTTGGCCGGGGAGATTGGAGATAGCTAGAGCCGTCGGATACTTTCCCAGATGAGGCTATACAGCCGAAGGATCCTGATGTACATCAGCGCCAATAACAATCCTCATTTTAATGCCAGGAACTAGCTCTAAATGATCGTCACTCTGCAACAGTAGGATATGCTTTCAACCTCCCACTGCCGCACACGATACACTTCCTCAAGCACCCCCGGCAACATCTGAATCAATCACCCACGCTGCGTTACATTGCGCATTGTTCACCACCAGCCAAGAAGCACTAGAAAGGTCCCGGGGACCTAACCACCCCGGCCTTTGATATCATTGTAACCCAAGACAAACGGCACGCCTTAGTCCAGCAGTGGCCAAGGCTCGAGGACAAATCACCGCCCGCCTCCAAGAATCTTATCTGGCATTGCGTGCGGAGAGGCGTGCCTGCAGACTGCAATGCCGTGCCCAGCAGCGGGGGCGGCATCGCGACAATCTCGAGCCTCTCCTTGCCCTGGACTATCAGCGACATCTTGCTGGGTGAGAATGGCGTCGCGTTCTTGGCTGCGCTTGGCGGGTGCGATAGCCGTGGAGATAGGAGAGGCCCCAATTCCTATAAAGACGAGAAGAGTAGAACAGAAGCAGGCTGGACCTGACTCCTAACTTCCCACCGTTCTATTTCTCCACTCTCTTTCCTTTCGTTTATACAGCCCCGTCATGAAGTGGACGCTCCTCTCGTCCCTGGCCCTCGCCAGTCTGGCGACCGCCTCCTTCGAAGGCGAAGCCAAGATGAGCCATCTGATGTCGCTCAAGATGCAGAGTCGCGAGCGCGCGCGCGCCAGCGGTCTGTTCCAGGTCAACCGGTACATGGACCGGGGCGCCACGAAGTGCAAGAATGGCAAGGCCGGCGAATATTCCTGCGACAACGTCGATCTCAATGCCTTCCTGAGCCACCAGGCCATGGGGAGCGTTACCCGCGAGGGGAACGATATTTGGGGTGTGTAGCTTGCCGCTGTACTTCGTCTTATGCCGTGATTATGTGGGTTAACAGTCTCTTGCAGGGTGGACGTCGGCGGACGGCCGCGAGTTCGGCGTCGTCGGACAGACGGACGGCACGGCCTTTGTCGAGGTCATGAAGGATGGGAGCCTCGAGTATGTCGGCCGGCTGCCGACGCAGACCGTCTCGAGCGTGTGGCGCGATATGAAGGTCATCGGGGACTATGCGTATATCGGGTCGGAGGCGCCAGGCCACGGCCTGCAGATCTTCGATCTGAAGAAGGTCCGTCGCATATTGACTATGAACACCGCCTCTGTGGGTGTCGAGTAGACTGACGCCTTGCAGCTCCTGGATACCTCGAGTTTCGCGCCGCGGACCTTCTCGCTGACCGACCTGACCGCGTGGTACAGCGGGTTCGGCAGCTCGCACAACATCGTCGCGCACGAGGAGACCAACATGATCTACGCGGTGGGCACGGCGCGCAACCTCAGCTGCGCGGGGGGTCTGTGGATGGTGGACGTGTCGGACCCGGCGAACCCGACGTCGCCGGGGTGCGTGAACCAGGACGGCTACGTGCATGACGGTGAGATTTCCTAGTCGACGATACGCATAATAGCGCTAACAGGCGAACCAGCGCAATGCGTGATCTACCAGGGCCCGCACAAGAAATACACCAACCGCGAGATCTGCTTCAACTACAACGAGGACACGCTGACGATCGTGGACGTCACCAACAAGAAGAAGCCGAAGCAGATCTCCAAGACGCCGTACGTCGGCGCCAGCTACACGCACCAGGGCTGGATGGCGACGGCCGACATGGCGTACCTGCTGCTGGACGACGAGCTGGACGAGGTCGACGGCGCGGGCGAGGCCGCCAACGGCCACACCACCACCTACATCTTCGACATCCGCAACCTGGAGAAGCCCAAGCACACGGGCTCGTACCAGTCGCCCGTGCGCTCCATCGACCATAACCAGTACGTGATTGACGGGCTGTCGTACCAGGCGAACTATGGCAGCGGCCTGCGCATCGTGGATGTGAGCTCCGTCCGCGCGGACCCCTCGGGCAAGGGTTTCAAGCAGGTGGGCTTTTTCGACTGCCACCCGGAAGACGATGCCGGCGAGGGTGAGGTCGAGTTTGTCGGGAGCTGGAGTGTGTACCCGTATTTTGAGAGTGGGAACATCCTGCTGAACAGTATCGAGCGGGGCGTGTACTCGCTGAAGTATACCGGTTCGTCGTGAGTTCCTCCTGGTGGTTTAAGGCTGAGACATGCCCCGTCTGGTTGTGAGACGATCTCAAAAATGAATCGATCGAGGCCCACTTGGATGAGTAGTAGTGTTGTGTGGGTTTAGGTGAATCGTCGGGGATACATCGCTGGAATTGAGCCGTCGATTGACTGTCTGGTTGTATGGTAGCGATATCAAGACAGTGAAGATGTCCTCGGACAGCTATGACTCCTAGCTGCGACAACCATCCACGACAGTAACAGCCGTCGGTAGATGCATCTGTAGCAACATTCAACTACCGTCTGACTCTCCTGAGACATCACCAAACTCCGGAGTCTCCATCAGATCCCAATAATGGGCAAACCCCGGTTCGGTGGATCTACCACTGCATACTGCATGTGGAACGGACCACGAAAATCTCACGACGCCTCGGCACACTTCCGCAACCTCGATTCGGCATTGCTGGTCTGGGATCAGGAACAGCCGTCTGCTTGGATCCTGCAACCGAGATCCCTGGTTCGCCTTCCGCCATACAGCCCTCCGCATGATCGCTTCTATCTCAACCTGAAACAGGCCCAGACGAATGAAAGTCTGGCCGAAGCTTTCGGGCGTGTTTTGCGTTGCCTGGGCATGTCTCAACCTTGGGAGCCTAGGGTCGGCATTCAGTCGGCTCCCGACTATGTATGGGTTTTCGTCTCGAGGATGAAGATGGTTCTGTCGATCCGGTGGAAGAGGACTGTCCGAGGACGCGTTCAGAAACGAGTATAAATACGACCATGGAGCGATAGGGATCAGATTGGCATTCCATTCCATTCCCCAAGCCCATCGTCATCTACACCATCCTTCTACTGCACCATGGCCCTCAGCAGAATGTCCCTCCGCTCTGTTCTCGTCGCCGCGCTGGCGGCGCTGGCCGTGGCCACGCCCGTGCCCGAGAACTCCCTGCAGGAGCGCCAGCTCATGAGCTCCAACGACGTCGAAGACGGCGTCTGTCGCGATGTGACCTTCATCTTTGCCCGCGGGTCCACCGAGCAGGGCAACATGGTTCGTTTGCATCCGCGACCACCTACGATGAACGAAGAAAGACTAATTAACTGAGGATAGGGCTTCGTCGTCGGGCCTGAGGTCTGCACGAGCTTGAAAGCTGATCTCGGCTCCGGCAAGGTCGCCTGCCAGGGCGTGGGCGGCGCATACACGGCCTCGCTGGCGCCCAACTTCCTGTCTGCCAATACAGACCCACAGTCGATCCAGGCGGCGACGGACCTGTTCGAGAAGGCCGTGGCCAACTGCCCGAACACGCAGATTGTGGCGGGTGGATACAGGTATTTCCTTCCCCTTGGTTGCTGAAGAGCTGTGAGTACTAGTAGGGGAGATGCTAATGAGGATCTGAATGCAGTCAAGGCTCCGCGGTGATGGACAACTCGATCCAGGCCCTCCCTGCCGACATCCAGGAGAAAGTCAAGGGCGTGGTCCTCTTTGGCTTCACCCGCAACCTCCAGGACAACGGACAGATCCCCAACTACCCCAAGGAGGATGTCAAGGTTTACTGCGCCCTGGGCGATTTGGTCTGCAGTGGCACGCTCATCATCACCCCGGCGCATATGACATACGGGGTCAATGCGGGCGACGCCGCCCAGTTCCTGGCCTCCAAGGTGCAGTAAGTCATGGTTCTGGATGGTTGGATGGCTTGCTTGGGGAAGATGTACATGTGGTTTCTATGCTGGACATAGAATTGTTGAATACCACCGGAAAGATTACTATACCCCGTATGGACCCTTAAAGAATCCCCGCTCTGGAGCTCGTATACGATCCTTCCTGCGGGGATAGTGTAGGATTAGTGGAGACGGAGAAATTGCACTCATAGCATACCTCCAAGTGCGTGCAGACCCTGTCGATCTAGCGACAACCAGCTGACAATACTTTACCAGAAATACGCCGACAGCCGAACAATCCAGGCGACACGCTCTCGTTCGGAGAAATCTGCGGTTATACGGAGTACGAGTCGCGGGGAAAACGCCGCACAGGACGATCCTCCATAGTGACACCCTTGGCACCATTGCGCACTCCACACCAGCCACTGCGGCGGCCATACAGAGACCATGGAGGCCAGGAAGAAAGCTCCAAGCCAATACCCGCGGCGCCGTCCGGCAATGACAGCCCGCAGTGATCGGATATCGGCGCAGCTCCCCACTTGGCCGTCGATTTGTCATAAGATGTGGGATGAGAGCGGATGTCTTTGCGTTGTCAGTGATTGCAGTGAGCATAATGAACAGCCTGCGTTGTCCTCCTTGTAATAGCACAGAACACAATGACGTCGCTCTCCAATGGGTGTGGATTCTGTCTCTCAAATAACATCCGGTGTGATGAGCTCGGCGAGGATTCTCCCTGCCTCACATGTCGGGGATGGCAGCTTCAATGTCCTCCGATGGAGCATGGCTCGTGGTAGGTCGCTGTCGTGTTAAGGATTCTGGCAGGGTCGGCTAACATGGTGTAGTGAGTCCAGTCCAGATGCGACGGAAATTGAATGTCACCCGCTGTGTGAGACCTGGCCAGGTACGATCAGACAGAAAGAATGTCAACCACTGATACTGACGGGCCAAGATGCCTCGACTATAGAAAACGCGCAGCTGGCGGTGGTCAAAAACTCCCATCCCATAGTCCATTGGATGAAGCCTCTGGATAACCTCATTGCGACAGCCCACGAGCTCCTCGATCCTCCACTCCCTCGCGCCATCTGCTCCTCCCTTCTTCCCGCCTATATCGCAGATCTTCCATACCTGCCCTTCGAGGATGTCCAGTATCTAGCAGCCAAAGATGTCTTTGAGTTTCCCGACGTGACACTGCGCAACGAACTGCTCAAGACTTTCGTTCACAATGTCTACCCATATATCCCGCTGCTGGACTTGCGGCCTTTCCTAGGCGCCATAGCGTGCAACGACGGGAGCAAACCGGTCAGCTTGTTGCTGTTCCATGCGGTCATGTTCTCGAGTACGGCGTTTATCGAACCGGAACATCTCCATCGCGCCGGATACACCTCGAGAAAGGCAGCACGACAAGAATTCTATCAGAAAGCTCGGGTATGGCACCCATCCAGGAGATGCTGCCTCGCTAACAGAACAGGTTCTATATGATTTCGACGTCGAGGCAGACCGAGTAGTCGTGATACAGGCTGTCCTGCTCATGACCTACTGGCACGAGACGCCTGACGACCCAAAGAACTTTCGCTACTGGATGGAGATCGCCCTGTCACTCGCTGCATCTACGATCCAAGATCTTGAAGGTCCCGACATTACGCCATCCACCTGGCATATATGGAAACGACTCTGGTGGTGTCTGTACACCCGCGATCGACTGGTTTCCCTGAACCTGCGACGACCAGCCATCATCCACGACGACGACTTCCACATCCCCTACCTCACCATCGACGACTTTGAAACCCACGCCTTTGACGAAGCAACCATACATGCTCTAGGAGACTGGGAGATCCTCCGCAGCACGGCCCACCAGACGCAGCTGGCCCAGCTGTTCATTGCCAAAGCCAAACTATGCACGATCCTGAGCGGCCTCCTCGCCCGAAACGCGCCTCCCACCGGCTCCTCCGACCAGCTCATCTCCATGACACAATACACGCAGAACCTCGAGGAATGGGAGGCCGCTCTCCCAGTGGAGTTGCGATACCAGAGTCCTTCGAGTCAGAACCTGTCAAAAGTCGAAAAGACGCTCTTTGCATACCGCGCCTGGCTGAAGTTGCTCTTCCTAAACGCATCCAGCGCCATCTCGCGTCACCAAAGCGCGCTGAGATCGGCGACGCCGTCGCCAGAAAGCGAAACCGAAGCCGAGACGCTGCTGTCTGAGCAGCGGGTCCAGTCCGCCATGCGGGCTATTGCGCTGGTCGCGGAGGGGCTGTACCGAGCCGACGCGATCCATTATCTGCCCACCACCACGGTAGGACTGCTGTTGCCTGTCCTAGCCATCCATATTTTGAACATCCGCTCCGGAAGCCCTGATCAATGGGCGATTGGCTTCAAGTCGTTCTATCAGTGCATGCGGGTGCTGGAGCAGCTCAGCGAGGTGTATATGCTCGCTGAATCTATGGTGGCGTATTTCGAAAAGGCGATTTGTAGTCACAGTGACCCAAAGGATGCGAAAAGTGTCAGCACGCCGCGGCTTCTGGAGGAGGTGTTGACGAGCGCGGAGCTGAAATGCTTTGTGCACTTTGTTAGACGGGAGGAAACTGGGATGTAGATTGCACGGTATAGAATGAGAAATGACATAATGATTGACTATATTGTCGCACAGATGCGTCTGTACTTGGATTCTTGTGTCTCCTTGACATGCCTAACTTGCCCCTTGCTATTCCACATTCCTTTGGGGCAGAGCGACTGGCAGCCAAACTGCTTGTGTACACGGTGTTCTTATGGGCTCAATTGACGGTTAGCTTGTAATGATTGACATCATTAGACGGATACATGCATGCCCTGATAGTTGGTGGTTCCTGCATTCCATACATGCAGGTTCATATGACCCAAGTCACTTCGACGAGTGCTATTCATTCATTTTTCTTCTCCTAAATTGATGGAGGAGCTTATTGATTTCGTAATAACTTGTATTATCAAAATTCCGTCAGAACACCAAGATGAATGAACTTGATAGTGACTTATGTAACATGTTCCACCACATGTCGTGCAAACAATATCCCTATCCAGAAAATGATATCGTCATAGCCTCATAGACATGGCCATCAGCTTGAGACACCATCCTTCCTTGCTCTATACACATGCAGAGTCATTATGTATCAAAGTCTCCGAGAGCGTGTAACAAAATATGGGGCATATATATCCAGCTGAAGGAATTCTGAGACCACAGCAAGCCTTAGGAATAGTATTCACTGACTGCCCTACCTTGGAATCCAGTATGCTGCTGTCTGCTGCTTTTCTTTTCTTGCTGGCAACAGCAGTCGGCGCAACACCCCGATATCTAACACCCAAAACTAAAGGTAAATCAAACCCACCCATCATCAGCATTGCAGACCGATCCTAATTGCCAGAATTCGCGGTGAACGGCAAGGCCATACCTGAAGTCGACTTTGACATTGGCGAGTCGTACGCAGGGTATCTCGACAACACGCCTTCCGGCAACTCAAGTCTGTACTTTTGGTTCTTTCCGACCACGAACCCTGCTGCTGATGACGAGGTACCGCGGCTTATTCAAATTGGTCGCTCCGTATGCTGACCTTGGCAGATCACGATATGGCTCTCAGGTGGACCAGGATGTAGCTCTATGGCGTCCATTCTCCAGGAAATAGGACCCTTCCTCTGGCAGCCTGGGACATATAAACCAACCCGCAACTATTACTCGTGGACAAATCTCACCAACATCGTCTTTGTCGACCAGCCTGGTGGAACTGGGCTATCTCTTGGCCCGTCTACTGTCCGTAATGACGAGGACGTTGCAAGCCAGTTCATGGTCTTTTGGAAACACTTTATAGAGACGTTTGATCTGAAGGGAAGAAAGGTGTATCTCGCTGGCGAGAGCTACGCCGGGATGTATATCCCGTACATTGCGTCTGCAATGCTTGACGAGGAGGACGAAACGTACTACAATGTAGCCGGGATCCATCTCATCGACCCGGTTATTAACGAGTTTGTGGTGACACAAGACGGTGGGTTGGATCACCGCATGTCCGGCAGTCATGACTAACTCTCCTGAGTAGTTCCCGCAGTGTCGATGTTGAATCAATACGAGGCATTGCTAGCTCTGAACAGAACGTTCATGGAAGAGATCAACAAACGCGCCGACGAGTGTGGCTACTCCGAGTTCATGAACACTGCGCTCCAGTATCCGCCGATGGGCCAACTCCCCCCAGTCCCTGCAAGCGACAGACCCGGGTGCGACATCTGGAATGCAACCTACAAAGCCGCAAAACTGGTTAATCCCTGTTTCAACCCGTACCACATCAGAGACTACTGTCCATATACCTGGAACCAAGTGGGCTTTCCAGCAAGCTCGGAAGGCCCGCACAACTACTTCAACCGGAGTGATGTCCAGAAGGCAATCAACGCATATCCAATCTACTATAGCACTTGTAAAGCGAATGGTGTCTCCAAGGTTTACGGGCCAGATGGTGACACTTCCGCACCGAGCAGCTTTGGGGTCCTCGCCAGTGTCATCGAACGCACGAATAACACGATCATCTCCCACGGTGGGCTGGACTTTACCATTCCAGCGGATGCAACTCTTATAAGCATCCAGAATATGACGTGGAACGGGGCGCAGGGGTTCCAGAGTCCACCTATCGAGCCGCTGTTCGTTCCTTATTTTCCTCATTACTCGTCTGGGGTTGATGAGATGGTCCCGCCTTTTCCTCCTGTTCTTAGGACTTCTGGTGCTGGGTATCTGGGAACTACACATACCGAACGGGGGTTGACGTTTAATTTGGTCCATCTTGCCGGACACCGTAAGTATCTATCTGGGGGTTGTAGGCATGGACGTTCAGCTCCTGACATGTTTGCCTAGAACTACCAATGTATGCCCCTGGAGCGGCATATCGTCAGCTGGAGCTGCTTCTCGGTCGTATATCTAACCTGTCTGAAGAAGTGGAGAGCTTTACTTCTGGGGGGGTTGATTAACCTGACTTGTCTATATTTCTAATGTACGGGGCGGCGGATAGTTGTCTGCATACTCTATGAATAGGCCAATTGTACAAGATCCAGGGTAGCCACGTTCAGACTGTGTCCCATACTTTGTATCCATTTTCTCCTGTCTTATACCTTTCGAAGAAGCTAAATTTCCAAACTAGGGCACCAAGCCAGATTCGACAGCTGTCAGTTGTTACCGCAGAATGTATACAAAATTTCTTCGTCGTTGACAGCGTTTGGCCCGAGTTTCATAGAGCTATTCATGAATCTCCATTATTGATAAGCTTTCCATCAACAGAATAAATCCCCATTGACCATAAGTGACCTGTGAGAGCCTCTTCCTACAGCCAAGCTGTACTATTCCCTGGCCAGCTACGTGTTGTCCAGTAGCAGTCATCACCTGTTGCGTCGAAGAACATCCTGGCGAATCGCTTCGCCCCATTCCGCGGAGAACGGCTGGCCTCCGATTCCGCGTTCAGCAGCATATCGCAATCTGCCTTCTCGGCTAGAATCAAAGCCGTTGGCTTTCAGCATATCCACGGAGGACAACCGGTCTGCCAAAGTGTCAATAGAGAGCTCATTCTCATGTCCGTACAGACATACCAAAAGACATTTCTTGAGACCTAGGCCCCATAGGAGATGTCATGACTCCTCTTGGACCCCCCATACCTCCCACTGGACCGCTAACATTGAAGCTGAAGTTTACGTTGTTTGGAACCAATGGAGACAAGAATTCAAGTGCTTTCGAATACCAAGGATTTTCGGGCGCTTGAGGAATTCCCGGCGCGTCTTGCCGAGTTCGTGGTATATCTTGGGAGCCAGTATGATGTCCCTCTTCGCGAGATGGCCCTGCATTCGCGTCCGAGGTCGCGCTCGAGCTCTGCTGGTGGGGGCCTTCTCGGTGCTGTTCAATAGAGGCAGGCATTGGCCTCGTGTCAGAAGGGGCTAGTCGCAGCTCCAAACTCCGTCCAGCATCTGTTTCATGGATAGGGATGCCGCGTGTGAGCTCCTGGACGATCTTTGGGGTTCTTGCTTCTGCGGCCGATGCACCTGGGCCACAATAGCGCCTCGCAATCATCTCTTTGGCATGCTGTGCAATCTGGTTCCGACCAGGGACGTCAAACCAGTTGATGAAGGCGTCGGTCGGCTCCCATGCTGCGTTGTAACCTCGGCCGTGTTGATAACAGTGCAGCTCCTGGACACCAAACGCCTGTCTCCAGGTATGTTTGAGACGCTCTAGCTGGCTATTGAAATTGGCCTGTTGGGAAGGCTGGTCGGTCGTCCAGAACGTAGTAATGAAAGTCATGCATGGAAGATAGTCATCGCCGGCCAGAGCACGAGATAGCCGAAAAACTTGATGATCAAAGGAGTCAAGGCGCGGTTGGTTGATGCATGTGAAGTACAGGAAGCCGGCAATCCGGGAAATAGAGAGTATGGTTTGTATTCCCCGTACGATCTCTCGGAAGATTGCTTCGCCATGGGCTGGGTCAAACCCAGGAGTGTCCATGATGAAGCAAGGCTTGTCTCCTATCATAACTCTGGCGAGCTCACATCTCTGAGTCACTAGAGATATTGTCAACCACGCAAGAGACCCGACATTTATGTCAGTGCCTACCTGGGTCTAGGGACTGCTGCGAATAGCCGCGCACACCAGATACATCTTCTACAAAAGAAGACTTTCCAGTCCCAGGGCGTCCAATACACAACAGTACTTTTGGAGGCGATTCAGGGTTCCTATCCCGTGCGTGAGAAGCAAAGCATGCGATATATTGAAATGGAACTCACCCCAAGGCTAGACCTTGTAACTCGTCAAGACATTGCTGTGTCTGCTGAGCGATGGCTGCTGCAGATAAAGTGTCACCTGTAGAAGGAGGGACCGATTCCATGATTTTTGATACGTCAATGTATGCGAAGGGTATTGAGACTATGACCACGGACAGCAGATGGGAGAGGCGTCGCATCTGGAGTAGCAGCTTGGGGCCTATTATACCACCACGACGAGTCCAACCACGTCATACAGGGCTCTTGGCCTGAGCCTCTCACGACTTGCACTGGTCTTGTGATCATTGCCGATCAACACAGAGGCTCAATATGCAGTGCCGCCGCCTCATTCCGAGGGGACAGCCGCTGTGAGCCTACTACCGCATATTGGATCCCTGTAGATGCAGTTGTTAGAGTCGGAATGACAACTAAGCGGACATAAATCGCGCAACCCATCAGCCTCACGAATTTGACGTGCAGCATGTCAATGATATTACAATCGGAAAACGAGTACTAGGTAAACGCGCGCTGATTCAAACACTTTCAAGATACCAGAACGTAATCAAATGGCATCCTGTAGTGGATTACCGTATTCCTTTGGTCAAATGGCTCCATCCCTTGGTTACGCAGATAACGTTAATGTTAAGGCGCAAACATGTTTACAGCAGTCCTAGTCCATTACTACAGCTGATATAAGCCAGCATATAATGGCCTTGAACATGATCGAGCCTCGTCTATTGGCTCTAGCTGAGCCTCCTTGTGACTGCTCCTCACCGACAAGGATTCAAGCAAGGAAATCAGGATGCAAAGTGCTGTTGTGCTGGCAACAAGGCTGAACGCACCTTCTATAGAAACCAATCAATTCGCATACACCGAGAGAAGGACCAGCCTTCCTCGCCAACAGGGCCATGTGGGCGCATGAGGGCGCAGTCGTCTTCATGAGAATCGACCGATATCTCCGTGAATCGAAAAGAGGCCGAGTCTGCCTGGTCACATCAAAATGCCGGTCTGCTTCTCTTCTCGGACTTAGGTGCAGGACGGTCCCCTCTATGCATACATGAGCCTCGTCAGCCAACCCAGGGATACTAGATGAGATGGGCCAGAGCGCGGATTGATATACCATACAACGATCGCCACTTAACACAAAGAACAACACGAATTCGCCAGACTTCCTGTTTTGTCCAGCGATAAACGGAATAAATCGGCTCAGAAACCGGCATCCTTACGTATATGTCGGTTGTTCGAGGACAATGCTGCCCCTTTTCGAAATGCAAGATTACACTGTGGCGTGGATCGCGCCACTAGCTATAGAAGCAGCCGCTGCTCTACAGCTGCTGGATGAGCATCATGGAACCGCAGGCCGCAAACCTGGCCAAACATTGCTGTATCACCTCGGTCGCATGGGAGCTCACAACATTGCTATTGCTTCTTTTCCCGCCGGCGAGTGTGGAATCGGAGTAGCGGGGGCTATGGTTGCTGAAATGAAACGCGATCTTCCCAACCTAGAGATTGGCCTACTGGTCGGTATCGGAGCCGGTATTCCATCCCCTCAGAATGATATTCATCTGGGAGATGTCGCCGTCGCTGTTCCTGACGGGGACAACTCGGGGGTGATTGGATATGACTTGGTCAAGATCGAGCCTGAGGAGATAGTCCCGAAACAATGGCAGAATGCGAGCCACCCTCTACTGCGATCCGCGATCCAGAAGCTGCGTAGCGGCTCCCTACAACCCTCTAGCGACAAGAACTACCTTCTTTCACATCTCCAGCGGTTCAATGGAACAAAATTCGAGCGTCCCCAAACACCCTCACAACCATCTACTTGCTCCGAACACATCCAACATCCCCGACAATATCCTATCGTGCATCATGGACCTATCCTCTCGGGCAATAAAGTCATCAAATCGGCACGTTATCGCGATGAACTAAGCCCCAAAAACAAGGCTATTGCTATTGAGATGGAGGCAGCCGGTATAATGAACTCGCTACCAGTGGCTGTGATTCGAGGAATTAGCGATTTTGGCGACTGTGGAAAGAACGACACATGGCAGCTCTACGCGGCCGCAACTGCGGCCGCTTACGCAAAAGAGCTACTTAAAGAGGTTGGTCCTCTTCAAAGGGTTGATAGTCAGTGCACTTGGTTCACCTATGGAAAGTATCTACTTACGGACTCTAGGCCTCCCCCAAGGAAGACCTCATACCATTGAACTGAGCCACCGCCGCGTCTTAGAAGTATTGGAGGACCGATCCAGACGACTGAACGTCAATAACAACTGGAGAAACTCCGTGGTGGATCTTCTCAAGCTCTTGTTCCTTGATTCATCCCTAGAAGCGCGTGCACGTTTGGCGCGGAGATGGAACGTTTTTGTAGGGAAAGACGGTGACCCCGTGCGAAACATCGCTCTGCATGGACTCATTATCAGTGCACTGGCACAAAACCAGGGAGATGTTCCCTCTTCGCTTGCGGAAGCTCTATCGATTGATGGATAAGTTTTCCTTTACTTCTGAATGTTTGAGCAAAAGACGATCACCAATGTACGTCAGGCGATTTCAGTATTGCCATTCAATTGATATATAACCGTGCTGTGGACCTCTGGTGTGGCTCTCGTTCTTGTGCTTAGTGCGTGAGGGTGCGCCAAGAACCCGCGTATGCAACATCATTAAACGCGAATGGGACACTTGGTGCGCGTTGTAAAGCTTCACGAATGATGCCGCCTTTTTTAAAGCATGGACTGACTTTTCTCCATCGAGTTGCATCCTCTTGTCGAACTGTGAACCAAAGTGCGGACTGTTTCCCTGCGTTAGCATCGTGTCAAACATCAGTCCAGGCTCTTTCAACCAGCGCGTATACCGCATCCTCTGACACTAACGGTTAGAACACCAACTCTCAATATTCCATACATCCTAACTTTATACAGGAATAAAATGGGATAAAATTTCACCGCTACACTGGTGGTCGCTGGCTCTTCAACGAGAAAGAACAGCTGGCCAACAGATACGTGGATTTCAACATGGACGAACTGGTCAGGGTTGCGACTGAAAGCATTGCTTCTAGTCCGGCTTCATGTGTCGCCGTCCAAAAACTTCCTGAGGGAAACTGTAACAAGGCTTTCCTTCTTACTCTGAAGTCACTCTGAAGGATGGCCGCCAGCTTGTGGCCAAGGTCCCAAACCCCAATGCTGGGCCCCCTTTCTACAAAACTGCCAGCGAAGTCGCAACTATGGACTTTGTGAGTTATCCCAGTGACCCGTACTCTCAGTGGCATAGATGGCAGGGAAAGCTGAACGTTTAGGTTCGAAATATTGTCGGGATTCCCACCCCAAAGGTGCATGCATGGAACAGCCGTTTGGCGAATGCTGTCGGCGCCGAATACATCATCATGGAAAAGGCCGATGGTGTTTTGCTAAGTTCCAAGTGGGCTACCATGAGTACCGCCCAGAAGCATCATTAATCCAAATCATCATCGCTTTTGAACGCGCCTTTGTCTCATCCCTTTGGTCACATTGGGAGCCTGTATTCGGAGAGAGACCTCATTCCGTCGGACAAGTCCTCGCCAACTCGTTATCCCGGTTTTGTCGTCGGGCCAACCACCGACAGAAGGTTCTTGAAGGACGGGCGAAAGCATATCCAGTATGATAGAGGACCATGTACGTTTACGCCTTTCCTTTTACCTGTACACGTTAGATTGCATGACTAACGATAAAACTGCAATAGGGGCTAGTACGCTTGAGTATGTCCTCTCCATAGCCCAACGCGAACAAGCGTGCATTGAAAACCTCCCACGGTTCCCCCGGCCAGAGGGAATATTTGGCGGACCAGGGTCCTATCAACCGACGGCTGCAAAGAAACTTGCTGTCCTGCAAGACTTTCGAAAAGTGGCCTCTTTCTTGCTTCCCCGGGACAAGGCTGTCGAGATCCCTGTGTTATGGCACACGGATCTGCACCCGGATAACATCTTTGTCGACCCAGACAATCCTTCGAAGGTCGTTTCTATCATAGACTGGCAATCGGTACATATCGCGCCTCTTTTCCAACAACCTGCAACCCCGGCGTTTCTAGACTTTGAGGGGCCGAAACCTGACGAGGGTGTCTCTGCCCCATCTATGCCAGAGAACTTTGAAGTACTGAGTGCAGCTGAACAGGCACAAGCTAAGACTCTTCAAACCCAACAGTCCTTGTACAAACTGTACGAGATCCAGTCCGCTCGGCAGAATAAGGAAGTCTTCAAGGCACTGCAGTATTCAAGCTCGCTCGGGAGCCAGATAATTTCTCTCGTTTCTCAGGTGTTCAACGCCGGCGAACCCATCATTAGGGGCCAGCTGATCCAGCTAGCGCAAGAGTGGGACAGGATTGTTGGAAAAGATCGGCAAACATGTCCACTTTCAGTGACACCGGATGATATTAGAGAACAGGAACATGATCTGCAGAAATGGGAGGAAGGGGTCCAGCTAATGGAGGATGTTCTCGACTCCTTGGGCGGTGTCGAGAACGGCTGGCAAGGCTGGGTCAGCCATGAGGATTACGATCAGATGCGGGACAAGCTCGCAGCAGTGAAGGAACAGTTCTTGGATCATATGGCTGGGAGTCTGGAAGAGAGGGAAGCCTGGTCCAGGGTATGGCCTTTTCAAGACTAGAATTATGAGCACTGAGGTGATATACAGTTATTTCTGGAAGCCAGAGGTATTCGAGGCGTGAAGTATGGTCTCTAAACCCAATATTGAAAGACAACATCTACTTAGTATGCTCAAGACAGTATGAGCTCCGGGAGTGACAGTCGATCATTTTCCAAGATCAGTGCTCACCTTCGTGCTCTTTTCCCATCATGGTATTCCTCCAGTGCTTTAATATCGAGCAGAGCTTCTGAATCGGCCGTTTAATCAGTTATGCTTCATGCTGAAACACGCCGAGGCGATAGTGCAACACTCCAGTGGAGTCATCCCCTATAATCGGATAAATCTCATGCAGTGCTCTAACTACATGCAACCCTTATGAAGATGAAATATAATAACCGATTCCACTGCCATCCTCCGCCAAATCGGCCGTACCCCGTACGTTCATCGACACAGGAACAGACCGAGATCTCAGATCGACGTCTGTCTTAGCGGTCTGTAACCTGTCATAGACATGATCGGCGAGTATACGAGCTTCACCCCACCGGAGTCGTATAAACCTGTTACTTAAGCGCCTGACAGCATGGTTGTCTGAATTATCCGAGAGGGAGAAACGGGATATCCACAGATCTTCACATCATGCGACATCCGACGGCACCTTTCTGTATGAAGGGCAACTCCTTGAATATAAAACCAGCAGTGTCGCCAGCGGAATAGCCTACTATACTTCAGAACTACAGAAAATAAGAACAACCATGCTTTCCTCGAGCTCCCTTCTCACGCTCTTCGCATCGTTTTCCTGGGCCTTTGTCCACCCCGGAGCACTCCATACAGCCGAGGACTTTGACCGCATCGTTGGCCATGTCAAGAACCAAGACGAGCCATGGAATACTACCTGGACACTGTTGTCGAACAACTCGTATGCGCAGTCCTCCTACAAGCCCAACCCCGTCGAGGTAGTCTATCGCGGCGACGACGGCACCAACTCCCAAAACTACGCGAACTTATATAGCGACGCACACGCCGCATACCAGCTCGCCGTCCGCTGGAAGATCTCCGGCGATGCAGCCTACGCCGACGCGGCCATCAACATCCTGAACTCGTGGGCCACAACGCTTACCAGCATCGGCGGCTCCAGCGACAAGTTCCTCGCCTCCGGCATATACGGGTACCAGATGGCCAACGCGGCGGAGCTAATGAGTGACTACACCGGCTGGAAAGCCGACGACAAATCGCAGACCGGGACAATGCTGACGAACGTGTTTGCGTTCATGAACAACCTCTTCCTGGACGACCACAACGGCCAGGACTACTACCACTACTACGCGAACTGGGACTTGTGCAACCTGGCCTCGCTGATGGCCATCGGCATCTTCACGGACAACCAGACTATGTACGACAAGGCGGTGCAGTATGTGCGCACCGGGCCGGGCAACGGCGCGCTGCCTGTGTTTGCGATTGCCAATTTCACTGAAGAAGGGACTGGGAAGGTCTTGACGCAGGGTCAAGAGGCTGGTCGCGACCAAGGACATGCGACGCTTGATCTTGCGCTGTTAGGTGTAGTCGCTCAGCAGGCGTTTAATCAGGGTGATGATCTTTTTGCTGAGTACGAGAATCTTATTTTGAACAGGTACTTTTTTTTACCCCGGTCATACTGGATTTTGAGTACGCTGACGCATTCCAGCGCCGAGTACATCGGCAAGTATAATGTTGGATATGATGTGCCCTACACGCCTTACATGAGCTACCAGGGTAACCAATCTGTGATTTCCGAGTCCTCTCGCGGCACCGTCCGGCCAGGCGCAGAGCTCATCTCTGCTCATTATGGTCAATTGAAAGGATTAAATTCTTCCTGGACTGACGCCTATCGTGACTGGGTGAATGCCAATACAACCGGTGGTGTGGAACTGGGAGGCGGCTACTATGGATCGTCCTCGGGTGGGTTCGATGGGCTTGGCTTTGGATCTTTGCTTTATCGTCTGAAATAGGTTGTATATACAGACATCCTCTATTTCTTCTTAGGATCTTCTCTATATAATCAAGAGATTTGTCTTAATCACATGGAGGTGCATGGATGCTCTAAGTCTTGAACAGTATAAGGAATCCAACTAGACACCGGCACTATCCAATATACAGATACCGAACGGTGTTCAGAGTGTTAAAAGAGAAACCAGTTTCACTCTTGCGGCCGCAACGCCTTCGTCCACACATTCGAGCTGGACACGCTCATCCGCCAGCGCTTTGACTCAACTCGCATTTCCGCACTCAGCGAGGCCTGCCATGCCACCGTTGGCATATCTAGAATAAGGTAGGACAGCAGACATATACCTTAGAGTGCCAAAGATAGACGGCCGATAAAGACTTCAGCCGAGAGCTGCCTAGTGAGCACCGTCAGTCCAATAGCCGTATCCGGTGGCTGAATCCATCGCGGGGCCAAATTTATAGCAGATCGAGAGCTATGAGCGTTGCGTATCCCACTGGGCTGTCATAGCGTCTTCAGAGGTTCAATTACGATCTAACGGATAAAGGGGTCAGCAGCATACTATGGACGCTGATCGTGTTGTATGATCGATAGCCAAGACTTATGTCACAAGCTCCTCGGCCTCCGGTCCGTGACCAAATGGGAAGTGTGATGGGAATGCTGTCGGACTATGCATAAGATGTTCCTTCTGCAGACAAATGCATTTGTGACGTGGGAGGAGCACTTAACGGCTTTCTACCCCTCCTGCCACCTTCTCTACTCACATCCCGCATAGAAACCACAATTCATCGCGGAATTGTTGTATACCTAGGTAACAATGTCTTCAGGTGACTCACCAGACTGGAACAATCTCGATGTCCTCCACCGAAATACACTTCCACCTCGCTCCCATTTCTATCTGTACGAGGATGAGGAAAGAGCTGCCAGGGGAGACCGCAATCAAAGCCTCATCAAACTCCTAAACGGAACGTGGAAATTCAGACATGATCGCACTCCGCTCCAAATTCCCAAGTGGGACGACCTCGACCCAGCCAGCTGGGCGAATATCAAGGTACCCGGAATGTGGCAGCTCCAGGGATACGGCAGGCCGCAGTACACAAACGTCAATTATCCATTTCCCGTGGATCCCCCATTTATCACTTCGCAGAACGAGACAGGGACTTACTGGCGAGAATTCAATATCCCGGCAGAATGGGACAAGTCTTCGCACATCCACGTTCGCTTCGAGGGCGTGGACAGTGCGTTCCATCTATGGGTGAATAGTCACAAAGTGGGATATTTCCAAGGCAGCCGTAATGCATCGGAGTTCGACATCACTCAGTACGTGAACAGGGAGGACAGCAATAGTATGGCTGTACGAGTTTACCAGTACTGCGATGGATCGTACCTTGAAGATCAAGACCAGTGGCGCATGTCAGGGATCTTCCGGGATGTGTATCTTGTGCCATTTTTGCCCGACACTATCACGGATTATACGACCATGGTCGATCTGGACGACGACTTCACGACAGGGACCCTGCGTACTTCCATCAAGGTCCAGGGGCGACCAGGTCTACTTCGGCTGAGACTAATCGACGGTCACGGTCAGGTAATCGAGGAAAAGGAAGGGCCTTGTGAGGAATGCCTATCCATCACAGTCTCACAGCCCAAGCTCTGGTCTGCCGAAGCACCCAACCTATACGAGCTGTTCATCTCATACCAAGGTCGAGTGATCCGTCAGAGGATTGGGTTTCGACGCATCGAACAAAAGGGCGCCAATTTCCTCGTCAACGGAAAGCCCATCATCTTCTACGGTGTGAACCGGCACGAACACCATCCGCTTCATGGACGCGCGGTTCCCTACGAAACCCTGAAGGCCGATCTGCTCCTCATGAAACAGCACAACATCAACGCTGTGCGGACCTGTCATCAGCCCAACGTCCCCGAGTTCTATGACCTCTGCGACGAATTGGGGCTATACGTCATTGCTGAAGCTGACCTGGAGTGCCACGGCTTTGACCCGGTAGAGCGTATTAAAATCGACGACCCTACTCTCTCCGGCCATGCTCTCCAGGAGCTCGTGTACAAGATTGCCAACAAATGGACCACAGATAACCCCTTATGGCGGGATGCATATGTAGACCGCGCCGTCCAGCTCGTCGAGAGGTACAAGAACCATGCGTCGATCGTTTTCTGGTCCTTGGGAAATGAGGCTTTCTATGGCTGTAACATGGCGGCCATGTATCACTGGATCAAGAAGCGCGACCCTTCTCGGCTTGTTCATTACGAGGGTGACCGAGGAGGACTCACGACCGACATGTATAGCGTCATGTACTTCAGCATTGAGGAGCTGGTGCAACGTGCGGAGCAATACCCAGATCGCCCGTTGATCCAATGCGAATACGGCCATGCGATGGGCAACGGACCAGGAGGCTTGAAAGAATATATCGAACTATACCGGACGCATCCGCGATTGCAGGGTGGCTTTATCTGGGAATGGTGCAATCATGGCCTCTTGAAAGAAGAGAACGGCATTTCCTACTACGCCTATGGGGGTGATTTTGGAGATCAGCCGAACGATGGAGATTTTGTGATGGACGGCCTGGTGAATTCGGACCACACTCCGACCCCTGGCTTGTTGGAGTACAAGAAAGTCATTGAGCCTGTCAGCGTTGCTCGTGTTGGAAACTGCCTGAAAATCAGAAACCACTATGACTTTATCAATCTGGGCCATTTGGTGTGCTCATGGACAGTGCGAAGCGAGTTTGGTTCGTGCCATTCGGAGATTCTAGATTTACCATCAATCCCTCCCGGCGCTACTCGACAGGTGGCAATTCCAAAGTCCGCACTTCAGGACTTTGCAGAGGAAAGCTTCTTGGACGTCAGTTTCTGTCTGAAGGAAACTACTGCGTGGGCCGAAAGAGGACATGAGGTTGCCTGGTGTCAGATCCCGCTGCAGGCGAGGGACGTTTCTGACACTATATCTCACCAAAGTCCCCCATTACAGGTAGAAGAAAAGGCAGGTCAACTATTCATTACAGGACCAGGCCGACAGGTCGAGTTCATGATCGACCTTGCAACTGGCGAGTTGCAGTGGACTGGCAACGGCCAACGTATCATGGACCGAGGACCTGAAGTCGGACTCTACCGGGCACTGACACAAAATGACCTCGGCGAAGGAGGAGACTCTCGTCATTGGGAGAAGTTCCGAGTCGACTCACTTCGGACCAGCCTGCAGAGTATTGCTTGGACGTCCACGGGGACTGCCGTGACGGTCGAAAAAACGCTTCGCATCGCGCCGCCAGTCCTGAACTGGGCTGTGGACACCACAGTCCGCCTCACAATATTCGGAGACGGCTTTGATATCCATGTCAAAGGTGGATTTAGTGGTTTTCATCCGACCACGGTCCCACGATTAGGGCTCGACATGAGTCTTCCTGGCTCATTTGACTACTGCCATTGGTTTGGTCGCGGGCCAGGGGAGTCATACCGCGACAAGAAGGAGGCCAGCCGTATTGGCTACTATGAACAGTCTGTAACGCAGATGTTCACGCCGTACGAATATCCACAGGAAAACGGCAATCGCACAGACACAAGATGGATGCGTTTATCCTCGCAGGATGCCGGCAGTACGAGCGTTTTAAGGGTCTCTGCGCCATCGCCGTTTGATTTCACGGTCCGCAAGTACCAGATTGAAAACTTGAATGCCGCCAGACACCCTCACGACCTCTGTCAGGTGGACCAGACATTGTTTTATCTGGACTATGAGCATAATGGATTGGGCACGGGGAGCTGTGGGCCAGGTCCATGGCCAGAGCACCGACTGCACGCTGGGCCTTTTGAGTTCTGGGCCTCATTTGCGCTGGGTGGATTGGATTGAGATCGCACAGATATGTTGGTTATCCATAGTATCGATATCTAGTGGTGTTGACCTTGAGAAAACACCGGATCTTGCGTGGCTTAGGGCTTAGGGCTATCATGGACAGCAACATGTACCCCTTACCTGTCAAACTCACAAGATAGAATCTTCTATCGGCATATAAATCACCGTCGCCAACACAGGCAGAAGGGTCATCAAGATCTGTCACGGCGGCCTTATCTTCCCCGCGTGGAACACGAAGATCACCACTAGAGCTGTTCCGCCACTGTGATCCCTTATCACGACATCCGCAGCAAATGAAGAGCCTTCTTTCCACGATGCCCTAAGAAATCGCCAACACCCCACCCTCTTTCATCATCAGAGCTGCCCACAGTCAAAAATCAATGCTGGCCAGCATGTTCAGCACTGCATTGTTTCAAGATCTGTGGCAATTGCACGGTCGTTTTCTCATAGACACTTTGGTTATCTACTTCGCCTCAAGGGCACTACTAGCCAATGACCGGCATAACCAAGAAGGATGATCAAGTCATCTACCACACAAAGTCCACCATGGACGAGGAGAATGCCCGGTCGGATACTGAGTCGACCAGTGATCCGCTGGCAGCGCCGTTGAAAAGACGGCTGCAGTCCCGGCATCTACAGATGATCGCCATTGGAGGTGAGTCCATCCATCATGTTAAACATCTGTGTGTAGCATGTGGCTGATATCGTTCAGGGATTATCGGGCCTGGTCTACTGGTTGGCTCCGGGAACGCCCTCAATAAGGGCGGACCGGCAGGGATTCTGATCAGCTTTTCCCTAGTCGGATGCATTGTCTACTTTGTGATGTATGCATAATGCCTCATATCTCTATCCACGCACTGACAGCCAAAGGCAATCCCTCGGAGAAATGGCCACGGCCATCCCCGTGTCAGGGTCCTTTACCGAGTATGCTCAGCGGTTTGTCGATGATTCCCTTGCATTTGGTCTTGGGTGGGCGTATTGGTATCTCTGGGTGACGGTATGTATGCATCGACTCGGCTCAAGAGTTCTTCTAACGGCATAGGTTCTCGCAAACGAATACAATGCAATATCGCTGGTCATCGGCTATTGGACAGATGCCGTGCCCCAATGGGGTTGGATCTTGATCTTCTGGTTTCTGTTCCTGACGCTGTCCAACTTGGGCGTGCTGGCCTATGGTGAGATGGAGTTCTGGCTATCCTTGTACGATTCTCTTTGGTCACAAAAGATTGAGGACTAACGCTAGCAGAATCAAGGTGCTAGGGTTAATTGCCTTCTTTATCCTCGCGATCTGCATCAGCACTGGCGGCGTCGGCCCCCAGACGATCGGTTTCAAGTACTGGCATGAGCCTGGAGCATTCGCCGATTCCATCAACGGCGTTGCGCGGACGTTCGTCATTGCGGGAACACTCTACGCCGGAACGGAGATGTGAGTATGCCGTACTCCATCACGACACCAGTCTAACAATGCATAGGGTCGGTATCACCGCAGGAGAATCAGCAAACCCTCAAAAGGCCGTTCCCACAGCCATCCGCCAGGTCTTCTGGCGCATTCTCATCTTCTATGTCGGTACCATGTTCTTCATTGGCATCCTGCTGCCCTACAATGATTCCCGTCTGCTGGGCTCCAGTTCCGACGCAGCGAGCTCCCCTCTCACCATCGCGCTCACTGACGCCGGCATCCTCCCCGCCGCACATCTCATCAATGCCCTGATCGTGATCAGCGTGATCTCAGCCGGTAACGGCTCGTTGTACGTCGCCTCGCGCACGCTGCTCTTCATGGCGCGCAACGGCAAAGCGCCGCGGTTCGTCGGGAGGACTAATGCCGCAGGCGTGCCCTGGGTGGCTCTGATCGTCTCCAATATATTCACCTGTATCGTGTTTCTCACGCTGTCCTCCAGCGCGGGAAGGATCTATTCTGCGTTGATCACACTATCAGGAGGTGAGTCCACCCGTACGACTGTCTTCAACCACCATAACTGATACTGACTCGAACAGTCGCCACCTTCATCGTCTGGGCAGCCATCTGCCTCGCGCATATCCGCTTCCGCCAGGCGCTCGTGGTGCAGGGCGACGATCCCGCGCGACTACCCTACCGCGCGACGCTGTATCCCTGGGGCACGTATTTCGCGCTGGGCGCGAATGTCTTTTTGATTTTCTTCCAGGGATACACCGCGTTCCTGAATCCGTTCAGCGTGGACGACTTTGTCATCAATTACATCTTGTTGCCGGTGTTTGTGATGTTTGTGGTGGGGTATAAGATCTGGCACAAGACGAAGATCGTGAAACTGCATGAGATGGATATCTGGACTGGGAGGAGGATGTATGTGGAGGAAGTTGAGGATCGAAAACCGACGACGTGGAAGAAGAGGTTGTTGAATGTTTTTGTTGGCTGATCTACATCTCCGTTAGACGCTACATAGAAATCTCAGGTTCATGAGTCCACTTACCATGACCATATAAAACGCAAGATCAGACGACCCGATAGTCTTTGGTTCTATATCCTAGTAAAACATTGCTTGGGTAAGTCACATGACTGTTGTTTGGCCCTCCTTTTCCCTCTTCACCGCGATTTTCTTAATTTTAAAGCCTATAGGTCGCTCGTTTCTCTTCTCGCTGGATGGTAGGTGGACTGCGATTCACGCCTTGTATAGACACCATATTCCCGTGACCTCTCAGTCTAGACCTGAGGAACAGCCAACTACCGATCTTTTTGGGCCAGAAAGCATGGACCCCCAGATGTGTTATGACGACGTCGCATGGGAGCAATCGGACGATGTCTCCGACAACTGGTTGCTTCAGTTTCTTCATATCGAGGTCAAGAAAACCATTGCGAAGTTCATACTGGAGCATGATTCTGGCGACGATCCAGAATTTACAATTCTTCGAAAAGGGTCTTTTAACATCACGTTGCGAATGAAGTACACATACAGCGCAACCAATATCCGCTTCTCACAGCCTGGCGCCATTCTCTTTTCTGAGGAGAAAGTTAGGAACGAGGTTGCTGTGATGCGGTTTATCTCGGACCAAACGTCAATCCCTCTTCCATTCATTCTTCACTCGGGTACAAGAGAGGACAGTCCTCTAAAGCTAAGCCCTTTCATTATGATGAGCCATATTGAACATAGAACAAGTATGTATGATGCTCTCAATATACCAGGATGTCCGAATGAAGAGCGGGGAGTCCTTAGCCCAGACATTCATGAAGATCATCTTGAAATGCTATATACACAACTCGCAAAAGTCCTGCTTCAGCTTTCCAGGCCAGAGTTCCCTGAAATAGGGTCTCTCGGCCAGGTGGACGACTTTACCTGGGAGGTGACCAGCCGGCCGTTTTCAATGAACATGAACGAGCTTGTGCGTTTAGGGCCGCTACCCCGATCACAACTTCCGCCTTTAGATACTACTTTCAAGACAACATCTTCATACCTTGAGGCCTTGGCAGAGCTTAACATCCAGCATTTGCTCTAACAAAGAAATAACGCGGTACAATCTGCAGAAGACTGTCGTCGGAAGTTTGTGGCAAGGCAGCCGTTTTACAAGCTTGCCCGTGGTAAGAAACTGTCTCTGCCGGGTTACGAACATGGATCATTTAAACTCTGGTGTGATGATTTCCGGCCGGCCAATGTTCTTCTCAATGAGGATATGCGTATTGCCAGGGTAGTGGATTGGGAGTTCACTTATGCCGCACCAGTGGAGTTTTCATACGCGCCACCATGGTGGCTTCTGATCGAGAGGCCGGAGTACTGGTCTAAAGGGATCGAGGACTGGACCCGAGTCTTCGACCGCCGCCTAAAGACCTTCCTCAACGCGATGAGGCACTGTGAAGATATGGATGTCGAGCACAGCCAGAGCCTGCTGTCGGATCAGATGCAGCGGAGCTGGGAGAGCGGAGATTTCTGGGTAGTGTAAGCGATTTTGCACAGCTTTGCGTTTGACGCGATCTACTGGCAGAAGATCGACCGGCGGTTTTTTGGGCCCACGAAGACCGACGATCCCAGCGAGGCGTTGAAAGAGCGAGCGCCTGGGCCTGCTGGATGAACATCAAAAGGATGAGATGGAACGGCTGGTGGCGCGAAAGCTTGAGGAGATGAAAGACAGGGTCCTGGCGTGGGATCTGGATGAGTATACGGAAGCATTTCGCCAGGAATTGATGAGAAGGAGAGAAGCGAAAGCAGAGGACAAGGGATCTCAGCAGGAACCGGTCGCAGGGCTTGATCAAAAGATGACAAGCTCCCAGGAGTGACTCCGTTGTTGCAGCTCGGCCGATGTGTTCAAGAAGGAGGCCTGGTAGATCGAACCCTCTCCAGGTTGATCTAGTAAATACAGCGGCAGATCGCTATGTCTGTCCAAACACAAACTCTTCAAGCTCCTTATACGCCGTTTCAATGCTGTCATTGACAATGATCTTATCATACGAGCCCTGAGAGTCGGCGTATTCAAGTTCGACTTGAGCCTGAGCGAGCCTTTTCTGCAAGTCCTCTTCATTCTCAGTCCCGCGGGCCCTGAGACGCGCCTCGAGTGCTTCAAGGCTCGGCGGTCGAATAAAGACGTACCGCGCATCGATGCTGGGGTTTGCCTTCATCTGCTTGATGCCCTGCATCTCAATGTCTAGCACTACGATCAAGCCTTTGCTGGCCTGATCGTCAATGGTCTTCTTGCTCGTGCCATAGTAGTTGCCACTAAAATACGCGTGCTCTACGAAAGCACCCTGGGAGCAGAGGGAGGAAAACTCGGAGGGCGAGACGAAGAAGTAAGCCACACCCTCAACCTCGCCCGGTCGCGGTTTTCGCGTTGTATGGGATACGGTGAATCCAAATGTGCTAGGGTGTGTGTCGAATAGCTTTTGGATGAGTGTCCCTTTGCCGAGGCCGGAAGGACCGGAGACGACGATGGGTCAGAGATCTTGAGGGGCTGCTGGAAACGAGGTTAATTGGATTCTGTTTATTTCAGCTATCGGCGACGTACCGGGTGCCATTCCAATAGGTTAGCGGTTTCTCCTGAATCAATGCCACGTGTTGATTTTCACATCCTCATAGGCGGACGTTGTATGAAGGTAAACACGCACTCCTTGGTTTCTTTGACCTCTCTACCCGGATCAAAAGTTTCTCCGGCCAGGTCAGGACTCAGCCCATCCCTTCCGTTGCCCTAGCATATCTGGTGCCTCTATGTGGTGGTAGATACTAGTCTCGGACGTGGAGGCGGAAAGCGGATTTAGTTGTTCGGGGTTATATACTTCAGACAGCGCCAGATAGAGTGGGGATAGATTTCCCACCACCATCACGGCAAGATAACCATCGTGGATGAATGCACCGGGTGTTATTGGTCTGTTCTGGTGCATCACCTCGGAGACTAGCAGTATCTTGTTGCTAGCGCGTGCGGCATGATAACCCTCTTCGTTGGATCTGCAGCGTATCCCCTGCCAATCCCCTTATCGAATGTCTTCACGGGGCTCTCCGAATGTAACCCTAGACTGTCTGAAGACGACCTATGTGCCGTGATAGGCATGATCATGCATTGTCCTGTCGACAAACCCCGATAGATACGACCGGAGTCCGTTACACCAGGCACATATAAACCAGCTGTCCCCTTGTCTAAGATCAGCCCAAACAGTCAGAAAGCAGATCACCACAGTCCTGATAAGGCAGAGTCCACTGATCAACATGATGTCCACAAATGTATAAAACCCCAAACTCTAGACCTTCTCGACCCAAGTCTATATAGCTAACCATCTCCCAGCTGATCGCCCTTGCCTCCCTTCTGCTTGTCCAGGGCTCCCTGGCGCTTCCGCAGCCCCTTGACACCCGTGCATGCGCCTACACCTGTGGCAGTGTCTGCTACACCTCCAGCGCCGTGTCCAGCGCCCAATCCGCCGGGTACAAGGAGTACGCCAGCGGCGAGACGGTCGGCAGCAACGACTACCCTCACGTCTACAACAACTACGAAGGCTTCGACTTTCCTGTGTCTGGCACGTACTATGAGTGGCCAATTCTGAGCTCTGGGGCGATCTACAGTGGCGGCTCTCCCGGTGCTGACCGCGTGATTTTCAATGAGGATGACCAGCTGGCTGGTGTGATTACCCACACGGGGGCCAGTGGTAACAATTTTGTTTCTTGCTGATTTGTTTGCCAATCTCTGTACCAGGCATGTTCAATGGAATGACTTCTGCATCGATTCTGGTATAGACTTCGGGATTGGAGGTTGAGATGTTCTCCACTGCTATCTCATGAATAATTGTAGACTGGATACAGCGAAGCGACGAGTAGCTGCGCTCAATATGTCTGCCAAAATACATCTATAGAGATACTATCGGTGGGTTTGGGGCCCGCTTTCTTGATGTAGAGAGATCCCCGCACATCGCTTGATCTTCGCCGGGTAAAGCATATCTCCATACCGGTGATTTGATTTCTGAACTAGTCTTACCGTGCTCTGTAGCAAAGATTATGCCAGAGACTAGCTACCTAGGTACAATGTGGGGTATCAAAACTGCCATGGCGTAAGTGTCAACACCGCCCTTGTTTCCTTGACAAATATCAAACATCGTTACTGACTTGCTCCATTTGGTGTGTTGTATTTGAGATTCCATGGTTCTATGTCGAGAATATATCGCCAGCTTATTGAAGGTCCCCATGGTCTAAGTGACTTCTGATGAAGGTGAGCCGATGTGGTTCTCGTCGACAACGTCGAAGAGAAAGCCAGCGGTATTTTGATAGTCCGTGGCTCATTCTGGTAGATGAATGTTGTTAATCAACCCCCTGGTTGTTTTATAGATGCCCTTATACCTCTGGATCTGCAATTTCGGGTCCCATGGGGACCAGATGCTTGGGGCGTGGGATTCATATCAGTAAGACCCTAAAGGAAACTCAAGTGTTCTTGTTTCGGAGAAGTTCTTACTACGACGAATCCTCTTTTCGCGAAGCTACTGGTTCAAATACTGCTTCCTTGCTGTTTTGGTAAGAGTTGATATCTCCTTAGGCTCATTCCCCCTCGTCTTGTGGTGATGATTGAAAAGCTCGTTATGGAAGGAGGCTTCATCGAGTCTAATCCGGAGTGAGCCGTGGTATATGCCAATCGTTGCTTAGCTATAGCTTCCAAATAAGGACATGCAACTACAATACATCTCAACAGATGGAATTCCCTAGGCCTTTGATAATGGTGGCAAGACCCCATACAGCTTGAAAGTTGTTATCGACATCTATATCAGCTCCACATCCCGGGATCTATCCGCAGTGAGTTTAACCAAATACATCTAAAATGGACAAGATACTGTGCAGGCAGCGTGTATTGCAGTAACTACGAATCTTTACGCCATTCTGGACACAATTGAAAACAGTATCTAGTTACATTAAGCATGGTGCTAATGTTCTACTCTGGGGCTTCTCACACATAGTATTGGATGAGGATTGTATAAAGATATATTTCTAGAACGGGCGGATCAAGCTAATCGCTAGCTCCCTTAACTACTTATGACTGCAGGCTTATGCAGGTAGGATTATGGGAAGCCTTCATAGTCTACTGAGACGTTAAAGCACATTGTTCCTTGTCTTCCAAGGGAAGATCTACAAATACGCATGACTCTCTCAGAATCTGTTTCTCAGTTAGATACCAGAACTGATAAGATGCACAGTATATACAGCGAGGGCTAGCGCCACTGGCGCAACAACGGATTTGTTAGACATTAACTTATACTCCGCGACTCACTATTCTCCACAGTTGTAGTGGGCTTCTACTACAAAAACACGTGGATTAGTATGAGCATTCTTATACACGTTTACGGCATTCAGTAGCGTCTGTACCTGGGCAGTAACTACGGAATGAATCTCCTTGAGCAGATCATGTCTTGACAGCTCATGCTTCCAGTTCTAAAGTGTCACTGACGTACAAAGAAATTCAGACAGGCACTTAGGCAAGGCAGAATGACAGTAGAAGTACGAGAATTGCGGGGTTACGAATGTCAGGGCTTACCAACCCATCTGACTCAGAGCTGCACAATATCTACCGAGTAGAGCTCCTTGCATGTGTGATTCCCGCCGTTCTGAGCACGTACTTCTCCATGAGAGAGTGCGTCAGACCTGAAGCTCCATACAACAACAAATTCCAGGTCCAGCCACTCTCTTCCTCGAACCTTGTGAATACGGAAGCAATATTATGATTCATCGTAGCTTCCGCCATCAATCACATGCTGGGACTCTGCCATTCCTTCAATGTCTTGGCGAGGCCGTTGTTCCGAGCTCGAAGCTGGGCAGGATAGGATGGGAAACGGCCAGGAATTGATGTATCATAACAGCATTCATAATGCAACAGGCATCATTGAACATGGTCGCTGTCAGGGGCGACGGGTCGCTATGACAGTCCTAGGAGGACGCTGGTATGTCCGTGATTCCGGTATCCGGATTATCCGGTGCTTTTGCCAGGCTCTACCTACATTTCCCGGAAGTACTGGAGAAAGGCAGAGTACTCGGTGTCCGCTCCGCTCCGTACGTGAGAACGCGTCCACCCGTCCACATGACGATATGAATGAATGTCTCAGTGCTCCCGAGTATATCGGAATACGTGATTATTGCGCATGTGGTGAGACCGATTCTCCAAGCTGGGAGAAGGTGCGAGAAATTGCATCATGCGCAGGTTGGTCGTCGACCAGCGCCACACCGAGGATATGAACAATAAGAATCAATAATGTTTGCTGACATGCATGATTGATATGGAATGATAGGTGGGAGTCCCTGGTCAGCCCCGGACTATATATCCATGAGGCATATTCGTGCTCCAGTCGTACGTACACCCTATAAGGATTTGGGGTAAGCGTGCTGTACAACCTGGAAGTGGCACAGGGCCACGCCTCGGCGGATACTCGCAACCTGAAGCTACTGCACAAGGTTACATGCGTGATGCAGTCTAGGACCAGCTGACAGGGTTAAATGTTATTAACACTAAGCTGTTGTGGTAATCAGTGCGACAGTCATTCATCCTCTGGTAAGCAAGACCGACGAATCCTTCGATGTTGCCACCGTTCCAGTGTATTAGTAGGCAGTGGAAGTGGTGCTATTGGGTGAAATTCCCGATTCTGCCAGGACTAAAGGATCAGGATCCAAAGTGGAATTGTCGCCCGGAGCCTGCCGCCGTAGCTCTGCGAAAGGACTTTTTTGCCGCAGGACGTGCCCCTAGGGTCTTTGGTCCGGGAACCCAGGCTCGAAATTCACTAGTATACCCAAGGCAAGGAAGGATCTAGCATCTTCCCACGGTAGACTACAACCAGGAATGATCAACTTATGCCAGGTACGGCGCCGGCCCACGTCACCATCTAACGCGAAGGAGCAAAGACGGAAATTAGTTGGAAATCCTGCCAGACCAATGCACCGTCTGAGTCCATGGAGAGGCCAAATACCGGACCGAGGAAGCATCAACACCGTCGTGCGACGTCGATCCCCCGGAGATGATGGGTCGGATTGGTTTTGGAGGATGGGACAGGATGGGATGCAGCGGGATGGAGTGGAACAGAGTTCGTCGAGAGTCTCATCCGAAAGAATTGTCCCATCCAGGAGCCAAAGCAGTAAATGCAGGCCGTCCGGGGGGCCGTTGTTTCTCTTTGTCGGATGGTCGGAGGCACTGCCGGATTGGGGCAAGACGGTGCCAAGCGGCGTATCCAACATACGATCTCCTAACCCTCTCCTGGTTACTGCTAGTCCACTTCTAACCCTCTTTTCGCCTTTTCCCCCGATGTGACGCTAGTCCTCCGCGGATCCAGACCATGATTCGCCTTCCGAAGAGGGGCCGAAATGAACCCCAGCACTGACGCTGCGGGGTCTGCGGTGCAATTTCTCCAGATGTCTCACTCCAACCCTGGCCGGCCAACTCGCTTACTCTCGTCCCCAGCGGAGGAGCAAATGAGAATCCGGGGGCGGGCCGGGGTCCAGACGCTAGGCCCTGGTTCTGCGTCCATTGTTCAATTTACTTTGATGGCTCTGAAGCTAGTTCCTCGAATCCTGGGATGGTTGCTGCCGTCGTGGTCCTAGGGCATGGCGCACCATGAGGCCATCGCCATCCAGCTATGGCAACGTGCCATTCCAGTACGTACAAGGAATCCGCCAGCTCCCTGGGATGAGCTGCTCCCTGAGTCCAGAACAAGCATCCGGACGACGATCACCCTCAGATGTCACTTAATCAATTCCTCCCGATGACCCCCCAGGGCATCCTGGTCCAATCTGATGGTCCCAAGGACGGATCCCAATTTCATGCCTTTCCCCGATCATGCTAATACTTGCTAATAATAACAGCCTTTGGGAAATCTGCCCCTGATGGAGCCTGGCCGAGGCCCCCCATAGTGCCGTGGGCATGTGAGCTTCATTTCCTCGTCGTGTATATATAGGTGCATCCTGCTCTCCTCCCCCAGTTGTCCATCACAAACCAGCACCAATCCTTCGTTTGATTGACTTCCTCGGGCACTCGTTTGACCTACCCCCTACTATACACCATATAGAACCCCTCTAATTACTTTAATTCCCATACTATCGTTCATCGTCAGCATGCGGTTCTCTACCCTGTTCACCCTCGGCCTGGCCACCGTTGCCATCGCCACCCCCACCAAGGTCCAGCGTGATGTGGCCCCTGTCGAGAGCGTCATCTCGGCCATCGAGGACAAGACCGATGCCCTGGGCTCTGCCATCAACAGCTACAACGGCGGTGACACTAAGAGCGTCGAGTCCGCCTCCGCCGACCTGATCTCCACTATCAAGTCCGGTGTCTCGACCGTCAACAGCAACGGTGACCTGACCAGCACCGACGCCCTGGCCCTCACCAGCCCCGTCCAGGACCTCACCAAGAAGGTTGAGGCCACCGTCGACAGCATCATCAGCAAGAAGTCCGCCTTCGTTGGCGCCGGCGCTGGTGGCACCGTCCTCGAGTCCCTCAAGGCTCAGTACTCCGCCGCTCAGAGCCTCGCCGATGCCATCTCCTCCAAGGTCCCCTCGTCTCTCTCGGACCTCGCTGCCCAGCTCTCCTCCGGCATCACCAAGGCCATCCAGAAGGGCATTGACGCCTACAAGGATGCCGGCTCTTCCTCTTCCACCACCTCCCAGGGATCCTCTGCCTCCACCACCGGCGGTGCCTCCACCACTGGCGGTGCCTCTACCACTGGCGGCTCCTCGGCCACCACCACTGCTGGCCCTACCACCACCTCTACCCCTGTGATCCCCACCGGTGGCTCTTCCGGCAGCTCCTCCGCTGTCCCCTCCTCCTCCGGCGCCACCGGCACCACCTCCGCTCCTCTGCCCACCTTCACCGGTGCGGCTAGCAAGGCCGGCTACTCCCTCGGCGGTGCTCTTGCCGCTGCCGCCCTCGTTGCTGCTTTCTAAGCGACTGACAGCATGTGGCTGGATGGGATCGGATTAGCCATGTCGTGATACGGTTGACGATGGTGACGAGCGACGCTCGCGTGATATGATGTGTGAACAAAAGGGCTTGCTCTGTACATTCTATTCCATCTAAATTCATGTTGGGCTGATGCCTGTATATTGGGATTTCGTTTCACTTATATATTCTAGTAATAATGTAGCAATGCCTTTCTATCGTGTATCCCTGGCTTTTGAATGTAGACATATTCTGATTCTCCCTGGCTCTGTACAGATATAAATGAGGCTTAGAAGGTAGCTTATGTACCCCACCCAGTCGAACAGACTCGATATCGATGATCAGCTAGATAATCGCTTTGAGGCTCAAATGCGATCTGCCTTATCGCTTGGTCTGTTGCCACACTCCTATTCTTTGTTAAGATAAGCACTGTGCACCGCTTGTCACGACCCACAGGCACCCAACAACAATATTCCATAGATATCTGATATCAAAGTCCATTCAAATTCTTCTTGACTGCCACTTGGCCGAATCAAAAGCAATTGGTGAAGCCAGGAATATCAGACAGCCAACATCTGCTAGTGCTCGAGGTCCTACTCGGAGCTAAGCTGCCGGCGTAACTTCCTCCGCAAGCTCCTACACATCTTGAACATGCACAAACACCATAAACGAGCATACTGTTCTATAATTAAAGAATCAACAGAAGGGTAACTTGCTCTTGTCTCCCCATTTTGACATATTTGTCCGGATTCTGTCTCTGGCACGCATTAGTCATCCCGGTGCCCCTTTTCGAATCCGCAGAAAAGCCCCTAGTCCGGACTAGTAGATCACTTTTTCTTGCAAGAATCCACTCGCATCCCCAAATAAGCAGCCTCAGGCCACCGTCGTGGGTACAATCAGCGCCTCCTAATCAATTGCAGAAGCGGATTGGTGTTGGGCGGGTTGAACTGCTCCAGGAGGATCCATATCAGACAATGGGCGGTAGTGCATTACGGAAGACCCAGAAAAAAATTACGGTTGTCGATTGACGTTTCTTTGTTCCCCCATAAATATGACCAAACTCATCGTTGATTCAACTACGTCGTCACTCTCACTTCTATCATCATCGTTTTTCTTGCAACACGTGGGATGGACCCGGCAGGCTTCATCGACCCGAACTTGACGGGGCCGGACGTGCTGGTGCTGAAGCAGTTGTTGGACGACGCCCAGCAGTCGGATCATCAACCACCAGAGACGTCTCTTCGCAGACGGCAAAAGGATGAAACCCGTATGTAATCGTGCTCTTTTTGCTCGGATTAGACGCTAATAGGCATCCAGGACCAGCAGACGAGGTCATAGAGAAGCTTACGGCTCTCAACGATCCTCAGGATCCCACCTTCGAAGCGACCGTCTTCGTCACCTGGGACTCCAAAGACTGGCAAAAGTATCCAGTCCTGGACAAATGGATCCTGCAGCCATACATCCGACTAGCAAGACAGGTCGTGCGCGTTGACACCGACGTGGTGATGCTCACCCACCTGTTGCTGTATTTCGCAACCTCTGTCCCCAGTGCAATCCTCCTGTTCCGACACTTCCACTGGGCGCACGGTATCCTGCACTGGATCATGCAGTCCTACTACGTGGGCACGTACACCCTCATGATGCACCAGCATATCCACATGGGCGGGATCCTGAAGAAAAGCTTCCGCTGGTTTGACGAGCTGTTCCCCTACGTCACCAACCCGCTCATGGGCCACACCTGGAACTCCTACTATTACCACCACGTCAAGCACCACCACGTCGAGGGCAACGGCCCCGAGGACCTCTCCTCGACCATCCGCTATCAGCGCGACGACCTCTTCGACTTCCTCTGCTACGTCGGTCGCTTCTTCTTCCTGGTCTGGCTGGAGCTGCCGCTGTACTTCTTCCGCAAGGGCAAGACCAATTTCGCCTGCAAAGCCGCCTTCTGGGAAATCGGCAACTACGCCGCCCTCTTCCTCCTCTGGCGATATGTGTCCTGGCGCGCCACCCTCTGCGTGTTCCTGCTGCCGCTCATGCAGCTCCGCGTGGGCCTGATGGTTGGCAACTGGGGCCAGCATGCCTTCGTCGACGAAGTCGACCCCAACTCCGACTTTCGCTCGAGCATCACTCTGATTGACGTCGCGGTAAGCAACACCCCCCATTCCCTTCCCCTGGCCTCCGATGCCTGGCAACATGCTCATCGGCACTCAGAGTAACCGCTTCTGTTATAACGACGGGTACCACACCTCCCACCATCTGAACCCTCTCCGCCATTGGCGCGAGCATCCCGTGTCTCTGCTGCGACAGAAGGACCGCTACGCGGCTGAGCATGCGCTCATCTTCCGCAATATCGACTACATCATGATCACCGTCCGTCTCTTGCGCAAGGATTACCAGCATCTCGCGAAATGTCTCGTGCCGATTGGAGACCAGATCGGGATGACGTTGGATGAAATCGCTGAGATGTTGCGCAGGAAAACGCGACGGTTCAGCGAGGCGGATGTGAAGGCTAAATTTTAGGATGTATAGAAGCTTGGTTGATTTATTATAGATAATTTATAGATTTTTGATATCCTTCATAAAGGTGCCGTGTTTGTGCGGATCAATCAATGGTTTAGCCCAGTACTCTGGTGATAGAAGACGGCTATAAGTTTTGTCTGGGTTCTAACCCTTCACTGTGCATGTCTCTCGACGCGTCAAACCGTCAACCGAACGCGCCTTTGTATGTAATGTTCGCAGACCGCGTCAGTGGATTCTGTTGATCACTATGTCAATCTTCACCCATCGTTCACAACAGACCGCCGATCAGGGATGCACTGACATATAGTACTGGGCCTATTCATCCTTTTTTTATCGTGATCGTCTGTCAACATGGATAGTTGCTTTCTATAGTAGCGCACGGTCAAGTCAGTGGTCTCGTAGATACTGACTGAGCATCGTCTTGGGCCGGGCTTGTATCATACCAAGTAAGTCAACTTGAGAAAGGACGCCGTAGAATGGCCGTGGCTACTTTAATCTTGCATCTTGAATTCAAGATAGTTAACTGGGCCGTCTGGGGAGACATCATGGTCTTCTGCAGAGATACTCCGTATCGCAATCGTAGGGATATCATCCTTCCGAGCGAGGTTGAAATATCCTGCAGCGTGAATGAAGATGTTTCCTGTTTATGAGCACTAGGGAATGGTCCTGAGCTCTGGTCAGTAGACATACTTTTAATCCTAAATTCCTGTGGCCTCACCCTGAGTCATTCATACGTTGCGGACAGCAGTATACTGCGCATCAGACCTATACTTAGGTCCATAAATAGTGAAAATCATGTGCTTTGTGCTGCTGCGTAGTAATTTACCTGTTGTGTTGATTCATCTCTGATTGCAAGTAGATACCTCTATCTCTCATGGTTTTAGCATATAGCTTACTAGAAGTAGGTTATATGCAGATGGGGAGAAATTTCCTTTGTCTTCCATTTGGTCACCTTGGGATACGCTTTTCAGCCTTTAACATGCAGTATATAGTGGCTTTTCTTGATGGTGGTCAATTGGTTCTGCGTGTATGAGGTTGGTGTCAAGGCAGCTCTCTGTAGTGCGTCAACCGTCCCTATCCAGCAAGAGTACAGTCAACCCCCGGTAATCCGTCAGAGAATTGACCTGATAAAGAAGGCTTCATACTACATCATATGCTGGGCTCTAGCACAAACGTCGATTGTGTTTTAGAATACTTCCTCAAAAGTTCTATGTTGGGCAGGAGTCCAGTCCAGCATCAAGACGTTGTCCTTGCATGCCAACATGTCAACGAATTCAGTGTTCAAGATGTTCCCTATACCAAACATGTCTTAGAAGGATTTTGGAGCGTTTGGGACTGGGATTACATTCACTGTTCAGGCAATTGTTGTAAGTGTACAGTGACTTGCACATAGGTGTCTTTACACTGATAGATTTACATGGCAAGCCACATTCCAGCATCAACTGCAGACAATAAGAGGTTAAATTTGCTGCAACCCGTATCTTGCATTCATTATTGAACACTTGAAAGCTGTCCTCCGTCTCGGAGAGAAAAGCATGTACATGTGAAGTCCTACAAACTGGACCCTTATCCAAAACGCAGCATACACTGAAATCAACGATGACTCACCTAATACCACACCCTAAACAACCCAAGAACGCAAGCTAAACTCAGGATAATGACTAATTCTGGCGGTAAGATCATCCTTCGAACATGTCTCAGGAAATCAACCGCGGCGGAAGACATGCCAGTCTCCCCGAAACAAGCTACAAACACAAATCCGCAGCCCGAGCACCCAAGAATTATCTAATTTCTGCCTATCTCCCGAAAACAGCCCTCTAATGTCTGTCGCTGCGATGGGGCTCTCCACTTGCGAGCTATCCGCCGCCTTCATTGGGTGCGTGGTGTTCGTACACCGCCAGACCGTCCTGCTGCGCCGTTGCTGGGCGAGGCGATGCGACAGCCGGGTTTCGCTTAGGTAGACACTTTTCTCCCAGGCCGACGGCAAATCCGGCTCTTGTGATGGCTGGGAGAGGGAGGTCGGGCTCATCGCACGTGTTAGTTGGGTCTGTCCCGGCCGTTGAGCCCTTTCTCTGTGGCGGATGGTTGGATGGTGTGTCCGCCTGGTTTCTGCGTTATACGTAAGGAGGATTCAGATGGAAGCGGATTAGGGGGCCGGGTTTGAATGTTCGCGTCCGGTTGGAGGTTATTTTCGCATTCGCTGTCCGGCCATGATCTTCATATGGAAGAGCGTCGGGTTCTGCTCATCATTCACCCGGCGCTGGAAATTATGAGGATGCGTTACTGGCGCATGCAGCGGCTGTAGAAAGCATGTGTCTATCAGTCTGTATCGAGACAGTCCTATTTTTGCGCAGGTGGTGCGTACAGCACCATGCGCTGCGTCCGTACCGTTGTGCGCGTCTAACCCGGCACATCAGTAACAGAGCTGGCTAGTGAGTGAATTACAATTGGTGTTGATATTGGGCCGACAATCTCGGCCTACTGCGATATACGCATGCACTTACTTCATCTTCCGTACGATGGTCCAAGGTCACGCTGCCGATGTACAGTAGCGCAACGATCTGAAACAGCACGATATGGATACCATGATGTCAAGTATTTCCCAGCTGGGCAATCTTCCAGACGACGGCGTCGGTTGTTGTTGTCCTTCGAGAAGAAGGTCACTGTGTGAGTCACAGTCGTGGTGTAGGATAGTGGGTCAACCGTCAGCTTCATTCTATCGGAACAATCAATATCTACCGCGATTCGTCGAGATCTCCTTTGTTGCTCCATAGTGGCCCAGCACGAAGCGAATTAGGCTAGTTCGTGGTCGGGGTTAGGAACTCATCCGATGAGTCCCAGGTTACTGGATCTGCTCAGGTACAGAGAACATGTTGAGGAGTTTGATTATGATCATCCGCTGGATTTCGGCCGATATGAATTTGAGTGTCCTGAATTGGGCCAAAGTATGCGGTGAAGCGATTGTTCGGATTTCATCACTGAGCAGGAAGACCGATGTATACCCCGTGCTGATAGGGTTAGATCACGCAAGGGGGGCCATATGGCACCAACCCTCTGCTGCATCATTCAAGCCCTAAATTGATCTCGTCTGTCGGCCGCAGACTCCCCAAGTGATGGGCTCGTGCCGAAACAGAGGCGCAGCTTCCGCAGCTTGTTGTAGCAAATGAAGAAGGCTGAAGACAGAAGTCAAGACGAAGGTTGCCTTGCCTGGAGGTCAAATGAGACCAGCGAAAAGAAAGAAAACAAAAGTAATCACAAAGCCTAATCAAGATCATAGTCCAGATCGGACACCGTCACTTGGGGGTGAAGCAATGCTGCCTTACCTGATCGATCAGAATGGTTGCTTTTTTTGTGACCTTAGGTTATGCGCTGACTAAATATGCACCGAGACGAAGGAACGTGCACCGCGTAACCCCGAAGGAACAGCCAGAGTGCACGTCCCATGATGCAGTCCATGATGCGGCCCGGCATCATTCTCGTCTCTTAGACCAGAGTAAAATCAGATCGGTCTGTGCATCTGCAATCTCCTGCGTCCGCGAGACTGGAGGCAGAAACAGCCCCTCAGCAGTGGATCACTGGATCTCCCCCGGGCCGTCCCTCCTGAACCAAAGTTGCGATGGTTGACTGTCTCCCCCGTCGACTTTTCGCTCGACGAAAGACCACCAGCCGGTTCAGATGGCTTCTACGCCGTACGCCGTATGCCGTACAATACGTCAACATCAGATACTTGGGATCACGACGCACAAACAGATGGAACATTGGAACAACTTGGCTGACGAAGCCGGAACGCTTCAGGTCGTCACCTCCCCCCGGGAATGATTGGCTCTGGTGCACCCACTGACGCCGGGAACGAGGGGAAGGATGATACCATACGGTAAGTGGTTGTATGACCTCTGAGCCGTTGATCAGGCGAGTCGCCGGACAGGGATCGTCGGTGTTCTGACGGGTGAATGGTACAGATGGTATGGATGGTACGGTGTGGTAAAACGGGAAGTCCGCCTACCTACGAGGGACTGACTACCCAGAATAGCTAAGCCTATCCCAGGAGTCGATCATGGGATGATAGACGTGACGGACGGGTGCACAGACGACGACTCATTTTGGGCAGCGTGAGAGCCAAGCGACACCCAAGACTAGGCTGAAGGGGACGGTTTGGGGAATGCCAATCAATCGAGGTGTTTGGACGAGAGAGAAGCCGTGCCTGACTTAGGTAGCTACTGGAGTGCTCCTAAGGGACAGGACGGATGGTAGGTATCTATTTTGGAAGATTTTATTCTCAAAGTCCGTGACCGTCTGTGGCGGCGTTGATACGCACAGATTCTGATACGGTCAGTGGGATGGATTCGATAGGCTCTTGTCGATTGCCCCACCGGTCCAGAAGGATCTGATTCTTCGAGGGGAGATGAAGGAGGCTTTCTTCAGACCCCGACGACCAGAGCAGGACGATGAAGCGGACGGTGATGAAACAGAGAACATCCTACTTTGTCGTACCCAACATCGGAGGTACTTCTGGAGTCGTTCTGGAAAGGTGGCCGGCGAGGTACCATGGATGGAGGGGAATGGTGGGAATGGCGGTGGGTCATGGCATACCGCTGTTTATCATTGTCTTCTAGCAGGTTGTTAGTCAACGCAATCTAATAATGAACACATTCATTCATTCCGTCCGTCAGTAGTAGTAGGCAGTCCAAGACTGACTATGATCTCCGAGCACGAGATCCAAGGCTAATCCCTAATCGACCATCTCAACGGCTTATTCATCGGCTGCACGTCTGCCCAACGAAGCATCCAATCGTGAGCGGTCGTTAAGCTCGGAAAGCCTCAGAAATCTCCTTCTTTGATTCGGATGGTACTAATTATACTAGCAGAGATACTCAGGTAACTAACTATCTAATGAAGTACACCGCTGACTGATTCATCCTCTGAGATCCGATCTATTCCTCCCGGTACCTGAGTCTGGCCGTCTTTTCGTTCTTTCTTTGTTTATACATATAACATCCGCCTCGTTCCCTCGTCACTGGTCCTCCTCATCGGCTGATCACAGAATCTCCTCCTGATTTTCTTCTTCTACTACTTTTACTACTTCTTCTTCCTCTTCCTCTTCATCTTATCCTCCTCTTCTCTTCTTCCCTCCATCTTCCTCTTCTCGTCCCTCAACCCCGCACCGCTGTTTTCGTACACCACACCATCTTACACACCGCCTCTTGACTCTTCATCTCTCGTCCTTCTTCCTCTCTTCATCTCTTCATATCTCCCTTCTTCTCACATCATGGCAAGATATTCACAACCATCCTTCGACTTCTATCAACAATCTCCCTCCACCCTCGATGCCAAACCCGCCTTTCCAGAAGAAGACGACATGAGTGTATTAGATGACAAGATCCTGGACTCTACCTCTCCCGATCTCTCTTCCTCGCGACCCTCTTCCTATGATCAGCCGCAGGATGCCTTTTCCTCCTCACATCGAGACTCCGTCTGGTCCGACTTCTCCCATCATCAACCTGTTTCCAACCCCCACCACAACCACCAGTCCCGTCACCACCACTCTCATCTCTCTCACCATCCTCTCTTCGACCAAACCCCCAACCATTTCATGCGCGTGGACGGGCCGCATCCCGGCTACAATCAGCAGCCGTCCTGGTCGATGGCCAAAGAGTCGGGTTCCTGCACACCCACCGCGGTGTATGAGCACTACTCGTCCGATCTCGATCACAACTCGTCCGCTCCCTTCGCTGGAGGCGCCGTGGGTCCCGTCAACCCCATGAACATGCCGGCCATGTCCTATCGTCAAGGGATGGTCTTTCCCGGCGCTGGGGCCGTCGCCATGTCCCCCCAGTCCAGTCAAGGTTGGATGCCCGCCGCCACCGACATGCCCGACGCCATGTCTCGTCCCACCAAGAGTCCTACCTATCGGAACAGCTCCCCGTTGAGTGTTCGTCGAGACGGTATCCGGAAGAAGAACGCTCGCTTTGAGATCCCCGCCGAACGGACCCTGAGCAACATCGATCAGTTGATCAGTCAGTCCACCAACGAGGAGGAGATCAAAGAGTTGAAGCAGCAGAAAAGGCTCTTGAGGAATCGTCAGGCTGCGTAAGTACCCACAGCCTAGTCTTTTTCTGTCGGATTGCTAATCATATCACAGGCTGGATTCCCGTCAGCGAAAGAAGCTCCACACAGAAAAGCTCGAAGAGGAGAAGAAGCAGTTCACCCAGGTCATCAGTGATCTCGAGGAAGAGCTGCAGAACATGAGACTACGTGAGGCGGAACTTCTGCGGGAGAAGGGCGAGTGGATGAGTGCGCAGCAGGAGATCACCCAGTATATCAACTCCCTGCACATGGACAAGGATGAAATGATCCGTGTCCACACCCTGGAAACCGCGGAGCTGCGGAAGAAGAACAACATCCTGAAGGAGACCATCGAGAAGCTGGAGCGCCAGGCTCGGCCATCCGCGCCGGCCAACATGGCCACCGACTTTTCCGATTTCGAGAATCTGACCATGGATAGCAGTCCTTGGGAAGACTTCACCATGGTGAACAATCTCTCACTGGACGCAGAACCTGTTCCCGCCCAGTCTTCGGCGCTGGTGGTCTCGTCGACCGAGAAAGCCCCCGAGAAGGCAGCGAACAACGACTACCCGTTCAGCTGGAATGCCTTCTATATGTGCCTTCTCTTCGGGGCCTTTATTGCCTCGAACAACGTCTCCCTGTCCTCTCGGGCGCTTCCTCAGCTCTCGGAAGAGTACCGCGCGGAGTCGGCCAACGTCCTGAAGGCGGTCTTGTCGGCGTCCCCGCCAGAGCTCGCACAGTCCAACAACCACGCCGCTCCGGCTCCCTCCGCGGCGTCTCTGCCGGCAACTATCACCGGTGCGGAGATGGCCCAAATGACCTCGGGCACAGTGCCTCCATCCAACCTGGACGAGCTGCACAACACTCTCGCCATGCCGACCAAGGAGCAGCAGCAGCAACAGGTCTTCTCCCTAAATGCGGACCAGTACAACTCCCTCACCACCTTCGAGGATACGGGCGTCGAGTACAAGCAGCAGCAGCCGTCCAACCTGCAGCAGGCATTGGCTGCGATGCGAGGCAACGCGGCGCAGAATCGACTCCCCAACAAGGCCACCTCGGACGTCTACTCCCGGTCGCTCATGTGGGATCGCGTTCCGGAAAAAGTGATTCGGGACTTCCGCCGGATGGTGCAAGAGTTCGGCGCGACGCCTGTCAAGGAAGAAGCGGGCTTCGGTCGTCCCTGAGTAGTATAGTCGCTAAACGCTTGCACGCCTCTCCGCTCTGCCTTCACCATAGCCCCAGACTAGCGTCCCTTCGTCGATTCCTCTGTCTTGTGCGCGCCTTTTTCTTTACGAGCCACTTCTAGCGTTCTATCTGACGATATATGACGATATACTCGACTGTCGACCGCTTAGCCAGCTAGCCATGTGCATGCTTAGACAGCTTACAGCCTACCATTTCATTCGACTGGATATATTCTTTCACGACTAGGTGTTTCTTGATTGGCAATTTAGCGTGTGTTATACTTTGGATCTCGGCGTATATGATTTTCGTCTGGGTTGGCTGGGTTGACCGACTACGGATCACAGTCGGATATACTGATTGCATTTGTTTGTTTGTTTGTTTTATTCTATCATGTATTCGGGCTTCTTTGTTTACTTTTTTGCATTGGCGAGCTGCAGGAGGCACGGTGACGATTGTTATGATACGACTGACATGTTTATGATGACGGCTGTTAATGTCTATGTTTTTTCTGTTCTGGTCAGCCGGACTGCCATGGGTGGTCTGTTGATTTTGTCTGTCATCCGTCTGGGTGATGGACTGATGTTTTGGCTTGAGCTTCGGCTCGTCCACTCTTTGAATCCCATTTCTTTTGTGACGATGCTTGTGTAATTTATGGGGATGTACGGTATATAGTGGCTACGAGATACGAGCTATGAACGACCCTTGCACTCCTTGATCCAGGTATGACAGCCAAGCTAGACCCGAGGGCTCGGACGGGAGGCAGATCACATTGCAGTCCAAAATGAGGCTGACGGCCTGCATCGTTGGGTCGTGAGCATTCATTATCATCGTGAAGTATAGGTATGATACATCAGCAAATAGCAGTCCATATCGACATGGGCATCGTGCCAGCGTCTCGCTCATCACAATCCTTCAAATCCACCCTCATCCTTAGAATCCTCCACCCCAGCGCTTACTTGGGGTTGTATTTCTCTTTCCAAATCCTGTCATCATGTTCACTTCTTAGCATGGCCCGCCTACTTTTGGAACGACGCACCAGGCCATGCACGGGGCCCAGACGGCGGGCGGAGACGGCCATCTGGTTGGAAGAACGGCCATGCAGCCCGGATGGGCCGGCGGGTATGGGTTGCATGGCGCAGACAGGCAGCGTTCAACGCCCGCCTATCGTCGCCCTCCCTCTTCTCCCCTGGTGCATGTCCTCCGTACGCGGGTGATAGGGGGGTGGGGGAGCAGAGGGGACAAAGAGAAAACGTACCATGAATTCCCGACTAATTTGCTGCCCTTCTCCTCGGCCATGCGGTAGTACTTGGCCGCCATGAACTTATCTTTCTTCCCGCCAAACCCCTCTAGATAGCACCACGCCGTCTCGTTCATCGCGTCCGTGTCGCCCAGGTTCGCCGCCGTCTCGAAATACTGCCGCGCGGCGACGGCGTCTTTGGCCACCCCCCAGCCGTTGCGGAAACAGTTGCCCAACTCGAAGATGGCCAGCACCAGCTCGCCCTTGGCTGCGCCGCCCTTTTTCATCCCCGCCTGCAGGGCCTGCGACTCGATCGACGCCGAGTTCGCCGCCGCCGCAGAGAGGTACGTCACGGCTTTGGCCGAGTCCTGCGGACAGCCCCAGCCGTGGCTGCGATCGTCAGCGTACACCCAGACAGTAGAGCGGGGAGTAGACAGTAGACAGGATTAGGACGCACCGCAACGCAAGCCCGTAGAGCACCTGGCTGAGCGCATTGTTTGCGCCGTCCGGGTCCGCCAGCCGACGGAACATGTCGGTGGATTTCTCCAGTTCTATATACTCCGGTCAATAACGTTCATCGCCAAAGACCGCGGAAGAAAAGATCTCACCCCCGACTTCATGCAGCCGGATCGCCTCCTGGATATCAAGCTGCGCGCCATTAGCACCCACACAGATTCCCCTCCACACAGACAAGGACAAGACGACGTACATCCTTCTCCGCATCCCCAATACTCGAACTCCGCGATCGTGATCGCCCGCCCCCGGGCGTCGCTAGCCCCCCTACGCCTCGGCCTCCCCCTACAGCCCCCCAATTCGGATTCGGCTGCACCAGAACCGTTCGAGCGCTTCTTCACATTGCGTCCTCTGTCTCCTGGGGT